AGTGAGGGATGCCTATCAAGTGTTACCTTGGCAAAGGTGGACAAGTCTATAATGCTCCCAGCAAGTGCTTGCCTTGTAAGGAAAGATTCTTGTAAAGAGAATTAATATTAGACAAAGAGATAGGACAGTGAGTCATGTGCTTGCTTTGAACGCAGACAACCCGGGTTTGATCCCCAGCACACCATATGTTCCCCTGAGCCTGCCAAGAGTGATCTCTGGGCACAGAGCCAGGAATAATTCCTGAGCATGGCCAGGTATAGCCCAGAAAAGAAAAAGAGAGAGAGAATTAAAGAACTAATGTTTAAGTTGAGCATGTTAGAATCTTTTCAGAGCTGGGATAACTCCCTGATATGTGAAAAAAGAAGTAAGCAAAAGAGAAAAGTGCTTGGGTTCAGCAGAAGTGCCAGCTTATTCCACCCAAAGGACACTTGGTGAGAACCAATTAAAAGAGCCTGAGCACCGGAGCTCATTCCCAGGAACTCAGAGCAATGCAGTGTTTAAAAATACAAAAACAGGTGCTCAAGCGGTAGTATAGCAGGTAAGGCATTTGCCTTGTATGTGCCTGACCCCTGGCATCCCATATGGTCCTCTGAGCACCACCAGGAGTAATTCCTGAGTGCAGAGCCAAGACTAACCCTGAGCACTGCTGGATATGAACCCCCCAAAATAATAATAAAGTATAAAAAGATGGGCCGGACTGATAGTACAGCTGGTAGGGCACTTGCCTTGCATGCAGCCAACCTGGGTTCAAATCCCCAGCACCACATATGCTCACCCAAGATCTACCAGGAGTGATCCTTGAGCCAAGAGCCAGGAGTAACCTAGGATAGAGATAGATATTCTATATAATCATAAATATGATTTCTTTCAAAAAGATCAGTAAGTAGAATAGAACACAGATTCAGAATCTTGCAATAGATGTCAGCATAGATTAAAGGGGCTATTTAAAAACAGCCTCTGGAAACCATGGAATTAACTGTTCTATGTTACACTATATTACACCATACAGCGGGTAGGGCATTTGCCTTGCATGCGGCTGACCCGGGTTCAATTCCTCCACTCCTCTTGGAGAGCCCGGCAAGCTACCGAGAGTATCCCGCCCACACAGCAGAGCCTGGCAAGCTCCCCGTGGTGTATTTGATATGCCAAAAACAGCAGCAAGTCTCACAATGGAGAAGTTACTGGTGCCCACTTGATCAAAGCAAAGAACAATGGGAGGACAGTGCTACATATTATGCTAACTGTATAGAGATCTAAATCCAAGATGTCACCTTGATTTTCATTATAGATAAGACTAAAGAGCATTGAACCAGATCCATTACTGAGTATGGTTAGAACTGGAATACATGGCTAGTATTTGCAATTATCTGAGTTCAGGTCTCAGCATCACACAGCCTTTTGAGCTCTGATGGCCGCCAACACTGCTGGGTAGGTTTAAAGTAAAACAGAATAAGACAAAAGGTTAATGAGAAACCAATAAATAAAAATTCATCAATGCTGCTTTCTTTTTTCACTCGGGAGAAGCCCGTGTTCTCGCTTGAGCACACGGCTCTCTCCTTCTCTTCCTTCACATTTCTCTAAGCAAATTTTTCTAAATAAACTTTGTATACCTTAAAAAGTAATTCACTGGGACTGGAGAGAAAATACAGTAGGTAGGGTATTTGTCTTGCATGCAACTGACCCAGGTTCTATCCCCAGCATCCCATAAGATCCCCCAAGCACCACCCAAGGTGTACAGCCAGAAGTAACCCCCAAGCATAACTGAGTATGGCACCAAAAATCAGCAACAAAAGCCCAAAATAACAAGAATAACGCATCAATGTAACAAGAAAAGAATGAAAGAACAACAACAACAAAAAAGCTCTTTCGGTATTAAATTGGCATCAAAAGAGCAATTGACAAAAGCCAAACATGTTTCCTGATTAAAAAAAAAACAATAAATCAGAACATGAACAAACTTCTGTGTATCTCGCTGTGATTCATAACTTTTTTTTTTAATTAGAGCTAGTAACTCAGATCCTGCACCAGTACCATGTGAAATGAGGATGGTGCGGTGTCACCGATGAGCAGAGAATTATTCCAATACCCGGGTTCATAGTATTCAGTAAACAAGCACAAATATTAATGAAGGTAATATTGGTGCCCTGGACCAAATGGCAACAACACACATTTTTCTTCTTTCGCTAATTTTAAAAGAAATGCATGCTATAAAATAAAGTCTAATTTAACATATCTGTTTCAAGTAAAGATCTTCTCTACAACCCCTTTCTCTCCCCTTCCTGAAAAAGAACTGCTAACTTATAAATTAATTTAATTACTGGATAAAGACACTTAGAAAGTAACTGGACTTCAGAACCATTCATTTCAGTATTCTGGCAGGAATAAAATTATGAAATTTAGTATATTCTAAGCAGCATAAAAGAACATCTTTATCCTCCCTCCAAGAAAATAAGCCATTGAAATTTAAATTTCTTTTGGATTGGCATCATATGGAAATTATGAGCCTACTAATTCCATTGCCCTCAGCCAAGCACCTTGGTGGTGAAAGCTGATTTGTGCACAAGAAATGTTTTCTTGCTTCTAGAGACAATATGGCCCCATGGAGTAGCTATGTCATTGCTCTGATGAGTTCCCAGTTGTGCTGTAGTTCAAGGCTTTGCAGAAAGAAAATGGAAAGAGAAGGAATGTGGTTTCTAAAAAGAGAAACATTTATACAACTTTGGGATTTTTCAATAATCAGGACTCCCAGTTCTAGACAGCAATAGGGAAAATGATCACGTTCTTCATAAAAAAAATATATATAATATGTCCCGTCATGTGCTCATGAGGATTCAACCTCCAGCACCATAAGGGCTCCTCAGCATCACAGAGTATGACCCTGGAAGTCCCCAAGCACTCCCTGGGTGGCTCTGGTGGTCACTGGCACCAAAGGGCATGAGCAGTACCAACTCCTCAGGCTCTAGTGCTCGCTCTAGTGTTTAACTGTGAGACCCAGTTTATCAATAATTATCAGTAGTATCCCCCAGAACTTCTAAGCACCACTCTGGAGCCCCACAATATAAATAACATGAAATCTAATAATAAAAAAACGCACCTGCGTCAGAGATAGCTCAGTGGACTGGAACAGATGGAGGCCTGGGTTTCATCCCCATGATAAGACTGAAAAGCTTCAAACCTACTTTCTTCATTTCTGTCCAACATTATATTGGAAGTTCTATTCGGCAAAATGAAATAAGATGAAAGCACCTCTAGGGCTAAGGAACTCCCTCAAAGGCAATCATTCCTGCATGTGTTTCAGGAGGCCCAGCACCTCAAGGAATAGAACTTGAACACTGCTGGGTGTGGACCCCAAACCAAAAATAACTCATAAAGAGCATCCAAATAAGAAAGGAAGATGCCACCCATGCCGTATTAGATATGCCAAAAACAGTAACAAATAATGGGCCTCATTCCCCTGACCCTGAAAGAGCCTCCAATTTGGCCGTTGGGAAAGACAAGTAAGGAGAGGCTGCTAAAATCTCAGGGCTGGGACGAATAGAAACGTTACTGGCACCCGCACGAGCAAATCGATGAACAATGAGATGACAGTGCAGTGCTACTACCAGGAGCCAGAAAGATAGCTAAGGCCGTGGCCCCCATGTCTAGAACACACAAAACCTCGAATCTCATCCCAATCCCATGACACCTGGTTGCCACAGAGTAAGGCCCTGGTGATACCAACTACCCCAACACCTCATCGCTGAGCGAGCACCCAAAGATCTGCACACCAGCAGATTATGAATGGGAGCAGAACCAATAAAAACACAGAAGATGAAGAAGTGGGGGTCTCACAGGGACCTTCATTGCCCAAAGGATGGAAAGGAGCTCTTTACTACAGGCTGCCATAGATAGAATTTCTGGAGCACTGGGGTTTAAAAGTCGAACTCACCATGCAATGCCGGCAATGATGAACAGGAGACAGTTCTAAAGACTCCCAGGATGGCAAGAGCTAGGAAAGCAGGAGTCTGTGGGTGAGGCCCAATCTCAATTTGAATTCCAGCACTAAAAGCTGTCAGTGGCCAGGGGTGGTGGGGGGCGGGGAGCCCTATTTAGGCAAAATGCAGGTTTCATTTGAAAGAATTTCTGGCTACTGGAAGGAAAGGAGCTATTGCAAAAGAGGAGCTGATGATTACAATAGAGTGGAATGTTCAACCGTCAACCCTACCCTACCCCGTTCCTGTCCACCAATCCCGGATTGAAGTAGAGACTAGTGCAATGGGTTGTGAGAGCAAGGGACAACTATTGCACCCAGGAAAGTGGCCCCTAGTTGTGCAACTGTCTGTGGGGTCTTGGAAGAGTTGGTTGTAGGGGAGTGGATTGAAGGTGGGCAGGCGAGCTCATCCAGCCCCGGAGAGCATCGCTGCTTTTCCAGGGGTGGTAGAAGAGGGGTTGCATCCTAGCTCAGGCTGAAGGCAGATCATAGTTTAGGGGCCCACGGAGGAGAAACGCTTAACTGACGTTTGTTCAAGTGGAGCTGGTTGGATATTTTGTCCAGGTTGTTCAGTGTAGTGCGTGCGATCAGTTCCACTAATCATTTGGTGAAGCCAAAAGACGGGACGATGGGGGCTTTGTGTCTGATCTTGGGCTAGGAAAACAACTGGGCAGCGGCGAGTCATATAGAAATCACACGAGGAAGGGTGGTTCCCAGCTTGGCGACCCTTCCAAGCGGCCTAATGGGTGGAGCAACACCTTTGACCGCCGCTTTCCAGAATCCCAGGGCTCGGGTAGAGCTCGGCGCAATCAACATGCAGGGAAATCTGTTGGCCCATTCAATCAGGGACAGAGGTGAGGGGTCGTCAGTGGCGGGAACAAGCCCACGCCTCGACCAGGCGGGTGCCAAGCAGGTGATGCTGCCCGGGCGGCGGCCTGAAGGAGGTTGCGGTCCTAGATGCGGGGAACGCCGAGGGCTGGGGCCGCCGCCAGCCCCGCCCCGCGCGCGTTCCCGCGCGTGCGCGCGCCCCGGGAGCTGCGCAGGGCAGGACTGGGCGCGCCCGCGCGCGGCCCCGGGCGGCGGTGACCGAGGGTGGCGGAGCCTCCGGGTCTGGGGGCCGCGGCGGGGTCGCCGTCGGAGGGGGCGGGCTCCAGCCGCGCGGCCCCGGAGCCACTGCGCGGCGCGGCCCCCTCCCGCGGCCCGAGGTGAGTCGCCCGGGGCCGGGGCGCGTGGGGCGGGCGCGGGGCTGGGGCGGTGGAGCTGGCGGAGCCTCTGCGCCCGGCTTTGTCTCGGTGATCGGCGGGGTCCCGAGGGTTTCGAACCCCAGAGGATGCGGGGACGCGGCGGCCCCGAGCGTGAACCCGGTCCGATGTGGTCCGGGCCTCCCCGAGCGCGTGGCTCCCCGGGTGCGGACTTTGGGGCTGCGCGGCGCGGCGCGGCGCCCTTTAGCCGAGAGCGCGCAGAAACTTCCAGCTCGGCGCTCGGCCGCAGCCGAAGCACCTGCCGGGGAAACGCAGAGCGGGGACTCCGCCCGGGCGGCTGTTTCGTTTAGTCAACTTCATTATCAGCCTTGCTTTGGTTTTTGCAGGCTCCAAAGTCCTTGGTTTTCATCCTCTGTCTCTGTCTCTGTCTCCGTCTCCGTCTCTCTCCCTCCCCGGTTTTGGGGGGTCACATCCGGCGGGGGCTCAGGGTTGACGCCTGATTCTCCACACAAAAGTCACGTGGTCAGCTTGGGGACCATATGGGATGCCAGGGATCGAACCCCTGTCGGCCTCGTACACGACCTAGGCAAGCACCCTACCCGCTGTACTATCCATCCTTTCAGTCCCCCCCACCCCCACTGATCTCTTTCCATAGGTGCCCGAGTTTTTTTGTTTTGTTGTCACTTGCAGTTTATTACCCACTAGCTATAGTGAACCGTAAGTTGGCAGGTGTGTCCAGTTCCACAGTTCCAGCCGGTGTTTTTTTTTTTTTTTTGGACGTCATCTGAGATCATTAAAATAGAGATGGGGGTGGGCTGGAGCGATAGCACAGCGGGTAGGGCGTTTGCCTTTGCCTTGCACGCGGCCGACCCGGGTTCGATTCCCAGCATCCCATATGGTCCCCCGAGCACCGCCAGGAGTGATTCCTGAGTGCAGAGCCAGGAGTAACCCCTGTGGATTGCTGGTTGTGACCCAAAAAAAGAAAAAATAAATAAATAAATAAAGATAAGAAGCTGGCATCTGTGAGGATGTGAAGGTGGAACTAACAAGATTAATAGGTTGTAGGTTCTCTCCATCCTGGAGAAGTCCGTGGTCCCTCTTGATCACGTGTCTTACTCGATCTCTCCTTCCGTTTACTATCCCAATAAACTTTTTGTACTTATCCAAAATGTAGGAGAAGGAGGAAGAGGAGGGGGATTGTATAGCAACATGAAAATCAGCTTTCTTAATTCACAGCTCTTGTAGTTTGGGAGTGTTTACCGGTCATTGTAGTTTCATAGGGAAATTATGGTTTAATTGTAGTTTTGTTGTTGTTTGTTTATGCTTCTTGCCGTTGTTGATTTCATTTACTTAGCATATGGCTTTTTTGGATACGACGTTTGTACGTATTCTGATTCCTCTCTCTGCGCAGCTCTTGGATTTTTCGTTCAGCCTGTCAAAATGACACTTCAGTATTAAGAATGTTGGATGTTTTAAGAGTATGTCTCACGGGCTCTTAAACTAGCCCAGGAATAACCATTAGGTGACGTTGACTCCCAAAGGAGGGGTGAAAAGCCCAGGCAAAGGGAATAGGCTTCCATGGCCCCTTTCCAGAAGTGAAAGGTCATAGCACTTGGACTGATTGAAGAAATCCAAGGGGAGACAGACCTATAAGGCGAAGCCTTTCAGCAACATCAGTAACATTTGTAGGGAAATTTCCCCATCATGCAAATGTGCTGGAGTGAAGGACAGTGAAGGATGCCTGTAGAACTTCTCTCAAGGGATTTGGACCCTGTTGGAGAACTGTGGGAAGTTGTGGTTTTTGTTTTGTTTTATTGTGGGGTGATGGACCACATCCAGCAATGCTTAATGCTTATTCCTGCGTCTGTGCTCAAGGATTACTCCTGGCAGGACTTGGGGAGTGAGGGTCATCTGGAGAGCCAGGGATTGAACTTGGATCAGCTGCATGCAAGGCAAGAGCCCTACCTGATGTACTCTCACTCTAGCCCACAGCCGAAAGTTTTAAGCCCAGGATCCCTCCCCCCAATCCTATTGAGGTTGTAACCGATAGGTCCTTAGGACTCAGTGTGTACCATCTGGGCACAAGAATGGCTTTGAGGAAACAAGCCAGAGATTTGAGTCAGAATGAGAACTACAGTTATGAAAACGGCAAACTCCAAGGTACAAAACAGATTGCCACCTGTTAAGTGATTTTCTTGTCACTTTTTTGGAAGACATCGTGAGAGCTTCCTGAAGGGAGTGTATGGTAGATGGGTGTCACATATTCAATGCAGTTTTGATAGGGAGCCCTGGAGTAAGAATGTCTTGCTACCAAAAGAGTGTCTTGACTGACTCAGCTGCCCGTCCTCTCCCCAGAACATTCTCCCTTACACCACTTTTGTGACATAAATATCCCTCTGGTCCTTTGGGGGCCATATAACAACATTGTTAACTAGTTTCTTCTAGAAGACAAAATGCTGTTTTCTTCAGTACTCTGATTGTAACTAAGTTAAATTGAACCCTTTCCAAAATATTTCATATTTTTAAAATTTATTTTGCTGTTTGGCCCACACTTGGCTGTGCTTTAGGGAAAACTCCTGGCTCTATGCCCATGGATCGATTACTCCTGGCAGGGCTCAGGGGACCGCCTGGGATGCTGAGGATCAAACCTGGGTTGACCACGTGCAAGGCAAGTGTCTACCCACTGTACTATCTCTCTGGCCTTCACATTTTATTAGTAGGTAGAAAATTAGAATTCATAAAATATATAGAAATAAGCAATATTTAGACCGCTGAACTAGAGCTGTTACCGACTGGATTCCACGGGATGTCAAAAGACCGCGTGGCCGCCCACCTACCAGATGGTCAGACTTCTTCATCAAGATCATGAAAGATCGGTTTGAGGCTCTTGGTGTTCCTAGAGCGAACACATGCCATTGGGCTACACTAGCACGCGACAGGGACAAATGGAGACGTTACTGGCGCCCGCTTGAGCAAATCAACGATTAACGGGAAATCAAGTGATCAAGTAATCAAGCAATATTTATTTGGGTGGGTGCTGGGGATTGATCCTGGAGTCTCAAACATGTGAGGCTCAGATTCTACCACTGAGCTGTGTCCTCAGCTTTAAGTGATATGTCTTTTGGGTGGGGTGGGCGCAGGGACCACATGCAGGACTTCATACATGTGAAAGCATGTCTCTCTACCAATGAACCACATATTCACCCCTGAAATAAGCTTGACTTCAAGTGCTTTGATTCTGATTCTGTGTGGTTAATTTGCCTCTGAAGACTTGGCGGCCTCAACCCCTACCATAGTTAAGTGAAAAGAACTTCATGTAGAAATGTGGCATCAGTTTCTTTTCCATGGTGTTTGATGCCAGGAATGGCTTTATCCTTAAGAAGAAATGCTAGTTTCTCCATAAAGGCGGCATGTCACTTTTATAAAGTCTTGACAAATATATAGCCTTTAAAAAAAAAAAAAAAAGAGCAGTCTATACTACATATTTACAAAGAACTAAAATTGATAGTGTAATGATTTTTCTGGTCAAAGGTTAATTTTTGCATTAAAAGTACTATATTTCGGGGGCCAGAGGGATAGTACAATGGATAGTGCATTTGACTTTTACATGGCCAACCTGGGTTCAGTCTCCAGCACCCCATATGGTCCCCTGAGCCCACTAGAAATGGTCCCTGAAGACAGAGCCAGAAGTCCTGAGCACCACTTGAATGTGGCCCCCTACAAAAGATACTGCATTTTAAATTAGATAACCTTTTTTTTCCTTTTGTGATGTAAGATGGTTTTGTTGAAGGGGGGTGCTAATTGTCAGGAGACTGGAACAAAAACAAAAGATCAAAAAGTAAAAAGTTATGTACCCAGGATTGGGACACAGCTCCATCAAAGAAGAGTGCTTCTAAATGTACTTTTTTTGGGGGGATTGGAAGCTACACCTGGCAATGTTCGGGGGTTACTCCTGACTCTGTACTCGTAAATTACTTCTGACTGTGTTTGGGGGATCAGATAGGATGCCAGGGAACAAACCCAGTTAGCCATGTGCAAGGCAAACACCCTTCCCATTGTACTATTGCTCCAATTCTGCTAAGTCTATTTTGATTGGATTTTCCTCAGGGACATGTTGCGAAAACTGTTTCACTGTCTCCTGACTGATTTTTATCACTGCAGTTGTTGGGAGTAAGTGGAATAATATTGGGAAAGGTGTTTGGTAAACTGTGATACACAATACACATGTATGATGGTAGTGGTAGTAATTGGAAGTGGACTGAAGGAAAATGAAGGAAATTCTGTTTATCTGTTCTCTCTTTCTCCCCCCAGTTTTTGTTGATGATGTTGTTTGGCCAAACCTGGCAATGCTCAGGGCTTATTCCTGCCTCAAGGCTCAAGTCTCAGGGGTGACTCCTCATGGGGTTGGGGCGGACCTTATGGAGTGCCTGGGTCAGCTGTGCGCAAGGCAAGTGCTCTACTCAACTGTACTGTCACTCCAGCTCTCTCGAGCAAATCGATGAACAACGGCAGGACAGTGCTACAGAGCTAACATAGAAATTGCCATGTGGCATTTTTCTTATTGGCTGGGCTCATTTCTCTCATATGTAGTCACCCTTTCCGCTGGTGCCAATTTTACATGGTTCATTTACATATGACTAATTTATGATAGCAAATACTTGAAGTCCTGGTGACTTTATGTCGATATTAACATTAGCTTTGACTTCATAAGTCTATTCCATGTTTAGAATGAGCAATTCAGTCTCTTTTTCACACCTCAGGCTGGAAGCTTCCTGATGAGAGACTGTTCTGTAGTTCTTTTGTTAGTTTTGTTTTTGTTTTGTTGTGTTGCTTTCAGGGCCACACCTAGGGATGCTCAGGGATTACTCCTGACTCTGCTCCCAAGAATCACTCCTGGCAGGCTCAGGGGACCATATGGAGTGTCGAACCTGGGCCAGGAGTATGGAAGGCAAGCACCTTACCCTCTGTGCTATTTTTCCAGTCCCATCTGTTGTTAGTTTTAAACAGTGCTTGGGGGTTCGGTACATAAACAAATCTCTGGCAGAAACCTCCCCAGTGGTGCTGGGTGACACCCGCAGTGCACAGGAAGCTGTGAGGGATCATACCTAGAGTTCTGTCCAACCCTTTCAGCCACCTCCTATAATCTATAACTATTTTTGCTTGCTTGTTTGTTTGGGGGCCACACCCAGTGATTATAGGAATTATTCCTCATGGGACTGAGGACCATATGGGATGCTTGTTGGCCCCATGCAGGATAAGTGCCCTACCCCACTGTACTATGACTCCAGTCCCTCAGTGGTCTTCCTTTTAAAATCATGTGGTTTGTACATTCCTACTGTCACAAATTTCTTTAAAACATATTTTAGGGACTGGAGAGGTAGTACAGTGGGTGGGGCATTTCCTTTGCATGCAGTGAAACTGGGTTCAATCCTTGGCACACCATGTAGTCCCCCAAGCCTGCCAGGAATGATCCCTGAGCATGGGGACAGGAGTCACCTCTGAGCACTACCAGGTGTAATTCCCATCTCCTGAAATAAATAAATAAATAAATATATCCTAACCCTGAAAGAGCCTTGAATATGGCACTTTTTTAAAAAAATCTCAGGGCTAGGATGGAGACGTTACTGGGGCCTGCTCAAGGCAATTGACAAACACAACAGGATGGTCTGATGTCGTGATATTTTGCTTATTGACACCCGGTGATGCTCAGGGCTTACTCCTGGTTCTGTACTCAGGAATCACTCCTGGCGATGCTCAGGGGACCATATGGGATGCTGGGAATCAAACCTGGGTCGGCCCTGTGCAAGGCAAACGCCCTATCTGCTGTGTTATCGCTCCAGCCCCTCCCCTAGAAAATAATTTAAAAAGACACCAAAAAATTATATTTTCTGAATTATAGACCATACAGGAAGTTGTCATAGCCTTGCCAGTGGATAAAGTGTCACTTTGTGATGGTGATGTTCCATATCTTTACATCTGCTTGTTGACCATTTGGGTATCTGCTTTGGAGGAAGGCCTCAAGCCCTCTGCTCGTTTTTTGATCTGACCTGTCTGCAATGATGCTTCCTTTCTCTTCCGATTGGTGATGGTGGCGATGATATATGGCCGTGTGACCATCGTGCTGTGCGAGCACACATCACTGCAGAGCTCACCTAGGGTGGCACACTTTCGTTGGTGCAGAACCCGGGCCCCACACACTCTATGGTATCTGAGATCTTGCACAGCGCCAGGGAAGAGCTTGCACCTCACTCTAGCAAGGCAGGCCTTCTGCCACTGAGCCCTATCTTGGGCCCTCACCTGCCATTTTTAAGCTGCCTTTGTCTTGATTCAATATTCACTCGGTTGTGTAGACTGTTATCACTCCAGCCCCATACTTCAGTTAAATTTAGCTTCAGGGATCATACACATGCCTGGTTGTTTAGCTATGATGCTCACTCACTGTCCAGGGGTGCTCCGATGAGCCTACGAAGGATCTTCCTGGCGTGGTCCCCACAACTCTTTCAGTTGTGGTGCTGTTGGAAATTGCATCTCTTCCACTGTGGTGCTTATAGGATTGTGCTCAGTGCAGGTAGAAGTCCTGGGGGTTGAACACGTGACCTTATACCTGGAGACAGGTGTTCTGAGCCACCGAGTCAGCCTCTGAAACCAGTTGCTGTGCATTTTGGGGGCTACATCCAGAGTCCTAAGTTGCTTTCAAAAGTTTCTCCTGCTTTTTGCCATTTTTGTGGGGTACAAGAGCTTGTAGCTGCCTCTTCAGCCATTTATTGATGTGACCCTCATGTTAAATTTTACATTTGAATCTTGGTGCCTTTAAATTCAGCTTGGTTATGCTGGCTTTGCATAACTATTGTGTTTATTTAAAAGACTACCATCAATCCCTCCGGACTTAATTACTAAAATATCAGAAATCCAAAATTGCATGGCCACTATTGTGGCCACGCGACATCATATGCTCTTCATTATCAGCAATAGAAAACAAAGTATCTAATGATGCCTTCTCAGCAGGTCTGAATATTGGGGGAAAATTCCAAATAATAATGGTAGGTCTTCTGTCAAAAAATTGAATGTAATCAAAGTAGAGAGAGTAAAGTGGAAATCACCTGCCACACTGGCAGGGGGAGGGGTGGGATGGGGGTATACTGGGGTTCTTGGTGGTGGAAAATGTGTACTGGTGAAGGGATGGGTGTTTGATCATTTTATGACCAAGACTTAAACCTAAGAGCTTTGTAACTGTTCTCACGGCGATTCAATAAAAATAAAAGAAAATAAAAGACTACCATCTTCAGATTCTCAGTGTTTTCAGGACCACCCAACCAGTGGTCTGGGGGCCCAGGAGTTCATGGTCAGTGGTACTGGGCCAACTTGGGCCAGTGCTTCAAGCCCCAGCGATGTGTGTGGCTCAGGCCCAAGGCTGCTGGCACCTTGTGGGTCTGCCTTCCCAAAAGATTGTAATTGAATTTATCTTGATATTTTGTAACTTGTTGGAGATTGAGTGAAATTTTCTGTTGTTTTGTTGCTAAGCCAAAGTACATTGTTAATTTATATCATAGTTTTAAAGAAATCTTTTGTCAAAAGAGTATCAGTTTTTAAGATTTATTTTATTTATTTGGCAGAGGAGGTTTGAGGCCACATCTGGGATGCTCTGTACTCACTCAGGAGTGACCCCTGGTGGTGCTCAGGAGACCATATGCAGAGTCAGGGATCAAACTGAATGTAAAGCAGACACTTTATCCCCTGTACTATTTCTAAGGGCCCTTATTTTTATTTTTGGGGATGGGTAAATTTGGGGACCACACCTGATAGTACTCATAGGACTATTTGCAGTGTCAGGGTCAGCCACGTGCAAGGCACGCACCTTAACCCTGTGCTATCTCTCTGGTTCCAAAATTTATTTTTATTATTGCTTTACTTTGCAGAGAAAAAAACAGTCTTGAGTCTAGTTACTTGATCGTGAGATCATTTTAGTGCTACTTTAGGCCTACATAGTCATTACATTTAAGAAGATAGCACAGTGGTAGGGCGTTCGCCTTACACCCGGCCAACATGGCCGACCCGAGTTCGATTCCTCCACCCCTCTCGGAGAGCCCGGCAAGCTACCGAGAGTATTCGATATGCCAGACACAGTAACAACAAAGTCTCCAATGGAGACGTTACTGGGCCCGCTCGAGCAAATCGACGATCAACGGGAGGGCCTTTACCTTTACCATATGTAAAAATGAATTTATTTAAAAACTAAATTGAGGGGTCAGAGCGTGAATACAGCAGGTAGGGTATTTGCCTTGCATGCATCTGACCTGGGTTTGATCCCCAGCATCCCATATGGTACCCTGAGCACTACCAGGAGTAATACGTGAGTGCAGAGGCAGGAGTAACACCCTTGAGCATCACAAGGTGTGGCGCAAAAACAAAAACAAAACACAACCTATATTGAGAACTTTAGCTTCTGTTTCCCTTTATTTTTACAGTAAGGCAGGAGAATGAAAGAAGTAGATAATATTGAAAGTATAAAAGAAGAATGGTAAGTTAATTTAAACTATTGAATTTCTTATTCTTGATGTTAGAATTTGTATTTTTATTGCCTTTCACTGCTAACATTTCTACATTATGAATACCTCACTTAGCTGTTAGTAGTCATATATTTTGAATTTTTTTTATTACTGAAGCTAAATTTAACTGAAGTATAAAATCTTTTCCTTTGTGTAAAAGCAGTGTTAATATTCTCTCTGTTTTCACATTACTTATTATTTAAGGAAGAAATTGAGAGTCTGGAGAGATAGTACAGTGGGTAAGGGCACTTGCCTTGCACATGACTGATCTGGATTCAATCCCCGATATTCCATATAATTCCTTGAGCCTCCGGAGTGATTCCTGAGAGCCAGGAGTAACCCCAGAGCACACTGGGTGTACCCCAAAAACAAACAGAATAAAGCAAAAATCCAAAGAGAGAGAGAGAGGAGGATAAAAATTTAGTTGTTCGTTTTTTTTTCTTTTTGGGTCACACCCGGCGATGCACAGGGGTTACTCTTGGCCTCCTGGCTCTGTGCTCAGAAATTACCCCTGGCAGTGCTCAGGGGACCATATGGGATACTGGGAATAGAACCCGGGTCAGCCGCATGCAAGGCACATGCCCTACCTGCTGTGCTATTGCTCCAGCCCCCAAATTTAGTTATTTTTATACTATTTTGGAATAGCAGTGAAAAGATCTGGTTTTGGAGTCAACCTGGCCTTTTTAATTTAAACTGTAGTTGAGACAACATGGTTCCAATAATATTAATGTTTATGCTTTCTTTTGTAGAAAGCTACTATACCCTCCACCATCATCAAAGTACCAAAGGCCCTCTATACTGTTGTTATGTTTACTTCTATTTTTTAAGTTTTATTTATTTATTTATTTATTTAACCAAATCCTGCCAACATTGTTGTTGTTTCATTTGGGGGCCACACCCAGCAATGCTCAGGCCTGATTCCTGACTGTGTGTATACCCAGGGCTGACTCCTGGCGGGCTCCGCAGACCACACGGCATAATGTCAAACTTGGATCAGCCTGCGCTGTGCAAGGCAAGTGCCTTGCCTGCTGTACTGTCTCTCTGGGCTCCTGTTTTTAAGTTCTTACAGCACTGCTACTCCCGTCCACCGAAGCACAGGACCCTTCCACTGTTACCCGAAGGTCCCCCTGCCCTCTCTTTGCACCCTCAGCACAGTTCTGTTGTTGGCCCTCTCAGGATTCATTTGGGGATCTTAACATCTGTTGATTTTATTTTTATTTATTTTTGACTTTTTGGGTCACACCTGGCGGTGCACAAGGGTTACTCCTGGCTTTGCACTTAGGGGACCATATGGGGTGCTGGGAATCGAACCCTGGTGGGCCCTCATGCAAGGCAAATGCTCTACCTGCTGTACTATCACTCCTGCCCCCTCATCTGTTGCTTTTTTTTTTTTTTTTTTTTTTTTTTGCTTTTTGGGTCACACCTGGCATTGCACAAGGGTTACTCTGCTCTCAGGAATTACTCCTGACGGTGTTCAGGAGAACATATGGGATGCTGGGAATTGAACCCCGGTTGACTGCATGCAAGACAAACACCCTACCTGCTGTGCTATTTTTTCACCTTATTTTTTTTTTCATCTGTTGCTTCTAAACCTTCCTTTAAACCCAATCTCTGAGGTCAGGGAAGTGGCTCAGCAGCAAAGCCCACGCTTTGCCTGCAGTGAGACCTGGATACAATCCCAGGCAAATAAATAAATAAAGTGTCTATATTATGTTACGTCTGTGCAACTTACAGAGGAGAGTACTTCATTCATCATCTCATCTGTGAACTGTGGATATACACTAGTACCTGAGAGGTGCTTGGGTTCTTAGCAAATACATAGCACTTAGCTCAGTATTAGCACATGGTTCTTACTACTACAAAATTTCACTTGGGGAAGATAGGTGAGTGGCCAAACCAAAATGAAATGAGTAAGTTTCATGCTTGTCAAGATAAATCTTTGTTTTTGGAGATTCTGGGGATCAAATCCAGGGCCCCATAGATCCAAGGCAAGTGCTCTTCCCTGAGCTCTTCCTCAGCCCCTGCTTTGCTTTATGTTCTTAAAAGTTTGGGGCTTTTGTTTCTGTTTTAGGGGTACACCTGGTAGTGTTCAGGGAACCATACAGGGTGCCGGGGATTGCACCACAATCACTATCACGACCATCCTGTTGTTCGTTGATTGCCTCGAGCAGGCACCAGTAATGTCTCCTTCTTCCTAGCCCTGAGATTTTAAAAGAGTCATATTCAATGCTCTTTCAGGGACAGGAGAATGAGACCCATCATTGTTACTGGTATTTGGCATATTGAGTACGACACAGGAAGTTTGCCAGATTCTGCCATGTGGGCAGGATACTTTTGGTAGCCTGCCGGGTTCTCCAAAGGAAAAAATGAGATAATAAGATGTCGTGCAGCCACAAATGCAGCCGCATGCTTCCAGGAGCTGGGTTTTATAGTCTTTGAGTCTTGGCCGTTGATGGGACCAAACTGGCGCTGGTGGCAGCTGGTGGCAGCTGGTGGGTGTGACGCCTACCTACTGGAAGATGGGGGATCTGGGTGGAGAAGGCCCAGTCCCAATCCGAGCAGGCTTGGAGACCTCAGCCCCGGAACCCATATGCCTGGGTTCCTCTGCCAGTTCCTTCATGCATGAGGCTTGTCCGGACGTGTCGAAAGTGGTCTCAGCATGGCTGTGGCTGGTTCTGGAGGTCTTTGGTTGCTGGGGCTCTGCTGGGGGGGGGGGGGTGCGGAGGGAAACTCAACCCGCCTCCCTCCAAGGGGCCCTGGTGAGGACAGCCAGGTGCGGGGGCAGGAGACTCAGGGGATTGCACCATGCCCACTGTACTGTGTTCCCCGCCGTGATTATTTTTAATAGACTAGGGAGATGAGTCTATACTTGATACTTGCACTTTGTAAATGCTTCTATTATGAACACATATTGTTTGTTTCTTTTTGGAGTGTCATTTTTATGTAAATATAATTATGAGATCATGACAGGGGCCTCTAAAAAACACCCTTAATTGGCTGAGAAGATTCCCAGGATTAGTGTGGTCACACTGAGGGCTCTGATTGACTCTAGAAGGCAAATCAGCTCAAGGAAAAGACCCATCCAGCAAAGGAGATAAGACATGAGCTGCCAGTGGTCTTCACCCAGTGGAATAATGGGGGTACACTTCATCCCTCCAGTAACTGGGCACATTGGTGATGAGAAATGTACACTGGTGAAGGGCATTGGAACATTATATGACTGAAACCAGTCATGATCAACTTTGTACCTATGTATCTCACTGTGATTCAGTTTAAAAAACACAATTTAAGGGGCTTCCCCTGAGCACCACCAGAAATAATTCCTGAGTGCAGAGCCAGGAGTAACCCCTGAGCATTTCTGGGTGTGACCCAAAAAGCAAAAAGCAAAAAAAAAAAAAAAAATTAAATGCTCAGCATCACTTATCATCAGAAAAATATAAATATAAATCAAGACAGCAATGAGAGTATAGGTGCCAGTCTCACACCATGAGAATGGCATCTATAAAATAATCACCATCATCATAATCATTATCTCCCCAGTACCAAGTGGTGACAGCACAGGAGAAATGTTTCTGCCAGAGACATGTGTTGAAATTGGACCTCAAAGCTGGTGTATGTGAGATTCCAGAGCTCAAACCCAGGGCCTCACACATGCAAGACCAGTTCTCTGCTGCTGCTCTGCCTCTCTGCTCCTAGTTTGTTGTATTGTTTTTTTTTTTCCATGAATGCTCTTTGTTGCTGTTTTTGCAGTTGATAAGATCATATGACCTTTTCTTCCTTAAGGTGCTAGTATAATGACTTTCACTAAATGCTTACATTAGTTAATGTTGGACTAGGCTTGCATACCTAGAATGCTCTACTTGACTTTGCTGTATAATTTTTTTACACAGTTGGGTTTCAAACTGTGGAAGATTTTTGTGTCTGTGCTCATGAGAGACATAGTCTCTAGGGGGTTTTTGGGAGTATTTTTGTCTAATTTTAGTTTCAGAGTAAAACTGTCCTCATGGGAGTTCAAAGTATTTCCTTCTGTGAGCCAGAGTGTAGTACAGCGAGTTGGGCATTTGCCTTGCATATGGCCAACCAGGATGCGATCCCAGCATTCTGTATGGTCCCCTGAGCACCACCAGTAAGCCCTGAGCATCTCTGGGTGTGCTTCCCCCACCACACACAAAGCCTTTTTTTTTTTAAAGTATTACCTTCTGGTTTTATTTTCTGGAATAAATGATTGAGATCTAGTATCATTTCTTCCTTAAGTGTTTGGTAGAATAAACCAGTGACATCATCTGTACCTGGTGCTTTCTGTTTAGGACAATAGTTATTAAATCAGTGCCCTTAATGGACCAGTGCCCTTAATCAGTGCCTGTTCATATTATTTATACCTCTTTACATGAATTTCAGTAACTTGTCCCTTTTAAGGAACTGGTTCATTTTATCAAGTTGTCAAATTTGTGAATTAGAGTTGTTTAGTATGCATCGCAACCTAGCACTCTTGTCTCCCAAACATTCATACTCTTTCTGAGACATTTTGTCTGTCTTGTCTTTTTGTTTTGTCTTGGGGCCACACCTGGTTGTGCTCAGGGTTTTTTTTCCCACTGAATCAGTCCTGGCTGGGTCACAAGAACCACATGAGGTACCAAGGATCAAAGTAGATCAGCAAGCCGAGTGCCTTACTTAATCCAGTATTATTTCTCTGGCCGCATTTACCAGGCAAGTTATATTGAATTGATTGGGGGAGGGGGAGGGGGGGAGGGGGAGGGTGTGTGGCACACTTGGCAATCCTTAGGGTTTACAACTGGCTCTATGCTCAGAAATCATTCCTGGAGGGATATATATATATATATATATATATATATATATATATATATATTTGCTCGAGCGGGCCCAGTAACGTCTCCATTGGAGACTTTGTTGTTACTGTGTCTGGCATATCGAGTACGTCTCGGGGGGCTTGCCAGGCTCTGCCGGGCGGGCGAGATACTCTCGGTAGCTTGCCGGTCTCTCCGAGAGGGGCGGAGGAATCGAACTCGGGTCGGCCATGTTGGCTGCGTGCAAGGCAAACGCCCTACCGCTGTGCTATCACTCCAGCCATATATGCGATAGCACAGCGGTAGGGCCTTTGCCTTGCACGCAGCCAACATGGCCGACCCGAGTTCGATTCCTCCGCCCCTCTCACAGAGCCTGGCAAGCTACCGAGAGTGTCTCGCCCGCACGGCAGAGCCTGGCAAGCTCCCCGTGACGTATTCGATATGCCAGACACAGTAACAACAAAATCTCCAATGGAGATGTTACTGGGCCCGCTCAAGCAAATCGATGAACAATGGGAGGGCCTTTACCTTTACCCTTTTACCTTACAGTCCTCAGGCCAGGTTAGTCTTCCTAGCCCCAGCAAGGTCCTAGTCTCGTCGTTACTTACTTTTGGATCATGACAGCACTTGTCCATGATTGTGCCCTTAACTTATAGTTGAGTATTGTGGCGCTTTGGCCTGGCCCATTTCAATGCCAGGGTAGCTCACAGCTTGTCCTGGGTCCATTCAGTTCCTCGTTGGGACCCTGCTTTTGGGGTGCTAAACTATGCTAAGGACATAACTTACAATACAAGTTCAGTGTCCTTAGAAGGATCTTACCTTACAAGCTAACAATATGATCAGGAAGAAAAGGTAATTAACTGGCTGGGGAGGAGAGCACAGAGAAGAGTTTACAGATAAACAGAGGAATGGGAGTGACTAGGGAGCACTGTGATGGGTGTAACCCAATAAACCTAAGCTCCCTGTGGCAATGTTATTCTACATCTTTGTTATTTATTTACTTGTTTATTTTTGGTTTGGGGGCCAGACCTGGTGGTGCTCAGAGCTTGCCTCTTGTTCTCTGCTCAGGAGTCACTTCTACTGGAGCTTGGGGAAACCATATAGTGGTGCCAGGAATCAAACCAAATTGGCTACATGCAAGGCCTTATCCCCTGTACTCTCTCTCTAGCCCGTTTTGAATGACTTGAATTCATATTAAGAGTTTAGTTAGGGGGCTGGAGAGATAGCACAGTGGGTAGGGTGTTTGCCTTACACGTGGCTGGCCTGGGTTCAATTTCCAGCATCCCATATGGTCCCCTGAGCACTGCCTGGAGTAATTCCTAGTGAAGAGCCGGAAGTAACCCCTGTGCATCGCCAGGTGTGACCCATAAAGCAAAAGATAATAATAATAAAAATAATAAGACTTTAGTAGAATTAATATGGCAAATATAGAGGGGCAAGATGTCAGTCATTCTGGAAATTCTGCCTCACTGGTTGGCACTTAATAAAGGCCATGGAGGTTATTCCAGGGAACTAGAACACAGGTTTTGCATGCAGGGGTCCTGGTTTGATCCCCAGCACCTCTTGTTCCCCTGAGCACCACTTTTTTATGATTCCCCCCAAAACATAATAATTAGTAGTCTAGTATAAATTATTTTCCAATTAGAAGGAACAGTGGCAGAGAGTGTAGGTGATTATCATGATACTATTTTCTAGTATTTGAGAACTTGCTGTGTGTTGGGGTGTGTACTGGTATGAGTTTACATTTCATTTTCCCAAAAACAATGTGAGCCAGGTGTTGGTAATTGCATTTACATCTGAGCAAGCCAAATCACAGAGCAGCAGAGAGTGCCCTGCCCAAAGTCCGTGTGATTTAGTGCCGGTACCTACACACCAACACTGAAACCTGTCCTTCTCTACACCCCTCTGCTGATTAAAAAGGGGCAGTCAGCAGTAGGGAGAGGACCTCTCAGGGTGTGTATGCTTTTGCCTAAGAAATGGCATGTCATTGCTTTGGAAAGACATAATACTTTGTGATAATATCTGGTATCATATGAGCATGCATAGAATTACCTAGAATAGAGTTGCCTAAATTAAAACATTGCCCTGAGTATGAGCATTTTAATAGCAACTCTATAATAACTATTTTGCAAGAAAATTTGATCTCATGATAAAGAGGGGTGCCCTTGACTCAGTGGTGAACTGGGCTCCGTAGTGACCTTGGCTCCATGGTGACCTTGGCTCTTGTGGTGATCTTACCTCCATGGTGACCTGGCCCCCATAGTGGCCTTGCCCCCATGGTAACCTTGCTTTCATAGTGCCTTTGCTTGGGGCTGGAGCGATAGCGCAGCGGGTAGGGCATTTGCCTTGCACGGGTCCAACCTGGGTTCGATTCCCAGCATCCCATATGGTCCCCCAAGCAGTGCCAGAAGTAATTCCTGAATGCCAGAAGTAATTCCTGAGAGCCAGGAGTAACCCTGAGCATTGCTGGGTATGATGCATAGTGACCTTGCTTTTGTGATGACTTTACCCCCATGGTGACCTTGAGTCCATGGTGAACTTGTGTGTGGTGACCTTGCCTCTGTGACCTTGCCCCAATGGTGGCCTTACCCCCATGGTGATCTTGCCTTCATAGTGACCTTGCTTTTGTGATGACTTTACCCCCCATGGTGACCTTGAGTCCATGGTGAACTTGTGTCTGTGGTGACCTTTCCCCTGGGGTTACCTTGGTTTCATGGTGACCTTGGTTCCATGGTGACTTTGTGTCCATGGTGACCTTGCACCCACGGTGACCTTGCCCTCATAGTCACCTTACCCCCATGGTCACCTTGGTTTCATGGGAACCATAGTTCCATGATGACCTTGTGTCCATGATGACCTTGCTTCCATGTAACTGCCACCCCTTCTGTAAGTTGCTGGTTGGCAGTAATGGTTGTTTTCTGTGCAGGGTTTGTGATGCAGGAGCCGACAATCAGCCTCTGAGTGTGAGTCAACAAACAAACTGTGACTATCTTGTTGACAACCTTTTTGAGGAAGCTCAAAAGGTCGGTGCCAAATGCCTGTCTCCCAGTGAACAGAAGAAACAGGTACGTTTACATTATTTTTTCTGTCAGTTACTATTTAAGTTACTATTTCTTTTCTCTTTTGTTTTGTTTGGGGGGGGGCATGCCCAGAGGTATTCAGGGCTTATTCCTGGCTCTGAGCTCGGGAGTCACTTCTAGCAGGGCTCAACGGACCATATGGGTTCTGAGGAATCAGGGTTGAGCGCATGCAAGGTGAGCATTTCGCATGCTGTCCTATCTCTCTGACCCGGGGCACTGATATTGAAAACCAAAGCTGGGACCCAGGGAGATAGTACAATGAGTAGGACACTTGCCTTGAGGCTGGCACAGACTTGCCCCCCCAGGATCTTGTATGGGCCCCCGAGTCCTGCCAGGAGTAATCTCTGAGTGGAGAGCCAGGAGTAAGCCCTGAACACAGCCAAAGAAACAGAAAACAAACCAAAACAGAGAAGAAAAGCAATACTGGTGCTTTCAAATGAGTCACAGCTGTGGCATCAAACAGTCCTAGTTATTGCTTTGTTCTTTGATTGTCCTTGCAGGTGAGCAAAGCCTTTGATTGGAACTAGAGAGAGAATACAGGGATTGAAGCTCTTGACCTTGCATCAAACCTGGCAGTTTGATTACTGGCACTGCATGACATCACATGGCACCATATGGTCCCACAAGCACTGCTGGGCCTAAACCCTTACTCCCTACAAAGTCTTTAAAGGGTTAGAGAGAACAACTGGTAGGGAACTTGACTTGCACGGTCCCTTAAATCTCAACTCTTCAAAACATAGCTTAGTGGTCTGTGTGACTAAGCCTGAAGCATATGTAAAGCAATTCTTTAATGACAGAAGTCTCTTAGGGCAAGGTGCCATGGTTTTTAAAAACTATGCCACAGAGATGCCAATCTGCAAATAATTTCAGGTGTCCAAGCCGAGACCTGTAATGGTTTTTTTTCGGGGGGTGGGGGCAGTCAACGCCTCCCAAAGCAACAAACAGCTTAATAAATTCTTAGACAAGGACTTAACCTTGTGATTAAGTCTTAACCCTGTGATAACAGTCTTCATATAAATGGCAGGTAGGGCATTTGCCTTGCACATGGCTAACCTGGGTTCGAGTCCTCTATCCCTCTCAGAGAGCCTAGCAAGCTACCGAGAGTATCCCACCCACACGGCAGAACCTGGCAAGCTCCCCATGGTATATCTGATATGCCAAAAACAGTAACAAGTCTCACAACGGAGACGTTACTGGTGCCCGCTCGAGCAAATCAATGAACAATGGGAGGACAGTGCTACTGTGCTATTTATTTCAATGTTGCATCTATTTTTTTTTACCTAATCAGTTTTAATTCTAGACTCATATCAACAGTTGTTGCCTTTTCTACATTAAAATAAATTTTAAAAATGAAAACTTAAAAACTATGCTGAATAAATAAAGGTGATACCGATGAAAATGAGGCTGAGTTGTCTGGGTTTTGTTTGGTTTGGGTCTTGGTGTCAGGAGTTGAACCCAGAGCCACGCACAGGTAAAGAATGTGCTCTGTTGCTGAGCCACTCCACCAGCCCAGAATTGTTTGCGTTGTCTGCTGCTTCTGGTCATTCTGCATAAAGAATGTTTGTTTGTCTGTTTGTTTAATTGGATCACCACTTACAAAGTTTTCATGTTTGAGTTTTAGTCATACAGTGATTGAACACCAGTGCACATTCTCCACCACCAATGTCCCCAGTATCCCTCCCCTCCCCCTGCCTCTATGGCAGACAATTTCTATCATACGCACTCTCTCTCTCTCTCTCTTTCTCTCTCTCTCTCCTTTTGGGCATAAGGTTTGCAGTACAGATATCGAGAGGCCATCATGTTTGGTCCTTTATCCACTTTCAGCACACATCCCCATCCCTAATGCTCCCTCCAATTATCACTGATTTAATGATCCCTTCTCTATTTCAGCTACCTTCTCCCCCAGCTCTTAAGGCAGTGCCTCCATGTTTGACATGCAGTACCCCTGGATTCCATTTCTGGTACCCCACGGACCCCTGAGTATCCCCCAGCACCACACCAGGAGTAGCCCTGACCGCTGTTGGGTGTGGACCCCTCCCTGCAACCCCCCAAAATTACTTATAGATGACCATGGTTATCCAGACCATAGATTGTTGGCAGACATTTTTTTCAGAATGAGTAAAGTTAATTTGGCACTTCATAAAAAACAACTTGCAGTATTTGCTGAGAGAGAAATCCTTTATTTTGTCAACTTATTTAGTGAAAATATGAATTTTGGTAAAGTGCCACCACACATTTGACAGCTTTCCAAAACAGAATTTTTTTATTAGATCATTGTCATGAATATATTTTTAAAATATTGTATAATGAGAGATAGCAACTTGGGAAGATTTGCATGACTCAGTACCAATATTTTCCAAATCAACGTATGATTGGAAAGTGTCCTGTGGTCTGATGGATTCCGATATCATGGTGTTTGAGAAGACTTTTGTTTCAGATTCCATAACCACATTCTTCAATCTTGAATACTGCCACACTTTAAATATTGATGTTGTGTTGATGTGTTGTGATATGATGCTGATGAAGAATATCCCAGAAAATTTGTTTAAAATGTTTCTTTTTTGCAACTATGTATCAGTACAAATAGCTGGGCTGAAATCAGCCCTTTGGAGATTCCCCACTGACTTGTTCTATTTTTGTTTTGGGTCAGGCCTCATTGTGCTTAAGGGTCACTCCTGATTGTGTACTCAGTAATCATTCCTGGTGGGCTTGGGGACCCTATGGGATGCCAGAATCAAACCTAGGTCAGCCACATACATGGCAAATATCCTAGCTGCTGGACTCTCTCTTTGGCTCCCAATTGACCTTTTGAAGTTAGGAGTTTTTTAATCCCTTCACTCTAATTTACCTTAATTTTTTGTTTGTTTTTTGTTTGGGGGCCACATGCAGCAGTGCTCAGGTCTTTTTTTTTTTTTCCTTTTTCTTTTTTTTCATCACCCAGTGATGCTCAGTGGTTACTCCTGACTCTACACTCAGGAGTTACTCCTGGCGGTGCTCAGGGGACCATATGGGATGCCAGGGATTGAGCCCAGGTTGGCTGCATGCAAGGCAAATGCCCTACCTGCTGTACTATTGCTCATTGAGTCTGAGTCTGCTTTGCCTGTGTGCAAGGCAAATAAACGCCCTGCCCACTGTACTATCACTCTGACCCCACCTTTAATTTTTTGAAGGGTTTTTTTTTTGGCCATACCCAGGGTCCTCATGACTTATTATGTTAATTACATCTAAATGGGAGAGCCTGCAGTTTTAGCAGAATAGTGCTCACAGAGTCACCCCCAGTGATGTTCAGGGGCTCCTGCACACGTGTACAGCATTCACTCGAGCACTTTTGAGCCATCTCTCAGCCCTACATCTCAATTTTATTTTATTTTTAAGAATTTTACATATTTATTGGCTTTTTTGGGTCACACCTGGTGATGCTTAGGGGTACCTCCTGGCTCTGCACTCAAGAATTACTCCTGGCATTGCTAGGGGGACCATATGGGATGCCAGAGATTAAATCCACGTTGGCCACATGCAAGGCAAACGCTCTCCCTGCTGTACTGTCTCCCCGGCCCCTGCATCTCAATTTTAAAGAATAAAGCATAAAGATATTCCCAGAGGGAGGTTTTTAAAGAACTTTTAGCCTGCCACTTTTTTAATTGTCTTTTTGGCTACAACTGGTGGTCCTCAGGGTTTACTTCTGGCTCTGAGCTCAGGGATTACTCCTAGAGGGGCTTGGGAGACTATCTGGGGTGCTGGGATCAAACTCAGGTCAGTTGTGTGCAAGGCAAACACCCCATCTGCTGTACTATCTCTCCTGCTCCTCAACACACTTTAGCATGCTTTGTTTCTTTTTTGCAGGTAGATGTAAACATAAAATTATGGAAAAATGGGTTCACAGTCAATGATGACTTCCGAAGTTATTCTGATGGTGCAAGTCAGCAGTTTCTGAATGCCATCAAGAAAGGGTAAGCGCTCTGTGGGCAGGTTTAGTTGGGGAGAATCATATTCCATGTTGTCTACACACTCCTGCATATTCACAAGCACACATTTTCTTTTAGAAGTTCAAAATTTCGGGGCTGGAGCAATAGCACAGCAGGTAGGGAGTTTGCCTTGCACGCAGCCAACCCGGGTTCAATTCCCAGCATCCCATATGGTCCCCCGAGCACCGCCAGAAGTAAGTCCTGAGTGCATGAGTCAGGAGTAATCACTGTGTATCACTGGGTGTGACCCAAAAAGAAAAAAAAAGTTCACAATTTCATAAAATAGTTTTTTTTTTCTTTTTGGGTCATACCCAGTGATGCTCAGGGCTTACTCCTGGCTCTGCACTCAGGAATTACTCCTGGCGGTGCTCAGAGGACCATATCAGATGCCGGGGATTGAACCTGGGTCAACCTCATGCAAGGCAAATGCTCTATCGCTCCAGCCCAAAATAGGTTTCCTTAAGAGAAACTTGGTGGTGGTGGTGGTGGTGGTGGGATGGTCCTGAGGATGGACCCCTGGGTCTCACACATGCAAAATCAAACATGCCACTGCTGAGCACATCCCTGGCCAGAAGATTTTTTTTTAATTTTTGCTTCTGGGCCACACCCAGCTGTACTCAGTCAGGGCTTACTCTTCACTCTGTGTTCAGGGATCACTCCGGTAGAGAAATCATATGGGAGTGTTGGGGATCAAACCTAGATTAGCTGCATGCAAGGCAAGTCAAGTACCTTATCCACTGTACTATCTTTCTGGTCTCAGAAATATTTTCTTTATTGTGTATGTCAGGGGAGAGGAGGGGAGGTTGGAAGTCCATACCTGTGGTATTCCGAAGCCACTCCAGCTGTGGTGCTCAGAACCATATTGGTGTGGGGGGTCCAACCTGGGTCAGCCATGCCTTATCCCCCCTGTATTTATCTCCTGTTCTTATCCCCTGACGTTTTCTTGAGAAGTTCAGAGAAACCAATTTTGAAGAGTTTAGGAATTTGAATTATGATCAACCCAAATCTGATTTACACCAATTCACTTTTGCCAAGTATCCCATAATAACGCATCCTCCTTGGCATTTAATGTGTAAGTGCTTATAGACTTTGAATTGTGATTTGCATTACCCTGTGATGCTTATTTTTCATTCATAATGCTAGGTGCTGTAGATGCCTGATGAATTTATTTTCTTTACTTTTGGATTTCAGGGGTTTTTTTTGTTTGTTTTGAGGGGATATGGTTTGCATGGAGGACTTGCTCTGGATCACTCCTGGTAGTGGCCAGGAGAGCACATGTGGTTAAGTGGATGAAACCTGGGTCAGCTGCATGCAAGGCAAGCACCCTGGCCACTGTATTATCTCTCTCGCCTCTCTTTATTTTTGCCTTGGGACCACACCTAGCCATGCCCAGAGGCTGCTCCTGACTCTGCTCCTAGATGTGCACTTCTTGCATTGCAGAACCGGAGTCTAACACACACGCAAGGCCTTCCCTATAGGAGCTTTCTAGTCACTTTTAGGTTTAATTTTATTCTGGCAATTCCTGTGGTTAAAATCATTTATATTATGCATATGTTTCTTTTAAAATATAATTTTAGATTAATTTAGGAAAGTGTGAATATATCTGCATATTTTAATTCGATGATGGTACATAATTAACATATTCATATATACACATATATACTTAGCTATTGGCAATTTTAAGTTATTTATTTTAATAGGATAAAAATAATATGTTTGGGGCTGGAGCGATAGCACAGCAGGTAGGGCGTTTGCCTTGCACACGGCCAACCCGGGTTCCAGTCCCAGCATCCCATATGGTCTCCTGAGTGCAGAGCCAGGAGTAACCCCTGTGCCCCGCTAGGTGTGACCCAAAAAGCAAAAAAAAAAAAAAAATATATATATATATATATATATGACTGGGCCGGAGTGATAGTACAGTGGGAAGGGCATTTTTCTTGAATGCGCCTGACCCTGGTTCAATCCTCAGCATCTCATATGATCCCCTGAGCACCATCAGGAATGATATTCTGAGTGCTGAGTTAGGAATAACCCCTGAGCATTGCCAGGTGTGACCCAAAAAAATCCAAAAATAAATAAATAAATAACACCCAGCAATGCTCAGGAGGCACTTTACAGAACCGTATGGGATGCCGGGGATCGAACTTGGGTCAGGTGCATACAAGGCAAAGGCCTTGCCTGTTGTACTATCTCTGCAATCCCAACCTTGTGGTACCAGGATCAAAGCCAGGTCCTCACCTGTGCTAGGCAAGTCCAGTATTACCGAGCCGCATTCCTGGCCTGATAAGGTTTTTATGTATGAGTGGTGTTTTTTAAAATGTTTTGCTTTTTCGTTTTTTGTTTTGTTTTGATTTGGTTTGGGGACCACACCTGGCAGTGCTCAGTCCTGGCTCTACACTCAGGAATTACTCCTGGTGGTGCTTGAAGGCACCCACAGAGTGCCAGGGATCAAACCCGGGTTGGCTGTGTGCTAGGCAAACAACCCACCTACTGTACTAGCTCTCCCACCCAGATAATGCATTTTTTAAAATTCTCTCAGGTTCAGGGACGAGTTTTTGACTATTTACCTTATGGAAACTGCCCGACTACTTGAGAGGGACTGCCTGTGGACTTTGCCACCAGCTGCAGGGGCTTCTGGTTTTCCATCCCCTGCGCACACTTGTCAATGTCTCTGTTAAGCCATTGCCACCTGAGGGATGCGTGCACAGGCTGCAGGGTCAAGCTGGCACCACGTGGACTGGTCGCCCCAGTACGGCCCAGCCAGAGCAGCGTCTCCACAGCAGGCCTGAGCTCTGAGCCCCCACAGTATGTCCCGCCCCTCTGAGCACCGCTTAGAGGGAAAAGTTTTTAAAGCTGTCAGAGCAGAACCAGAGCCATGGGGCAGTGGGTAGGGTTTCTGCTTTGCATACAGTCAACCCAGGTTCGATCCCCAGAACCCCATATGGCTCCCCTGAGTCATCCAGGAGTGACCCCTGAGTGCAGAGCCAGGAGTAACCCCTGAGCAGGTGTGGCACCCCCTCAAAGTAAAAGGGTATTATAATTATCAGATAAATTTATTTATAAACAACTGTTAAAGTTCATCCATTGGGAGTAGAGATGACTCATGGGCTGCGTGCGTTCTCTGCACATAGGAGACCTGAGTTAGATCCCTGAGCACCACCCCAAGCTCTGCCAGGTATAGACCCCAAACAAAAACAAAAATGTATTATCTGTTTCAAAACTTTTGATGGTCAGAGACAGTGATAGAGGGACACTGGCTCCCCACGCAGGGTGTGGGGTAGCAGCATTGCATTTTTTTCCTTTTTGGGTCACACCTAGTGATGCTCAGGGGTTACTCCTGGTTCTGCACTCAGGAATTATTCCTGGCAGTGCTTGGAGGACCATATGGGATGATGGGGATCGAACCCAGGTCAGCCACGTACAAGGCAAACGCCCTACCTGCTGTGCTATTGCTCAGGCCCCAGCATTGCATTCTTGAAGCAAAACTCTGGTAATGCCATTATAAATCACAATGCCTACATTGAAAAGGCAATAAATAAAAGTTTCCTGTGGAATTCCATTGCTTATATCAAATATATAATCTGTGCCATGTAAATGAGCTTTAAACATCTTTGGGCACTGGTGGAGGGATGGGTGTTTGATCATTGTACAATTGAAACCCAAGCACAAAAATTTGTAAATCTACAACTATACCTCATGATGTTTCACTAACAAAAATTTTTTTAAAAATGTAAATGATGGAGAATGGGTGGAGGGATGGGTACTGGATCATTTTATAACTGAAACCCAAGCACAAAAATTTGTAAGTCTTTGACTGTACCTCATGGTGTTTCACTAATAAAAATTTAAAAAAATAAACAATAAATTCCAATCTGGTCTACAAAATATTCTTTAAACTTTAAAATTTATAGAGAAATGGAAGACCTTAGCTTGAGAACCTGAGAGATAGTACCGGGGTTAAGGTTCTTACCCTCCATGCTGCAGGCTCTGGTTTAATTCCTGGCATCAGTATGGTCCCCCAGAAATCCACCAAGGAGAGCAGAGCCAAGAACCTCAGGGTTTGGGTCCCTCCCCTGCTTCCCCAAAAAGTGGGGAGGGGAAGCTTTAGAGAGATAATTTCTAAAGAAAAAATAATTAAAACCCTTAAAGCAAGATCCTAGTAGACCAAGGATATGGCACAGGGGCAGATCAGATGCTTTGCATGTATGAAACCTGGGTTTGATCCCCAGTAACAAAGGCAACGACAAGACTCACAATATCCAGCAAATACTACCTCAAGTCCTGCTGTGCACCAGGCACTGTGTCTGGGACTGGGACATATTTATGAATAAGGCAGAGGGGTCCCTTGTTCCTCTGAAGTTTCCACTATTCAGGAGAAATGGAGTAATGCCAGTGCTCAGAGACTGGAGTAGCCCTGGAGCACAGTTGGGTGTGACCCCGCACCCCAAAACAAAAAATAAATAAGTACTAAATAATAAAAGTGAGAACAGTTTTTAAAAGAAAAGGGAAAATTAACAAAAGCAACCAAATTGTTTAAATGAGTCGCGTGTAGTCATCAAACCTGACTCACTTCTGCAGTTGTCCAGGTGCTGCTGAATTATCAGCTTATGAGTTATTTTATTATTATTATTAATATTATTATTATTAGGTTTTGTTTTGGGCCACACACAGTGGAGCTCGGGGTTTACTCCTAGCTCTGTGCTCACAGATCATTTCTGGTAGACTCAGGGGGCCACATGTGGAGCTGGGGATCAAACCTGGGCTGGCTGTATCTAAGGCAAGCACCCTACCCATTGTACCGTCACTCCAGTCTCCTGAATTTATTATTTAAAAAATTAGAACCAGGGCACAGAGTCAGGACTAACTTCTGAGTACTACCAGGCATGGCCCCAAAACAAAAATGACTATTTCTTCCGGGGTTTTGATTTTCATATTATTTAACTAAATAATTTTAAATGCAGAGGCTGAAGCAATAGCACAGCAGGTAAGGCATTTGCCTTGCATGTTGCCGACCCGTGTTCGATTCCCAGCATTCCATATGGTCCCCCTGAGCACCGCCAGGAGTAACCCCTGTGTATCGCCGGGTGTGACCCAAAAAAATAAATAAAAAACAAACAAAAAATAATTTTAAATGCATTTAGTGTTTTCATTTGTCAAGAATATCAGTATGCCCCAATATTTTCCAGATCTATTTGTATATGAAATCATATTTCAGAGAGAAAAAAAAACAAAAGGAAACATTGGGAGCCTTATCATTTTGGTTTTTTTTTACCTCCCAAGGGAGTTGCCCCTGGAACTGGAGGGGCTTTTTGATAAAGAGGAGGTGGATGTGAAGGTCGAAGATAAGAAGGATGAAGTCTGCACCTCCACCAAGCCTGTGTTCCAGCCTTTCTCCGGACAGGGCCACAGACTGGGAAGGTGAGTAGCCCCTGGTCTGCGGTTGCCGTGAGCAGAAGCTTGACTCATGTCCAGTCCCTTGTTTATTACCATGGAGACCACACAGAGAGCTTATCCTTCCTCCCACTGGGAATGAAATTTCCTTTGTAACTTTTGTTTTTGTTTGGAGGGAGTCTGGCAAGCTCCCCGCGATGTATTTGATATGCCAAACACAGTAACAACAAGTCTCACAATTTGTTGTGAGATGTAACTGGTGCCCCCTTGAGCAAATCGATGAACAAGGGGAGGACAGTGCTACAGTGCTTGGAGGGAGTCATACCTGGTATGTGCTGGAGGCTGATCTCAGCACAGCGCTCAGGCACGGGTGGTGCCAGGGATCAACCCCGGGACCCAGTCTCTGTAGCTTGTGTTCCAGCCCTGTAAGCCATCGCCCCAGCCTGTTAGTCTTTCTTCTTTTTCTTTATCACCCCAGGATTAATTTCTTGTCCTCCTTTTTTGTTACTTTGGGGTCTCTACCCTGCAGTGCTCAGGGGCGCCCCCTGTGGTGCCTGGGGAAATCGTGCAGCTGTGAGGATGGAATCTAGACCACCTGTATGCGAAGCATGTGCTCAGCGTGTTGATCCATCTCTCTGGTCCTCAGGGCCTCATTTCAATACAGAATTTACCTTTTCACTTAGAAGAAAAGAAATTGTGGGTGCCTCCTCAGGCCTTAGAGCTTCTTCACTGGGAAGGTGCTGGTTGTGCCCATGCTGGGGGCTATCATGGCCACGCCTGGTACCTGAGAAATGAGGTCTGACTTATTCAAGTATTCTTAAAAGCAGAGGTTGTTGAGGCATTTGCCTGGCATGTGACTCACCATGGGTGGTGCTGGTTGCCCACGCTGGGCGCCATCATGGCCACACCTGGTAATTAGGTCTGACTTATGCAAGTGTTTAAGAGCAGTGCTGGAGGTATAGCAAGGGGTTGGGAAGGCATTTGCCTAGCATGTGACTCACCATGGTTCAATCCCCTGCACCACATATATGCCCCAAGCACCCCCAAGAGTGACCCCTGAGCACAGAACCAAGAGGAAGCCCTGAGCACTGCTAAGTGTGGATCCCGAACAAAGCTATATTACTTTTGAAAAACATATAGGTTTAATGATAAAGGTAATTAATTGCCTAATGGACAAACATGCATCTTACTTTGTTGTCTGGATTTTTAGTGCCACGCCAAAAATTGTTTCTAAAGCAAAGAGTATTGAAGTTGAGAACAGAAATAACTTGTCTCCTGTCCCACTGAACCCCCAAGAGCCTGTCACTAACATACAGATCTGGTTGGCCAATGGGAAAAGGATTGTCCAGAAATTCAACGTTTCTCATAGGTGAGTCTTATCACATTATTTGTCTGACTTTGTTTTGGGGGATCACTCCGGGTGATGCTTACGGTTACTCCCAGAGGTGCTCAGGGGCTGGGACTGTGAGGGCTGGGGAAGGAACCCGGACTTCCACATGCAAAGCAAGCACTCTCATCTTTTGCACTATCTCCCAGTTCTGTATTTTTATTTTTAATTTAAATTTTACTTCATCAGCATAATCTGTAGTTTAAAGTTTGCTAAGTAGGGCTTGGAATGTAGCCGAGAGTTAAAGGATATGCCTTGCATGTGTGAGACCCTGAGTTATGTCCCTGGCACTGCAAAAAAAAAAAAATTTATAACATTGGGGCAGGGAGATGGTTCCGTGGCTAAGGCACCTGTGTTCCCAGAGTAAGGTTGTAAGTTTGGGCCCTCGTGCTCTGTGCATGCGTTAATCGGAATCTGGGCAGCACTGCTCTGAGATTCGCCTTGCCATGCGGAAGTTCCAGCCACACATCAGCCAGGCATGTGTAAACATGTCATCTGAAAAACCAAAGACAAGAGGGTTTTGCACTCCTGGGGTCAGTAATTCAACCCCCAGCAAGCACTACAACCAACATGAGTGAGAGCACCACTGTGTGACCACTTCATCTGAGTGTGTGAGCATAGCGGTTAGAGAGATGAAGGGCCGGAAGCACCACCACCATGTGTTTTGGTGTGTGACCCCCCCACAAGCACCACAGTATCTGCAGGGGGAAGAGGTAGCGTGCATGTAATTTTCCAATCTCCTCACCTCTTTCCAAATACTTGGTGTATCTTCCCGTCAATAGGATGCTGTCCATCAATAGGATGGAAATACCTATCATCCGGCTCTCTAGATAGAAATCTAGTGCCCGTGCACTTGTACAGACAAAGATCCAGACCGCTTCTAGGTCTGCTGTTTCCTCGGCCACCATCCTGCCGCCCAGAGGCTGAAGCTCCACAGCATTGCACGACCTCGTCTGGGATGAAATCATAGCTGGCATGTCTCTGCTTAATTTTCATGACTTTGACTTTTTAAAAATTATTGTAAGCCAATCTTCCCATGTGATTCTTTGTTGTTGTTCAGGTGCACATGCCTGTACTTAGGAGTTACTCCTAGCTCTGTGCTCAAACACTCCTGGTGGGCAACACATGGGGTGTCAGGGATCAAACCCAGGTTGGTCCCATGCAAGGCAACGCCCTTCCCATTGTAGTGTTACTTCCCCAGCCCCTTTATTTGATGGCTTTTTTCCCCCCTTGTTTTTTTTTTTTTTTTTTTGGCCACTCCTGGAAATGCCCAGGGATTACTCCTGGCTCCATACTCAGGAATTACTCCTGGTGGTGCTCGGGGAACCGTATGGGATGTCAGGGATCAAACCTTGGTCAGCTGCATGCAAGGCAAGTGCCCTACCCACTATAATATCTCCAACCCCTGGAGTGATTTTTAAAAGAAAATCTTGGGGCTGGAGCGAAAGCACAGTGGGTAGGGCGTTTGCCTGGCACATGGCTGATCCGGGTTCAATTCCCAGCATCCCATATGGTCCCCTGAGAACTGCCAGGGGTAATTCCTGAGTGCAGAGCCAGGAGCAATCCCTATGCATCTCCGAGTGTGACCCAAAAAGAAAAATAATTAATGAATTAATTTAAAAAGTTTAAAAAAAAAAGAAAAGAAACTCTTATCACCAGCACAACTGATGATAGAAAAGGGGATGTCATGTGGAAACACATGTACATTAATGACTGAATCACAAATGATACCAAGGATTCAAGTCTGACTAATGTTCAAGTATCAGGAATAATTGAACCATTATATTCTACATATGTTATAGAGGCATAAAAGTGACTTGTGAAGTGTTTATGTGTAGTTAGTTATATTTTAATTTTTATTTTTAAATTTGTTTCATTTGGGGGCCATGCCTGGTGGTGCTCAGGGCTTACCCTGGCTCTGCACTTAGGGAACACTCCTGGTAGGCTCAGAGGACCATATGGAGTGCTGGGGATGGAACCCTGGTTTGCTGTGTGCAAGGCAGACACTCTGTCCACTGTATTATCACTCTGACCCCTGTGTAGTTAACTTTAAAAGTGCTCTTTCATGGACTGGAAAGATAGTGCAGGAATTAAAGCACTTCCTTGGCCCATGACCAATCCAGGTCTATTCCCAACACTGCATATTGTCCCCTAGCACCACCAGGCGTGACCCCTGAAGGACTACTGGGTATGTCCCTCCCCCCAGAAATGTGTAGGAATGCTAGTGGATCATTTTTCATTTAGAGCTAGATATAGAGATAAAGGTAAAGGTAAAGGCCCTCCCGTTGATCGTCGATTTGCTCGAGCGGGCCCAGTAACGTCTCCATTGGAGACTTTGTTGTTACTGTGTCTGGCATATCGAATACTCTCGGTAGCTTGCCGGGCTCTCCGAGAGGGGCGGAGGAATCGAACTCGGGTCGGCCATGTTGGCCGCTTGTAAGGCGAACGCCCTACCCGCTGTGCTATCACTCCAGATATAGAGATATAAAAACTTAATTATGGGGACTGGAGTAATAGTTCAGAGGGAAGGGTGCTTGGCTTGCACACGCCTGATACAGGTTTGATCTCTGGCATCGCCTATGGTTCTCTGAACATTGTCAGGAGTGATCCCTGAGTTCAGAGCCAGGAGTAAGTCTTGAGCACCCCTGGGGTGTCCCCCCAAAAAACCCCCCAACTTTATTTATTTATTTTTAAAATTTTTATTAGTGAAACACCATGAGGTACAGTTGTAGATTTACAAATTTTTGTGCTTGGGTTTCAGTTATACAGTGATCAAGTACCCATCCCTCCACCAGTGCTCATTCTCCACCACCACTGATCCCAGTAGCCCTCCCAGCCCCCAGCCCCCTATCCCACCCTGCCTCTGTGGCAGGGCATTCCCCTTTGTTCTCTCTCTCCTTTTGGGTGGTGTGGTTTGCAAAAGAGGCATTGAGTGGCAATCATGTTCGGTCTAGAGTCTACTCTCAGCACGCATCTCCCATCCTGGGAGGATCCTCCCAACACCCTTTACTTGGTGCTCCCTTCTCTATCTGAGCTGCCTTTTCCCCTAGCATGTGCGGCTGGTCTCCAAGCCATGGAGTGAACCTCCTGGTACTTATCTCGGCCATTCTTGGGAGTTAGTCTCCTGTTTTGTTACTTTATGTTCCCCAGATGAATGCAATCTTTCTGTGTCTATCCCTCTCTTTCTGACTCACTTCGCTTAGCATGATACTTTCCATATTGTACCACTTGTATGTAAATTTCATGACTTCATCTTTTCTAACAGCTACATAGTACTCCATTGTGTAGATGTAGCAAAGTTTCTTTAACCAGTCATCTGTTCTTGGGCACTCAGGAAAAATCCCAACTTTAAAAATGATGAAGTTAGAAAGATGGTTCAGTGGGCTGGACTACATGATTTGCATGCAGGGCCCAGGTCCTCCTGCCACCATGTGGTGGCCTAAATGCTGAGCTTAGAGTCACCTTTGAGCTGCATGTGGCCCCAAAGCCAAAAAGGAAGAAATTGTACAGTAAGTAAGGCACTTGCCTTGCACACAGTGATCTGAATTCAATCCCAGCACCTGTAATATGGTCCCCTGAATCCTTTCAGGAGTGATCCCTGAACACAGAGCTAGGAGTTAGCCAGCTGTAATAAATTATTTAGTTAATTTTAAAAAATGGTTTACTTGTAGAAGCTTTCTTTGTGCTTTACCAAAGCAAAACAAAAAGCTGCATTCATCCAATATTCAGTTTCCTGAACTACTTCTATCTGTTTTGATTAGGACTAAAATATAAGCACAATACCATGTCATAGATATGAGAATATGTAATTCCTTACTGTCATCAAATATCTAAAAGTACTGGCCTTTACTTTGGTAGGAGGGCCACACCCAATAGTGCTCAGGGTTACTCCTGGCTTTGCAACTCAGGAATTATTCCTGGCGGTGCTCAAAGGTCCATATGGGATGTTGGGGTCGGCTGCATGCTAGGTAAATGCCATATATGCTGTATGATCACTCTGGCCCAGAGACATCAACTTTTGATACATAACCCAAGTGAGCACCACAGACATAGCTCAAGGGGCACATGCCTAGCATATGAAAAGTTCAGTTGAATGCCTGCTCTCTGCCAGCACCACTAGATATAATTCCTATAAAAATTTAAAACATTTGGGAGCTCAATTTCTAATTTTTTGAGAATCATCCATACTGTTTTCCAAAAGGGCTGAACCGGCATTCCCACCAACAGTGAAGGAGGGTCCCTTTCTCACCACATCCGCTCCAGCACCAGTTGCTTTTGTTCTTGTGGATATGGGCCAGTCTCTGTGGTGTGAAGTGATATCTCATTGTGGTTTTGATCTGCATCTCCCTGATGATTAATGATGTGGAACATTTTCTCATGTGCCTTTTAGCAATTCGATTTCTTCTTTGTGAAAGTTTCTACTCATTTCATCTCCCCATTTTTTGATGGGGTTGAATGTTTTCTTTTTGTGGAGTTCAACCAGTACTTTGTGTATCCTTGAAATTAACCCCTTAGCAGATGTGTAGTTGGCGAATATCCTTTCCCATTCTGTAGACTGTCTTTGTATTTTGGTCAATGTTTCTTTTGAGATGCAGAAGCTTCTTAGTTTAAGATAGTCCCATTTGTCTGTCTCTGTTTTCACTTGCTTGGCCAGTGGTGTGACATCTTTGAAGACACCATTAGCTTCTATGTCATGAAGGGTTTTGCCAACTTTTTCCTCAATGTACCTTATAGATTCAGGTGTGATGTTGAGGTCTTTAATCCACTTAGCTCTTACTTTTGTACATGGAGTTAGGCGGAGATCTGAGCCCATTTTTTTGCATGTAGCCATCCAGTTTTGCCAGCATAATTTGTTAAAGAGGCTTTCCCTGCTCCACTTAACTTTTCTTGCCCTCTTATTGAAGATTAGATGCTCGTATGGCTGGGGGAGATGTCAGTATATTCAACCCTGTTCCATTGGTCTACAGCTCTGCCTTTGTTCCAGTACCATGCTGTTTTAATTATTACTGCCTTGTAGTAGAGTTTGAAGTTAGGGAGGTTGATTCCTCCCATTTTCTTTTTCCCAAGAATTGCTTTCGCTGTTCGTGGGGGCTTATTGTTCCATATAAATTTCAGGAGTGTTTGCTCCACTTCTTTGAAGAATGTCATGGGTTTCCTAGTAGGGTACCACTCCTGGGAATATATCCCAGAGAGGCAAAAAAGTATAGTCGAAGTGACATCGGCAATTGTCTGTTTATTGCAGCACTCTTTACAATAGCCAGAATCTGGAAAAAACCTGAGTGCCTGAGAACAGATGACTGGTTAAAGAAACTTTGGTACATTTACACAATGGAATACTATGTAGCTGTTAGAAAAGATGAAGTCACGAAATTTACATATAAGTGGTACTACATGGAAAGTATCATGTTAAACGAAATGACTCAGAAAGAAAGGGATAGACATAGAAAGATTGCATTCATGGGGGAACATAAAGTAACAAAATAGGAAACTAACACCCAAGAACGGCTGAGATTAGTACCAGGAATTTTACTCCATGACTTGGAGGCCAACCACACATGCTAGGGGAACAGGGAGCTCAGATAGAGAAGGGAACACCAAATAAAGGTGTTGGGAGGATCCTCCCAGGATGGGAGAAGCATGCTGAAAGTAGACTATAGACCAAACATGATTGCCACTCAATGTTTCTTTTGCAAACCACAACACCCAAAAGGAGAGAGAGAACAGAGGGGAATGCCCTTCCACAGAGACAGGGTGGGATGGGGGGATGGGGGGTGGGAGGGATACTGGGATCCGTGGTGGTGGGAAATGGGCACTGGTGGAGGGATGGGTATTTGATCATTGTATAATTGAAACCCAAGCACAAAAATGTGTAAGTCTGCAACTGTACCTCATGATGTCTCACTATTAAAAAATTAAAAAAAAAATTTAAAACATTGGGGCTGGAGTGATAGCACAGTGGGTAGAGCGTTTGCCTTGAACACAGCAGCTGACCTGGGTTCGATCCCTAGCATCCCATATGGTCCCCCGAGCACTGCCAGGAGTAATTCCTGAGAGCAGGAGCCAGGAGTAACCCCTGTGCATCGCTGGGTGTGACTCAAAAAGCAAAAAAAAAAAAAAATTAAAACATTAATGTAACTCAAATGAGCAATTCTAGCATCAGAATTTGACTATTAGAGGTATAAACATAGCCGGCCAGCTTGCGAAGGTATTGTTAAATGAGCAAACTCAATGGAGTCAGAGCAGTGGTCCAGTAGAGAGGGCACTTGTTTTACACGCACACTGACCCAGGTCCAATCCCCGGCATCCGTATGGTTCCCCCAAGCTCCACCAGAAATGACCCCTCAGGACAGCCAGGAATAATTCTGAGTTTTAAGTGTTATCCAAAAACCTAAAACATGAATAAATGAGCAAACTCAAGTTTTCACCCAACTACATATAACTTTGTAATTCACAATGCTTTAATAATAATAAATGATAATAATAAAACCAAACTCGAGTTTCCACAAAAGTACACGCTCTCTGCTCTTTTCCAGGGTAAGCCACATCAAAGATTTCATCCGAAAGCACCAGGGGCTTCATGGAAATACCCCCTTCCTCCTGGCCACAGCCCTCCCCGTCCTCAGACTGCTGGATGATGCCCTTACCCTGGCAGAGGCTGACTTACAGAACGCCGTGGTCATTCAGAGGCTCCAGAGCACCAGCGACGCTTTCCAACAACTCTCCTAGCCCAGGGTATCTATGCACGAAGAGCAGCTGCAGAGATAGGATGGCCGCGAGCGGGCCAGGGGCTGGTCTGCTATTCCAGGCCCTCCTGATGAAAGACTCCCAGAAAAGTACAATTAGAGAAGGAGATAGGGCCAGAAACTAGTCAGTGCACTCTTTAGAATGCTCCACAGATAGAAAATATATTTATTTCCAAAAACCATCTTAATCAGATATGAATTTGGCAAATATGTTTATAAGCTCATTCATCAAAGTCTCTTTCCCAAACAGTAGTGATTTATTTAAATGCTAAGCTATCTCAGATTTCAAAAATAGCACGCTAAAAAAAAAATTACACATGGCAGGTTAAAGGCATCATTGTGATTACTTTATATCTGAGACACAATCAAAAGGAACTGATTTCATCATAGCTAAGCGTGAACCACAAAGTGTTGTCAACTTGCGTTCTCTAATGGCAAGATATAATCAAATTTCATTTGGCAGCAGTATCTGAGAAATATTTTCATTGAAGAACAAATTGTGTAGCTTAGTGTACTGTTAGTATACTGTTGGTATTAATCTGCCTACTCATCTTTCTACATTTTCAAAACGTGATTTTTTTTTTGTCTTTTGGGGCTCATCCTGCCACACCCAAGGTTACTTCTTGGGAGATGGGGGTGGCATATGGTGTGCTAGGGATCAAAGCTGGTTCATCTGTGTTCAGAGCAAGCACCTCCCCCACTGTACAATCTTTCTGGCCTGATTTTTAAGCAATTCTTTTCTCTCAAAGACCTCCTATTGTATTTTCTTTAAAAAAAACATAGGGATTGGTGGACTGGAGAGAGAGAGAGTATATGAAGTCATGGAACATACCTCTTGCACACAGCTAATCCAATTCAAAACTTTGGCTCCACCAATGGTCCCCAAATGCTGCCATGGCACAGAGCCAGGAAACGCTCTGAACGCCTCTGGGTGTGACTCCCTCACCCCCAAACTGAGAGAGATGATCACTTATCATTTCTAAAAACTACAGAAATTTGTTTTTCGCTAACATTTTAAGTTAGCCATTCTTTTGCCACGCTGAGAATCCAATGCTTGTATAGTTAGATTTCTAATTAATATTTTTAGACCGTGTCTCTTAAAGTAGGGTTTTTGCTTCTATACATCAGAATCAACTTGTGAGAACTTTATAGGACTGTTTCTTACTTTCTGATGTCATCAGGGAAAACATGCTTTGTATTTTAAATTTTTAAAGAAAGCTGATTAGATTTGATTATTTCACTAGATGAAATCCCTTTACCTGAGGAATAAGTTTACGACACTTTCTTACAAATGATCTGTTGAATCAGATTGAAGAGAGGACATGCTACTATTGAGTGTGTCTTGCAGGGATGCTCACTGGGCACTGAATGTCTAAAAGGAAGAGCGATGCCCAAACTTTTGGTCTCAAGAGCTTTGGTTTATGTGGGTCGTTTTATTACTATATTTTAAAATAAAATTATGAAATGTTTTTTAAAGCAAAAACACACCTTAATACAAGTCACGCCTGTATGAAAAAAGTATCTGCTTTCCAAAACAGCAAGGTTCAGTGAGAGCCGTGTCCTGCTGCTTGATTTCTGGCAAAATCCCTCCCGTGTGAGGGTGACAGGTGGGCTCAGATCTGCCGTTCCACCATCTGCTGCTACATTCCAAGCCTGGAACCTCTAGAAGGTGCTACTGTACAGCCAGGACAGAATGAAACAAGCAGGAAATGTCACAGTAGGATGATGAGACCTGATTTGATCTTGTGGGCTTCCTGCAAGGACTAAATATATGATAATTGTCAAGCCTTAGCAGAAGAATCACTTGAGGGCCCAGGGAGATGATTCAAAGGGCTGGAGTACCAGCTTCACCTTTGCAGCCCTGAGTTTGATCCACAGCACTGCATGGTCTCCTGAGCACTGTGCCAGAAGTAACCCTGGAGTAGCTCTGGGCATGGCCTAAATCACCCTAAAAAGAAAGAGTTGGGTGGATTTTTAAATGCCCCTTTTTGGTGTCAGAGAGATAGAATAGCGGGTAAGGCACTTGCCTTACACACAGCCAATCTGGGTTCGATCCCCAGCACCCTGTATGGTCCCCCTGCACCCGCCTGACTCTAAGTAAGTAAAGTAAAGGCCCTCCTGTTGATCATCAATTTGCTCGAGCGGGCCCAGTAACGTCTCCATTGGAGACTTTGTTGTTACTGTGTTTGGCATATCGAATACGTCACGGGGAGCTTGCCAGGCTCTGCTGCCTATTCTCTCTCCAGTGATTCTCTACTTTTTCCCCCACAGGCTTCTAAACCAAGGCCTCACCCAGGAGAGACTTGGTGCCATCCATGCCAAGCCCATCCTACCCTCCCATAATCTTAGTATAGCCAGGCTGCAGAAGCCCCTGCACGCTACCCTGGCTCTATACTCAGGAGTTACTCCTGGCAGTGCTTGGGGGACCATATGGGATGCCAGCGATCGAACCCTGGGTCAGCGGCATGCAAGGCAAACGACCTCCCCACTCTACGATCGCTCTGGCCCCAGGCCATAATATCTAACAAGCCTTTTCTCTTTGGAGCACTGGAGGGACCTGCCTGAGGCATGTGTTCCCTGGAAGACCACTGTCCTTGTGCTGTTACCACTGTCCCTGTGCTGTTCCCAGCCTCACCAGCCAACTGGGCTGATTTTTCTTTCATCCCATGCCCTCAGTCAGCAACTGAAAGTCAGTGTTTCCTGTCCGTGATGTTTACAACTGTTTAGAGCCCTCTCCAGAGACAAAAATATCGGTGCTCTCCGTGCGGAGGGAGGGGCCAGCAAGAGAGTCCAGGGGTAGGCACAGGCCTTGCTGCAGTCAACCCCAGTTCTCCCACCCTCCGTGGTCTCCCAAGCATTCCAGGGTGCAGTCCTAGAGGCCCCCAAGCACTGCCAGGGGGCCCAGGACTCCCCAACACTGCAGGGCTTGAGCAGCCCGACATCCTCAGGCCCTTGCAAGTGAACCACAGGCCACACTGGCCAAGAATTTCTGGGAGGACTCCGCCCCCCCGACCCTGTCTCTTTAGCACCACTTGGGAGGGTCCCCACCCCACCAAAATAAAATAAGGGGATAGGAAATTCAATAAGCTTCTCTTGAAGATAGAATACAGTATGAAAATTACTGATATATTTACTTTTTCTTTTTTTTTTTTTACTCTTTGGGTCATACCCGGAAATGCACAGGGGCTACTCCTGGCTCATGCACTCAGGAATTACTCCTGGTGGTGCTCGGGGGACCATATGGGATGCTGGGAATCGAACCCGGGTCTGCCGCGTGCAAGGCAAATGCCCTACCCGCTGTGCTATGACTCCAGCCCAATTACTGATATATTTTCAAGAACCCGTAAAGAAAAATTTCATGTAGACCAATCATGAAGCATTTTATGATTTTCTTTTGCATCCGTCAACATGTAATTCTGCATCTGATTTTTTTCTGAAGGGGACTCTTGTTGGAAATTTGTACGTCTAGAAAAGCAGCTTGTGGGGTTTCCCGTTTCTGGTTTAGCCAGGATACATACTTGTTCTGCTCATGTGAAAACTCACCCCAGGGGGAACTGACATCAGCAATACCTTCAATTTTAGCATTGTGAAAACATGCATTAAGATGACTCATGAGGCTTTTTACTTGAAGGTTTCAAAAGAATAAGTTGTTGGGCTGGAGAAATCACTTGAAGGGCTTGAGACATGTTTGTAGGAGGCCCAGGTTTGTTTTATGTTTGGTTTGTTTTTTGTTTTATTTTTGGCCCATACCCAGTGGTGCTCTGGGGCTATTCCTGGCTCTGTGCTCATGAGTGGTCCCCTAACAGTGCTTGGGGGACTATAACCAGGTTAGGGATCAAATCAGGGTCTGCAGGATGCAAAGGCAAATACAGGAGGCAAAAATGAGGAGGCTCAGGCTTGATCCTCGGCCCCACGTGGTCCCAGGCTCCTCAGGGAGCGACTCCCCACCCCAGTACAAGAACCAAAACAGTAGTGAAGTGTAGAATATTCCAGACATCTCGACTTTAGAAAAGGAACGGCTCTTAGCAAGGGATGGTAGAATTGGAAAGCGTCTAAGGTGTGGAATATAATTTGGTCGAAGTTGTTTCAAAACTCAGTTTCTTAAAACATCATCATTGGAGCTGATATCTATAATTGCATTTCTAATTTTACCAATTCTAGATTATGAGTTAAAATACTATGCATTATCCAGGTCTTGAGTGATTTTGTTTCAGTTAGTTCAAAATACTTTTGTTCATAATACTTTTCATTATGTTTTATTATGTTGAAATATGGTATGTACAGAGTATGGTATGCATATATTTCAGTGCCTTAAAAAGTATTTTGGAAGTAATCTTTTGCTAATGGTTAAAGAACTGTTCTCGTAAGGATGAAATATCGTTCATGAAAAGGATCTGTGAAATGATTTACTTTTGGTTATAAAATAGTATTATATGTGGATGCATTTGTCACTTATTTGGCAAGTTCGTTCAGTTTGAGAATCAAGAAACATTTATTGGGTGCCTTTTAACCAATGTTACTTTATTTAAAATACTCAGAGATGTTATCATGCAATTATTTTAGTAATAGCTCAGTGGCTATATTTATTTTTAAACCACCCTTTATGTCCTTAGTTGAACTAATCTGAAAGACTGTTGGTAGGGTTTACTCTTTTGTTCTGTCTAAATATAAACCATTTCATTAAAAAGTTGCTCATTGCACTGAATCTTCTCCTGGAAGTGGCCTATTCGTTAGACTAATATTTGATCCTTTGTTGTTTGTTTTGAATGTATTTTTTGGGGGGTTGGGATCACACCTGGCTTTGCACTCAGGAATTACTCCTGGCAGTGCTCAGGACACCATCAGGGATGCCAGGGATGGAACCTCGGTCTGCTGTGTGCCAGGCAAGCACCCTATCACCTGTACTATTACTCCAGCCCCTTTAATGTATTTCTTGCACAGAGGATTCATATTTGTTGTGGAAAATTATAAAACACAGATATACTAAAGTGCAGTTGTGTCTCCCACCATTCAGAGGTGGCCACTGACAGCAGTTTGCTGTGCAGGCTTTCAGAGAGCGTCAGCCTTTAGTTCAAACTAAAAGGTCGGCTTTCTGCTTATTGTAATCCTGTTTTTCATTTTCCTATGGAAACCTATATGGTTAAGGTGGTCTTAGAGGTCCCTTTAAATAGAATAATAACAGGAATAAATGCCTTTTAGTGTTAATTATGTTTAGATGATTATGTTTCAGTGTCTCCACAATGGAGACTGCCTTTTTTTTTTTTTTTTTTTTTTTGCTATTTGGGGCACACCCTGTGATGCCCAGGGCATATTCCTCGCTCTGAACTCAGGAATTATTCCCAGTGGTGGTACTTAAGGGATGCTGGGGATTGAAGCCGGGTTGGCTGCATGTAAAGCAAATGCCCTATCTGCTATACAATCACTCCAGCTCCAGATACTGTTTTTTTGCTTTTAATTCCTTTCAAAAATAAAATCTGAGGGGGTCAGAGTGACAGTACAGCAGGTATGGCAGCTTACCTTGAACGTGGTCAACCTGGGTTTGATTCCCAGCATCCCATCTGGTTCACCCAAGCCCACCAGGAGTGATCCCTGAATGCAAAGCCAGGAGTAACCCTTGATCACGGCAGGGTATGCCCCCCAAAAAATATTTTTTTAAATAAAATTTTAATTGTGATACTATACATAACAAAGTGTAAGTATGGGAATGAAGTGGAATGTTTCCAAATGGGACTGGGGTGATATTGCTCAAAGGGCTGGAATGTGTGTTTGGCCTGGGGAAGCCCAGGGCCCAATCTACTTGGTTTCCTGTGAGGCCTGGGGGAAGGGGGGGCAACACTTCCTGTTGAAAGACCACACTCAGACACAAAGGAGAAGAAGCGCACAGAAGATCTTCTTCTAAAAGTAGATTATCCAAAGAAACTACTTGAGTTTATTTTGTTTTCAAGAAATCAACTATTAGACAAAAAACATTATCTAATTATACTAATGGGGTTTGTTATTGTTTGTTAGTTGTTTGTTAGTTAGTTGGGGCACACCCATTAATGCTCAGGGATCACTTTTGGTGATGCTTAGGGGACTGTATGTCATGACAAGAACTGAATCCAGAGGCAAGCATCTTATCTGCTGTGCTAGTCCTTTGGTCCTAATTTCATTTTTCATTTCATTTCATCATCCTGTTATTCGTCGATTGTCTCGAGCAGGCCCCAGTAACGTCTCTTTCATCCTAGCCCTGATATTATATTCAAGGCTCTTTAGGAGAATGAGACCCATCATTGTTACTGGTATTTGGCATATTTGGTACGCCACGGGGAGTTTGCCAGACTCTGCCCTGTGGGCAGGCTACATTCGATAGCCTGCAAGTTTGTCCAAAGTAGGAATGAGACAATAAGATGTCATAAAAAAAAGTTCTGATAAGATGTCGCATGCAAATGCGGCCGCGCGGTTCCGGGATCTGGATTTTATAGTCTCTGAGTCTTGGCCGCTGATGGGATTACACGGCGCCAGGGGGCCAGGTGGTGGGTGTGACCCCCGCCTACTGGAATTTGGAGGATCTGGGTGGAAGATGCTCGACTCCAATCCGAGTAGGCTACTCGGATTGGTCCTAATTATATTTCTATTAATAGGAATCAAGAAAACAAGGTTTCTGTTTTATAAATTCCAGAATCACAGATAGGAAATGGAATTACCTGCTTTTTTCAGTCAGTTAGGGTATACATTAGAATTAGATCTTACAGGAAATAGGAGTGACTTACAAAATAAAATTTTGTTTGCCTGTAAAAGTTCAGAGAGAGGCAGATCAGGACTGAAAGATCAGTTTCATGAAATCATCAGGCTCTTTTTCGGGTTTTGTTTTGATTTGGGGGGAATTTTTTTTTTTTTGCAGCACAGGGCCTCCCACATACAAAGCAAGTGCTCTCCTGCACATCCCTGGCCCTCAGACTCCTGACTGCCAGCCTCATGATACTCTGTTAGTACCAGTCTTCCCTTTGAAGAGAAATGCTTTATTGAGATATAATTCACATACCTTACAATCTACCCATTAGAAGCACGTAATTCAGTGTTAGTATATTCACAGATGGGGTACCATCACCACAATCTAACATAACCTAATTTTAGAATAGTTTTCTCTCCTCTAAAGGAACCCCATACCCACTAGCACTCATTTTATTCTCCATCCTCAGTGCTAGGCAACCATAAATCTACATTCTGAAGATTCCGCACTCTGGATATTTCCTATAAATGGAATCATATAAAGTTTTTCCTATAGCATTCCAGCTTTGTCTGCCTTTTCCCTATCATGTTTTCACTTGTCCATCATCTGATGGATAGTTGGGCCATTTCCACTTTTAGCTTTTATAAGTAATATTGCTACAGGACATTGGTTGTTTTGTTTTTTGGGGGTGGCACACCCAGTGATGCTTGGATATTATTCCTGAGTCTGTTCTCAGGAATCACTCCTGACAGTGCTCAGGGGACCATATGAGATGCTAGGGATTGAATCTGGGTCAGCCACATGGAAATGTCCAACCTGCTGTACTCTTTCTAGCCCCCATACAAGACATTTGATCCAATGTTTTATGACATGTGTCCGCCCAAGAGTGGATTTGCTGGGTTATGGATTAATTTCATGTTTAACTTTTTGAAGACTGGCCAGGAATTTGACTCAGTGGCAAATTCATGCCTTTAATGCACAAGACCTGGGTTCAATCCCCTGCCCTCAAAAAAAAAGTAGTAGCTTTTTGTTTCTTTTGGAATCATACTTGGTGATGCTAAGGGCTTACTCCTGGCTCTGTGCTCAGAGGTCATTTTGGCGGTGCTCAGGGAACTGTATATAGTGCTGGCACTCAAACCAGGGTTGGCCACACACAAGTAAGTGCCTTATCCCCCGTACTATCTCTGGCCCCTAATAATAGCTTTTGAAGGTCTGCCTGGCTTCCCCCAAGCACCCCCACCAGCTTGACTGCCCCTAGTAAAGGATGACTTCATAGCTCTGATTTCCCTGATGATAAGAGCATTTTCTCATATGCTTATTATCCCTTTGTATGAACTTGAAGAAATAGCTATTCCAGTTCTTGGTCCATTTGGGGGGAATGGGGAGCATACCTGGAGCCTGGCTGTGCTCAGGGTTTATTCCTGGCTCTGTGTTCAGTGATTACTTCTGGTGGGCCTCAGGGGACCATATGGGGTGCTGGGAATCGAACCCAAATTAGCTGTATGCCAAGCAAGCAACTTCAGCCCTGTATTATTGCTCCACACCTGTTGCCCCTCTCCCTGCTTTTATTTTGCCTTGGCAAATAATCCATCTTAAAAGTGGAATTTCTTTTTATTCTGTTGTCAGCATCCTTTATGTACAAGTTCCATGGTTTACAGATATTCCTCCCCTTCTGAAGAGCCCCATTCTGTGTGCTGGCTTTTCACTGGCTGGACGATGTACAGCCCACTTTTCCATTTGGTTACGAGTTCAAATAATTTGTTTGTAGAGTCCTATTTGAGAACCGATTGGAACCCTAGCTCATTGTCCCGCTTGCTTCTCAGCTGTGTGGCTTCTGTTTTGTTTTTGGTTTGGTTTGGACGGCCACACTTGGCGATGGTCGGGGCTTACTCTTGGCTCTGCATTCAGGGATCACTCCTGGCGGGGTTTGGGGGACCATATGGGATGCTGGGATCCAAACCCGGTCAGCCACGTGCAAGGCAAACGTCCTCACCGCTGTCCTATCGCTCCGGGCCCCCTAGCTCCCTGGCTTTCGCCTTTGCCTGTAGGCAGGGCTGCGTATTTACATCGCTCTAACTAAGAGGTGACCTGTCCAGGGTCTTCCTGGGGAACAGACACGCCCGCACTTGCACTCACTGGCCAGAACCGCGCTGCCCTCAGGATGTGATCACCGGTATGAGGCTGGTCCCGGGGCACGTCGGGGCCGCGCCAAGACTACTTGGCCACACTCCGAATCCACAGAAGCCCCTTCAGTTCCCTCCTGCGAGTCAACTTGCACCCACTGGATCTAGCGGGCGGCTTCGGGGCGAATCCCGCTGGTCCGGACCCCGGGAAAGGGGGAGATCCGCGGAGCTGGCTGGCCTCAGTCCCCGCCCCCTGCGAGTTGGGGCTCCCTCCCGGCGCGTTTCCGTGAGGCGCGCGGGTGACTCCGGGGGCCCCCCTCGGCGGCGCCCGGCCCGCTCCTCGCCCGCCCCCCAGGAGCCGCCCTGGGGAGATAAGCCCCGAGAGCGAGCGGGCGCCCGGAGCAGCTTTGCACGATGGCCCTGTCCCCGGGAGGGACTCCTGGCCGGGAAGTGGAAGCGCCCCCGCCCCAACCAGAAGCGTCCAACTTGGAGCCCGACCCGGTGAGCGCCAAGCGAGGGGACCTGGGGACCTGCGGGGCCAGGAAGGTCTCCCGGGATATGGGGTCTCAGCCTTCGATTCAGCCAGGAACTAACTGCTCCGTGGGGTCCTGGGTCCCCAGTGAGAGCTGGGATCCGTCAAGAGAAGAAGAGGGAAACTGAGTCTTAGACCAGTGAAATGATAATGTTGGTTCCTCCCTCTTGTGTGCCTATCCAGAGCCTCAGGCTGGGGCTCTTGTTGGCTCTATACAGGCTTCCCTGGGTCCCTGAACCCTGGCCCAGGGATTTGTCATGGGTGAACGTGGGGGGGCAGGGGGGGGGGGTTGGCGGCTGCCTCCTTCCCAGATCCCTCTAGGCCGATGGTGTGCGCTGAGTCCCCTTCTCAAACCCTGTCCTTGGTCCAAGTCTCCTTGGGGAGACAGCTGCAGAGATGCCTTCCTCAGGGCCAGAGAGATAGGACAGGGCTAGGGCACTTGCCCTGCATGCTGCTGATCCTGGTTTGCTCCCAGTACCCATAGGATCCCCCAAGCACTGCCAGGAGTGAGCCCTGAATGCAGAGCCAGGAATAATGCCTGAGCATCATTGGTTGTGGTCCCCAACCTCCACCCTCCCCCCCCCCCCCGAAAAAAAGAAAAAAGAAATGCAGAGGATGGAGTCAGAGAGATGGTACAGCAGGTAGGGCCCTTGCCTTGCATGTATCCAACTAGGGTTTAATTCTTGGCACTCCATAGGGTCCCCTGAGCCCACTGAGTGATCCCTGAGTGCAGAGCCAGGAATAAACCCTGCATGCAGCCAGGTGTGGCCCCCAAACAAAAAAGTGCAAAGGAGCAACAAGTTGACAGAATGAAAGGAGTAGGGGAAGGCATGAAATCAGAGGAGACGCCTGGCATGGGGGGTGGGGGGAGCAGTCCATGAAGCCACAGGGTTGACAGCTGGCACAGACTCTCTGGCAGAACCCTTGCCTGGCATGTGTGAGGCCCTGGGTTCGACCCCCAGCACCTGCACAAACCAAAACTAAGAAAACCCACCACAAGCCCCAGCTGGGTGGGGAAGAGAAAATAGGTTTTGCAGAAGCAGGAACCCTAACACCTCCTGACAGCAATCCTGACCACCAGGGGCCTGCACCTAGCACCTAGCTCCTGAGGGCATCCTGCACGCTGGTGGGCAGTAGGAGCCTGGTTGCCAAGAAGGTCATCTCTGTTTCTTGGGCTTGGGGGCCACACCTAAAAGCCCTTATCTGGGAAGGCCCATCAGGGATGCAGATGCCAGGGATCAAACCCAGGTCGGTGACATGTAAGGCAAGCACCCTATCGGCTGTACTATCACTCCAGCCCCCCTCCACATTTCTGGGCAAAAGATGAGAGTCCCTAAGAACCTGAGAGAGGCCCCCTGCAGACTCTCACTGATTGCCCAGGGAATTTTTAGAAAAAGGGGTGAGGTGACTGGCTGGGAGTAACTGACACTGCCAGGGAAACTCCTCTGCTTCGTTCTCCTAACAATGAGATGTGGGGCATTTGGGTTTTTTTTGTGGGTTTCTTTGTTTGTTTGTTTATGGGCCACACTCAGTGGTGCTCAGGGCTGACTTCTGAATCTGTGCTCGGGGCTGACTTCTGTCAGTGCTCAGGGGTGCAGGGAATCAACCTCAGGTTGGCAGCATGCAAAACAAATGTCTACCCATTTCATAATCACTCTTATGTCATGAGATGTGTCTTTGCCCCCATTCAAAGCAAAACAATGCCAAGTACTGTGGCCTGAGCTACCGGGTTCGAGAAGGGGAACTCAGCGCAGGGATCCCAGTGGGTCTTGTTGAACTCTGGCTTCCATCGTGGAAGAGGGGAACAGGCCATCTTCCACTTGACATCCCCAGACCTGGTGTCAGCTGATGTCACATTTTCCTAGCTCTTTTTTTTTTCTTTTTGGGTTCAAACCCAGTTATGCTCAGGGGTTACTCCTGGCTTTGCACTCAGGAATCACTCCTGGTGGTGCTCAGGGGACCATATAGGATGCTGGGAATCGAACCCGGGTTGGCCGCGTGCAAGGCAAATGCCCTACCCACTGTGCTATTGCTCCAGCCCACATTTTCCTAGCTCTTTATCAGTCTGTGCCAGAAACTTGTGAGGCCTGTGGGGGGCGGGGGGACCCTCCCCTTTGCACGATGGGGGTAGGTAGCAGTCCTGCAGGCCTCTGTGCATGGTGAACATTTTCTAGACGCTGAAAGCGTATTCAGTCAAAGGTCCAAAAAGGAAGCCACCCCATGCCTCACGTGTGGGTTTCTGCTGCGGCTGGGAAGAGGGTGCAGAAGGGCTGATAAGCCCTTATCTGGGAAGGCCCTTCCCTCCCCAGAGCCCACGCAGGCTGTCCAGCAAGATACCAGAATGCGTGTGGCCACAGTGCTCTCTTCTCCCAGCCCTCTAGCAGGAGGAGCACGTGAGGCGCATGCTGCCCGGGGTCCTGGCATTCATTCCATGCTTGCCTGTGCCCACCTATCCCCGTGGATAGGGTCTAGAGTGAGGCTTCATGCTGCAGGGGACCTGCTTCCGGTGGGAGGGGGGCAGGAGATATATGAGATTACCTGCTAGTACAAGTGTGTGAGATTTGGGGGGAGGTCAGAGAGGATACCTATTTCTTTTGAGGAGACGGTGGCCCTGCATTTAAGGAATCACCTCTGCAGGGACACAGGGCCTTCCAGGAAGGAGGAGCAGGCACTGTACAGTCCTAGAGGCAGCATGCACTGGGTGAGGTATAAAATGCTCCTGTCCTGGAAAGAGGTGGTGCAGTCCTGATTGGCGCCCCCTGGAGGCGGGGAGAAGAATGGCATAGTATTGGAGGCCCCCAGCACTACCAGCAACCCCCAGTACTACCAGCATCTAATTTATGTTAAAAGAGTAGCTAAAATCAGGCTCCTAGTTTCCTGATCTGAATCACTGAGTGGGCCATGAGGCCTTTTAACACAACAGGGACCAGAGTGTTGGTGAGGAAGGATGCAGCCGCGGGGTGGAAGGCAGGAGCTGGAAGGTTTTTTGTTTTTGTTTTTGTTTTTGTCAGTAGTCAGTTTATTTCTCTCTCCTCCCCAGCATAGTCAGTACAATCATAATCATTACGATACAATCGTAGTTCTAGTTTTGTCGTATTCCCAGTCATCAGAGTTCTGTCATCCTAGTCTCCTTGAAGCAGGAGCTGGAAGTTTAGACCTTACTAAGCAGAGGCCCCTGTGGGGTAAGGGAAAAAAGGTTGGCATTTGGAAGTCTGCGGGCAGCACTTGGGAGCTAGCTAGACACACTGGAGTCACAGACCTCATGGACTGGCAAGGAGGCACCGCAGGAAAGAGGGCAAAAGTGGCTGGGAGCTGCCTCCACCGTGGGCAGGAACCCGCCGGGGCTGTCCCAGCCATGGACATTTCATGGCTGTTCCACAGCAGTGTCATGACACTGGGCAGACAAGGACGCCTGGAAGAGCAGGTGGCCGGACCAGGAGGAGCCTGAGGTCCTCCTGGCTGGGTAACTTAGAAGACTGAAACTCCCCACCCCCATAGGAAGCACAGAGAGAGAAATAGAAAGATTTCCCCCTGAAGAAAGGTTAGGGATCAGGGGATTGTGTCCCCCCTTTCTTTATACACTTGTGTATAAAGATTGTGTCCCCCCTTTCTTTATACACTTCTCTAAGTAACATGAAGGAAGAGGGGCACAAATGAGTACCGAGAAGTTGCTGGCAAAACCAAGAAGAGGAGGGCCCCAGGATGCTGAGGGCTGACAGGGACTGCAGGAACCGTGAAGTCGTGAAGTGGCAGCTGAGCCCCTGTGTCTCCCCCAGGATGCCAGAGCTGGTCGCCTCTCCGTCTGCACCAAGCTGTGCTACGGCATCGGTGGGGTACCCAATCAGGTGGCCTCAAGCGCCATCGCCTTTTACCTGCAACTTTTCCTGCTAGATGTGGCGCAGGTGAGTGGGGGCAGCCCCAGACCCCCTGTCCCCTCTTCCCTAGTGTCCACTCCCACAACCCTGCCTTGGGAGGTACTCCCCTGACCGTTCCTGGCAGCCTCCTCCATCAAGAAAAATGAGAAATAAGGAGCATCCAACAGCCCAGAGGTGGTGATGTGGGATGTTGAGCTGACCTGGCCTGTGGGGCTCGGACTCATCTCCCTGCTGGAGTGGGGTTTGGGGGCTCAAGAGCTATTCCTGGCTCTGTGCTCAGGATTGCGCCCTGCTGGTGTTCAGGGGATCATATGCAGTACCAGGAATTGAAACCAGGCTGGGCTGCAGGCAAGCTTCTGCACTGTCTCCGGCCTGTTCGGCTGCAGCTGGAGACAGAAGGTTGGGAGCCATTCCCAGAAGGCTGTGAGAGCCGACCTAGGAATCTAGGAATTCCACCATCTGCCTCCAAGTGTAGAGGAAATATGACATGATCCCACTTTACCAAAGCAAACACATGCCCCTCCCCAAATATGGCACAGGAATACGGAATTTGTGTACCTGATTAGAATGTGAGCATAAGAGCATTACAGAAAGAGACACCAGGCTGCCATTGTGGTGACAGTGGGCAGTGGGAGAGGACAGAAAGCAAACCCATTTCTACTAAGGCAACCATATTTGGGGGTGGAGGGGAAGTGTGTGTGTGTGTGTGTGTGTGTGTGTGTGTGTGTGTGTGTGTGTTTTGGTGCCAGACTGAAGCCAGCGATTCACACAACCTTTTGGGGAGGGGTAAAAGTGGGTTGTTTATTTTTTTTGGGGGGGGTGGCACACCAATGGTGCTCAGGGATTGCTCCTGGCTCTACACTCAGGGATCACTTGTGGCAGGGCTCAGGGACCATGTGGAATACTGGGGATTGAACCTAGGTTGGCCGTATGCCAGGCAAGTACTCCATCCACCATGCTATCTCTACGGCCCCACAATCACAATATTTTTTTGATGGCATTGATCAGATCTCCTCTACGTAGAATTATACATTGCAAATGCACCTAAAGAATTGCATGAAATGGGGCAAGGGAGGCTAACTCAAAGGACGAATGAATAAATGGGCGTGGCCCCAAACCAACCCCCCCAAGAAATGCATGAAAGCATGCTCAGGAAAATGCTTCTGCAATTGCATCCAGATGTGCGGGAAAGTGGTGACTTTTCCTCAAGACTTTTTGGTGCTGTTTGGGTGTTTTGGTAACATTCAGACGATCAGAAAGTCAATAGAGCCTTCTCCTTGTGAAACAGAAGTCCACCTCCCTCTCAACTCCGGCCACCTTTCTGGCACTGTGTCACCAGTAATGAGTGTCCCCACGGTCTCCTGCCAAGGTGACTGGCTGAAGGAAGGGGAAACTTGTAGTTACGTTCTCAGGCCCTCCCTGCACATGCGAGTGTCAGGGTCCAGCCTGGCCCCAGCCCAGTTCCCAGATCTTGTTCGTGGTGAGTGGAGGGTCCCATGTACCCTCTCTGATCCAGCCAGGCCCCGCTGTCTCCTGCCCCATCCCTTGCAGATCCCTGCCGCCCAGGTCTCTCTGGTCCTGTTTGGAGGGAAGGTGTCTGGGGCAGCAGCGGACCCCGTGGCTGGCTTCCTCATCAACAGAAGCAGGAGGACAGGGTCTGGACGCCTCATGCCCTGGTGAGCAGCAACACAGTCCTTGGGGATGACTCCCAGCCTGCCCCCGGCCACTGTGTCTGCCAGCACCCTACTTCTTCATGGACACCTGGGGATAGTTCGAGGGACAGTTGGTGCAGATGTGGGTGGGACTGAGTGAGTCAGATGGTGGGAGCCATGAGACCTGGGATTCTGCCTCCCCTTGGGCCATGGGCTGACGGAGCCTCTGACTCCCAGGTCTGGCACAGGCTGGGTGTGTGGCTGCGAGTGGGCTGGAGACCAGGTGAGGCGGTCAGGTGAAAGCCAGGGTGCCCGCTGGAACCCAGCAATGAGGGCCCATCAGCCTCTTCTCCCCGCTCCATCAGCTCCACCTGGGATGGGGCTCAGGCCTGCTCTGGGGCAGGGGCTGCTTGAGGCTTGTCCTGGTGCTATGGGTGGGTGCCCCACTTCCGCTCTGCGTCCGCAGGGTGCTGGGCTGCACGCCCTTCATTGCCTTGGCCTACTTCTTCCTGTGGTTCCTGCCCCCCTTCACCAGCCTCCGTGGCCTCTGGTACACGGCCTTCTACTGCCTCTTCCAGGCGCTGGCCACGGTAAGCCTCCCTCCTCCGGCACTGCTGCTGGGATGTGTGTGAGTGCTACAGTGTGTGCTACAGTGTGTTCATGCTGGTTCTGTGCTACAATGTGTGTACCACAGTGTTCGCTAGTGTATGCTACAATGTGTGCTACAGTGTGCACAGGCTACAGTGTATGTGCTACAGTGTGTGCACTATAGTGTGTGCTACAGTGTATACAGGCTACAGTGTGTGCTACAGTGTGTGCTGCACTGTGCAACAGTGTTTGTACTCCATGTGCTACAGTGTGTCCACTCTACAGTGTGTGCTACAGTGTGTGCACACTACGGTATGTATGTGCTACAATTTGTGCTATAGCGTGTGCATGCTACATTGTATGTGTACTGCGTGTGTCCTCTCTACTGTGTGTGTGTGTGTGTGTGTGTGTGTGTGTGTGTGCAAGCGCGCTCGGAGACTGGCTCGGGTTGCGGCCAGGAGGGTGCCAGTTGGCAGCTGCTTCTCTCCCTGGACTCTCACACGGTTCCCCTGCTTACCTGGAACCTTTCAGCCCCAAACTCCAGCGTGTCCAGGTTGGCCAACTGCTGCGGTTCCTACCCCAGGAAGCCAGGGCGTGCGCGGTGGGTGGAGCGCGCCCCCCCTAATCCCTGCGGGTCCCCAGTTCTTCCAGGTGCCCTACACTGCGCTCACCATGCTGCTGCCCGCCAGCCCGCGGGAGCGGGACTCGGCCACCGCCTACCGTGAGTGCTCGGGCGGGGCGGGGGGTGGTGGTGGCGGGGGATGTCCCCGGGCCGGCGCGCTCACGGTCCATCCTCGGCAGGGATGACCCTGGAGATGGTGGGCACGCTGCTGGGCGCCGCGGTGCACGGGCGCATCGTGGCGGGAGCGCACGCGCCGCCTGTCTGCGGGGACGCGGAGGCGACGGGGCCGACCGCCGTCTCCCCAGACGCGGTGAGTTTCCGCCGCGGTCCTCGGGCCCACTGCGCGCTTCTGCCCTCTGCCCCCGAGACCTCTGCCAAGTCGGTTTCTCCTGAGGGTGCCTTCAAGATCCCCAGAAAAGGTGCCTGCGGGGGCCGTCTGCAGGGGACCCCCAAAAGGGAAAGTGGAGAGGCAGGACCACAGGCGGGAGTGGGGCAGGCGCGCAAGGGGACTGGACTTGCTGATACCCTGGAAAAGCCTCCCCCCCACACACACCCAGGGAGAACCACCGAGCACTGAACCCCGCAGCGCACCCCTCTCCTCGCTCAGAGCAATCTGGCACTAGTCTGTGTCAGTGGAAACGCTCGTGGAGTTTCCTTCCTTTAACCCCACTATCCCCCCGGACCCCCAGCCCTAGAAACATTGTTCCCCGCGCTCAGACCACTGCTGGGTCCTTCTCCGCCCCCCACATTGCAGGGGCCTCAATGCAGGGTCAGGAGAACGGACACTCTGCGGGTGCCGGGATTACTGGGCCTTGCGGTACCAGGATCAAGTCCAGGCCGGCTGCGTGCAAGGACAGACTCACCCCTTTGCTCTCTCCAGCTCCTAATCCCCCGTGCTCTTGAGGCCACAGATCTTGGCCAGTCTACGACTCTGGCCCATGTCACCGTCCTCCCGCACCAGGGTGCTGCCTCCTCCCGCTGGGTGGACCCGGCCTGCAGCCAGTTCCCCCCCACAACCACACAGTTAGGAACTCCGACGCGGACCAGCCTCTCCTCAGGACCAGGCAGGGATCACCCAGTCCGCTCCTGGTGGGTGTTCTCGGGGCAAAGTTGTGCTTCCTGGACCAGCCTAGCAGCATCGCTGATTAGAAAGTCACCTTCAGGGGCTGGAGCGATAGCACAGCGGGTAGGGTGTTTACGTTGCATGAGGCTGACCTGGGTTCCCTCCCCAGCATCCCATATGGTCCCCTGAGCACCACCAGGAGTAATTCTAGAGTGCAGAATCAGGAGTAATCCCTGTGCATCGTCGGGTATGACCCCCCCCTCCAAAAAAAAAGTCACATTCAGAAACCCACCAAGAGCAGGAACAGTGGACAGGGTGCTTGCCTTGTACCTGGATTCGATCAGGGTTCAATACCCAGCACCCCATATGATTCTCCAAGCTCAGGGGTGATACCTGCGCATAGAGCCAGGAGTAAGGCCTGAGTATGCTGTGTGTGGCCCAACAACAACAAAACAACAGAAAGCAAAACAAAACAAAAAAAACATAGAAAGGTGTATTTGTCAGCTGACCTAGACCAACTGTCCTGGAACAGGTGACCCAGGGGGACTCAGCAAGCCCCTGGCATGAACCCAGCTGCAGTGAAGGCCACCACCTGGTGTAGGAGGCGACCAGGCCCCCATGCCCATCCCAGAGTGCGGGCAGGGCACCACCTGCCCCACATCAGAGCCAGAAGCTTGCCTCACCTTTCCCTCCCTTGACCCTCTCCCCTCCCTGCCCCCCCCATTCAAATACCCTTCTTTCTTTTTTGAGGGGAGGGGTCACACCTGGCGATGCTCGGGGTTACTCCTGGCTCTGTACTGAGGAATTACTCCTGGCAGTGGTCAGGGGACCATAGGGGATGCTGGGGATCGAACCCAGGTCAGCCGCATGCAAGGCAGATGCCCTCCCTGCTATACTATGGCTCCGGCCCTGCCCCCTTCTTTCCAATACTACCAGGTGGCCCTCTGGGAAGGGTTGGGGTCAAGTTGGCAAGGCAGTGTCTGAGGGCCCAAAAGTAGGGAGCAGATGTGAGCTCCAGTGAGGGAGTGCTGACCCCACCTTTGGTCCCACAGATGTGGCCTAACTGGCAAAGATGATGATGCCAGAAGCCACTGATCCCTCGCACTATGCAGAGTCCCCTGAGCACTGCTGGAAGTAATCCCTGAGCACAGCCAGGTGTAGCCTCCCAAGAAAACGAGCACAGAGCATTAGCCCCATGCAAGTGAACTGGGCACCCCCTCCTTCCTGCCCTAAGACTGCCTGTGGGCAGCCCCAGACTTTCTCCCTGTGGGGTTGCAAGGAGGTTTCACCCGCTGAATCACAGGGAGTGGAGGTTCTGCTTCCTTTCTCTGTGGGGTCCTCGTGCATCCTGCTGGGCTGGAATTGTGGGTCTATTCATCTGTTTTCTCTGTTCCCAACTTCCCCATGCCAGGCCCCACCCCACTCCCAGGCAGGGGTCATGTCCACCCCAGGACCTAGCAGGTGAAAGTGGAGGTTGGAGAGATAGCACAGTGGGTAGGGTGTTTGTTCTGCTATCTTTGAGTTCTACCCCTGGCATCCTACACGTGGTCCCGTGAGCCACCAGGAGTGATTCCTGAGCTTAGAGCTGGGGTAAGCCCTGAGCACCTCTGGTCATGGCCCAACACCAAAACCAAATCAAAAGAAAAAAAAAGGGGGGAAGAAAACCTAATGATTTGGGGTGGTACCAAGGATCAATCGGGGGTCTGGGGGGGTGCCCTCACACATGCCAGGCAAGCAGTCTACCACTGGGCTGCCTCTCAACCAAAGTGAAAATAAGTACGGGGAGGAGAGAACCGTCTTTTCACACCGAAACATGAGGGCAGCAGGGTTATTGTTTTGTTGTGTTTTTTTGCACCAGGCTGTGCTCTGGGCTTGCTCCCAAAGCTGTGCTCAGGGATTACTCCTGGGGGTATGGGGGGTGGAACTGGGGTGGGCCACAGACAAGGCTTTATCCCTGTGCCTCTCTAGTCCCAGAATGACCATGCTAGCCCCCAAGGTCTCCCTTGGGGGTGGTTGGGAGGGCACCCAGCCTCACTGGGATGGGCCGAGGATTGCCCTGGACCCTACTTGGCCTGGTGCCCCTTGCCCTATGGCTTGGAGCCCCCAAAATCACTCTATCCTGTCCCCTAGACTCGGCTCTACTCCATTGCGGCCGCGGTGGTCACGGCGATTTACCCTGTGTGCAGCTGCTTGCTCTACCTGGGAGTGAAGGAGCGGCCAGGTATGGGGGTGCAGTCAGAGGGCAGGGGAAGGGGCTGAGAGCAGGGTCTTCGGGAGGATGCTCTGAATGCTGCCAGGCCCAGGAGTCCTTCCTGTGTTGCAGATGCGTCCAGCACAGCCTCTGGCCCGGGCCTGGGCTTCCTGTCCGGGCTAAGCCTCACTGTCCGGCATCCCCCTTACCTCAAGCTGGTGGGCTCTTTCCTGCTCATTTCTGCTGCTGTCCAGGTACCTCTGGCCAGGCTAACCCCTGGCTTGGTCCACTGGGGTGGGTGGGATGGAGGGAGGGAGAGAGAGAGAGAGAGAGAGAGAGAGAGAGAGAGAGAGAGAGAGAGAGAGAGAGAATTCAATAGGCTGGGCAGGGGGGGGCCAGAGCAATAGTACAGCAGGTAGGTAGGGCATTTGCCTTGCACATGGCAGATCTGGGTTCAATTCCCAGCATTCCATATAGTCCCCCAAGTCCCGCCAGGAGTGATCCCTAAGTACAGAACCAGGAATAACCCCTGAGCACAGCTGGGTGTGCCCTGCACCCAAATTAAAACAAAAGAAAAGATCTGAGTCTCTGGAGGGAAAAAAAAGAGCTCATGCAGGCCTGGGTTGATGGTCCCCATCCTGCCTGGTCCCCCAAGCACCACCAGGAGCAACTGCAAACACAGAGCTAGGAGTAGCCCCTGAGCATGACCGGGTATGACCCTAAAACCAGACCCATCGAAACGAAAACCAACAACAGAACAGTCTCTTGGCCTGGCAGCCCCGCAGGGCTGGTTTTCAAAGAGAGAAAGCAGAGAGGCGTGAGCCCATACCCGCTGCTGCTCCAGCAGAGGCGAAAAGATGAACTTAGCCTGGCCACAGACTGGACTTAGCTCAGGTACGGCAGGATTAGGAACTGAGTGTCTGGATGGTGGAGCTCGTGCTGCTGGGCAGGGAGCTACATGGGCACTGCATGGGCACTTGGTGGGCAGCAACCAGAGTTTGAGGTCCCAGAGGGGGAACAGGCCGGAGAGCTGGGCGGAGCCTGAGTCAGAGCGTCGGCTCTCTCCCCCGCCCGGCTGTGGGCTCCAGGTGGAACAGAGCTACCTGGTCCTGTTCTGCACACACGCCTCCCGACTGCATGATCACGTCCAGAACCTGGTGCTGACCATTCTGGTGAGGGCCCCGGGCATGGGGCCAGGTCACCCAGTGGGAGGCTGAGGTGGAGCTGTGGGGGGGGGGGGTGGTCCTTGGCATGACACGTGGCCAGAGGACTCTCCTTTGTCTCCTGCCTTCCAGTTAAGGGTGGACAGAGACAGGGTCAGACAGATGGTCACCCCTGTTCCAACGGGGGGCGAGGGCGGATCTCTCCTGGAAGCAGGGTTGTGATGGCTCTGTGTGCCTGCAGATCTCGGCCGTGCTCAGCACCCCGCTGTGGGAGTGGGTGCTCCATCGATTTGGGAAAAGGACGTCGGCCTTTGGGATCTTCGTGAGTGAGGCTGGCAGGCACGCTGGGGGTGGTGTGGGCCCTGCGGACTAGGATGCTGCGGGACCCTGGGGACTTGGGCGTGTGCGAATGAGAGCGAGCGCATGCATGTGGCCGGGGGTGGGGGGAGGGCTAGCCGGCTCTGTCCATTTCCCCAGATGATGGTGCCCTTTGCGATCCTGTTGGCTGCTGTTCCCACAGCGCCCGTGGCGTACGTGGTGGCCTTTGTGTCTGGCCTGAGCATCGCCGAGTCCTTGCTGCTCCCCTGGTAGGCTGGAGGGGCTGGGGGTGGCCCCATGCTTGGCCGCCCGTCCCGGGGCCCCGTCTCCTGCCTGTATCCCCCCTGGAAAGGGACTCCCACCTGTGTGAGAGAAGCTGTCCCTGGAGCACAAGACGGAGAGGAGGGAGGGGTGCGGGAATGAGGGTTGGGGGCAGCCCCTCAGCCGGTCCCCCTGAGAGCTGTGGGACTGGGGCATAGAGGGCCGGCTCTCGGACCCGCCCCTCCCCCAGGTCCATGCTTCCAGACATGGTAGACGATTTCCAGCGGCAGCACCAGCTGGGCCCGGGCCTGGAGACCATCTTCTACTCTTCCTACGTCTTCTTCACCAAGCTGTCGGGTGCTGGTGCCCTGGGCATCTCCACTCTGAGTCTGGAGTGAGTGTCAGCCGGGCGGCCCGGTGGCCTGAGCAGGGGCAGCAGACTGCACGCGGGGTGCGTGGGAGAGGGCCAGGGCCCCCCACACCCACACCAGCCAGGGGGCTATTCTTGTGAGGTGTGGGGATGGGTGGGTGGGCATGGTAGCCCCTGCCCGGGATTTCTCCCTGAGGGGGCAGTAACCCTCCTACAGCCTCAGTTCCCGGGCAGGCGGGTATCCGGGTTCTCGGGATTTCAGCCGCGTGAGTGGGCTGGCGTCTCCCCAGGTTCGCGGGCTACCGGGCAGGAGCCTGCCAGCAGGCAGAGCAGGTGGTGGTCACTCTCAAGGTCCTCATCGGAGCTGTGCCCACCTGCATGATCCTCGCCGGCCTGTGCATCCTCTTGGTGGGCCGCACCCCCACGGGCCAGAACACTTCCCGCCAGCTGAGCATCCGGAGGTGGGCACCCGCGTACCCGGGACATTGGCACAGTTGGAAGGGCTCCAGGCCCCTCCAATGCCCCCTGCGTCCCCTCCTCCTGTGACCACTCTGTGGGAGGCGCCTCCTTCACCCCTTCCTCTTCTCCAGAACCTGGGTGGGCTGGTGACTCCTCACACTGTCCTGTCCCTCCTCCTCGGCTTCATCCAGATTCCAGGTCCCGGTCTGGCACTCATGCAGACAACTCCGCTGTCCCCAGGAAGATACGCAGCAGCCCTTGCACTTACACGGGGGTCAGGGCAGGAGGGACCCCCCCTTTCCTCTCATCTTTCCCTCTTTCCCTTCCCGCAGGAGGACCAGCTACAGCCTCGCCTGAAGGTGGAGCCACCCGGAAGCTGCAGGAACTGTGTCTTCTGGCCTCTGACCTCTTTCCAGCCCCACGACATCCCTCTTTCCCTCTGGGATCTGGAGTCACAGCCCCTGAAGGAGCTGGAAGGGCTTTTGTTATTGTTTTGGGGACCACATCTGGAGGAGCTTAGGAGTCACTGCTGGCAGTGCTGGGGATCGAACCAGGGTTGGGCGCACTCTGACTCCAGCTCTGGGCTCATTTTGTGCCTGTTGGTCAGTCCATCCGAGGGAACTCCGAGCCCCTGACCGTCCAGTGTCAGGCAGTCTCTGATCTGGACCCTGACACATCCCTGAAAGGATCCTACTCGAGTGGGGGCACCTGACTTGCAAGTCTGGGCTGCACAGCCCATTCCTCCTGGCTCATGTGGGCATCTGAGAGAAGCTGACAGACAGACATACTACGGTGTCCACTTAGACAGATGCAGTGACACACCCAGGTCCAGAGGGGCCTGGCAGGGCCCCCCTGGTGGGGGTAAGGTGAGAAGGGCCCGGGGCGAGCGGCCCCTTGTTCTATCGGAATGACATTTTCCCACAAGTGCACACACCTATACCAAGTGATCAAAGAGCAATAATTTCATCAACAAAGGTCATTTCTGTGGAAATCTCCGTCTGCAACTTTTATCTCATATGAGGGCAGAAACCAGAGCTTCCCAGAGGCCCTGTCTTGGAGGAAGGATGATTTGAAGAGGCTTGTGTTTCTGAAAATCAGTAAAAAGGGCTGGGGATGTAGCTCGGTAGGAGAGCAACGTGCTTTGGATCTGTGAGGCCCTGGGTTGGATCCCTGGCATCCCGTAGGGTCCCCAAGCCCTGCCAGGAGTGATTTCTGAGCTGACAGTCAGGAGTGAGCCCTGAGCCCAGCCGAATGTGGCCCCAAAACCCAAACAAGAAAAGAATCTGAAACGCCTAAGGACCATCCTTGCCTCCTACCTCCAGGAATCCTGTCCACCAGCCCCCACGGGTGCGGGTAGATTTGTGACATCACCGACACGGGGCCACGTCCCCAAGCTCCTAGGTTCCTGATGGCACGTCCTCAGACCACAGGGTCAGAAGGGGAATGCACCCACCCTTCTTTGGATGAGAAAGAACTGGGGGGTCTCAAAGGGCTAGGGCAGCTGGACTCAGAAGTTGATGGGGGTTGGAATCTGAAACTTGTAGTGACCCCATTGCTTCAGAAGCTCCTCCTGGGGAAGCTGGATACCTGCAGGGTGAGTCTGGGAGTTCAGGTTTTGCACCCCTGCCTTCTCCCCATCCTCTGGGGGGAGCTGCCCTCCCACTTCTCTAGACCACTGGCTCCCTCCCAGGTATCAGACCATCACCTCAGTGACAGCTAGGCTGGCAACTCCCCTCCAGTGGGATGTGCTTTGAGAGTGCCCCATAAACACCGAGGCACGAGGAGAAGGCCAACCTTGGGTGCGGGCGGAGTGCCCTGGATTTTGGGGGGCTGGGCACGACAGTCCCTGCATGTGAGCACACACAGAGGGGTGGTCAGCCCCCCGCCCCCGACACACACATACGCAGGCACTCACACGCAGAGCATGGGTCTGCCCCCCACTGCACATATACACGCCCACGTAAACACACACACACACACACACACACACACGAATGCACAGGCAGTTTCTTGATGCTGGCATATCACTGACTGTGTGGAGACCACACCTAGACGACAAAGCAAACTTCCCACCAAGTTGTCGGGTGATGCCTGGCTTTGGAAGCGTGGGTGATACAGGTCGGAGCAGATGCTTGTCCAAATGTTGTGCTCCTTCATTTCCCGAGAGCGCAGACTCAAAGTGGAGCTCCACAGAAAACTGCAGGGAACAGGTGAGGCCTGGAGAACAGAGGCCATCCTGGGCTGACCACTCCTGCATGCCCCTAAGTGCAGTTCTAAGCAGCAGAGATACTGTTACAGCTTTGAGATGAGCACACAGGCATGGCAAGCTCCTGTTGCTGGAACTACATAGGTTCCCCAAGCCAAGCACCACCAGGAGTGACATACAACCAGGCATGGTCCCTATACCCCTAAGGAAAAAAAACAATAAAATAAATACACAAAAATTTAATAAATGTGGCAAGTCCATTTAATAAATGGTGCAAAATGGGATTGTCTTTGCTTACGCAAAATACTCTCAATGTAACATTAAACACCAATTTAAATTTATTTTTAGAGTTTAGCTCTTCTCTGTTTATAAAGCCAATAAAGTACCAGACAGTCTTCCTTTGTTCCAACGACAGCGGTAATAGCAGAGGCGAAGGAAACGTCTCGAGAGAGTTCGTCAGGGAGAAAAGTTGTTGTGAAGGAAGAAACTAGACTCTAGACTTTTCTCTGGGAAAAGAAACAAGGAAACCTCATACCCAGATGTAAAACCGAGAACAGCTCTCTGTACTGGCGGCAATCACAAAGAAAATGCCACCAAAAGCTGGACAACAGGCCCAGAATGTGGTTCAGTGGCAGAGAGCATCCCTCACAGGCGTGAGGCCAGAGGTTTGGTCCCTGACCCCAGAACAGCTAAGCAAAAGAGAACAAGCGAAAAACAAAGCCAGATGTGTACTACAGTCGCAACCTTTGTGTGCCGGGGTGGGGTGGGGGTGTGCTAGGGATTGAGGCCAGGGACCCAAGCACTGAGGGACAGCCCCATCAATGACCATTAGCGGTTAACTGAAGATTTGGCCTCAGGCATTGGACTGGTGAAGTGACTGTCACGTTCATCTTGAGGCACCCAGACTGATTTTACTCAAGGGCCCTCTTGAGGCTGCAAAACCATGAGCTTTCAGCGCACTCGGTCATTTCCTGTGCAAAGGGAGCCCGGCCCTGGGCTGTCCCCAGCTGCCCTCTCCTGTGGCAGCTGACTGCAGACAAGTGGCCTCCAGCTCCATTATCCCGGCAGCTGCCTAATGCATTTGAACCACAAAATGGGCCTCTGCTTTGCTCGGAGCCCAGCTCCATCCTCCTAATCGGGAACAGACAGTCAGGAGTCCCGGAGGTACAAAATGGATCTTTCCAGATCATTTCAAAGGCTAGTGGGGAAAGAGGCAGAGGTGCTAATGGAGCAGGGACGGCTGAAACAACTTCTCTGCAGATGCGCTCTGACCAGCCGCACGCGGATCAATGTGTCATGCTGCGGTAATTACAATTTATGAGTCCCTTGGAAGGCAGTGAGCAGCAGAGAGTCTAGCTGAAGTCAGGGGCGGAAAGCCTCCACTCGACTGGGCTGGTACTTTCATCCACAATGATAGTAAACCGGTGCTTTGTAGAACTACCTCAGATTCGGTGAAACTTCTAACAACTTGGAATACTTTCTCTCACAGACTCGAGGCTCGTACCTCAGATTTGAATAGAGGGAAAGCCAAAAGTAAAACCACAATTTAAAGAAGCTATTTACTGGGAGAAAAAAGAAAAAAAAACCCTAGAAAACATCTTTTTGTTTTGCTTTTGTTTGGGGACCACATGTGGCGGTGCTCAGGGGTTATTCCTGGCTCTGGACTCAGGATTCACTCCTGGCAGTGCTCAGGGGACCATGTGGGATGCTGGGGATTGAACCTGGGTCAGCTGCATGCAAAGCAAGCGCCCAACCTCTACTATCTTTCCACTGCCCAAATTAGAAATTTTTCTGATCCACAAACTGCAGAAAACAAAAAAAAATTTTCTGGGAGAAAATGAGTAGCAGCAAGTGAAAAGCTTGGCCCCTCTGCACACGCAGCATGCCTGTAAATGGGTGCTTGATCCAGTGGACCCTGGAAGAGCCAAATCACCTGAAACATTACTCCAAAGCTGCTTGTGGCCTTTGGACCTAAATCAGAGTTAGTTCTACAGAAGCAAGAAGAGGGTTACACATAAGTCCACGGAGGTCCCGCCAGTATCTGAAACTATTCCGGTTCTTGGTATCCCTGAAAGTAGATTCAATGGGTAGCTTGCCTAGCTTCATGCGTTGCTGATTCTCCCGGCTTTGGGGGAAAGATTCTGCTGGTCTCCAGCACTCCCTACTCTCACCTTCTAGCCACGAAGGTCTAGAAGGATGGTGAGGTACCTTTCGAGTGCTTCTGAGACAGCTTTAATACAGTTTTAGTTAGACAAGAAACAGAAAGCCTCAGAGAAGTCACAAAACTCAATCCATATGGTACCAGATTGTTTCGTTCCACAAATGCTGCCCTAGTGGGGGAAAAAAAAACATCATGAATACATAAATGGCCACTGTTTTGTTTTGGGGCCACACCTAGTAGTGCTCAGGGTTTACTTCTGGCTCTGTGCTCAGAAATCACTCCTGGCAGGGCTTGGAGGACCGTATGGGAAGCAGGGGACTGAGCCCACCTTGGCTGCCTGCAAAGCAAGTATCCTCCCCACTACACTATCACCTTAGCCTGACAGCCACTTTCTGAGTGATTTAACAAAGACTGAGCTACAGAGCAGCGACCCTCGGCCAGAGGAAGTGGCTGAGCCCCTCCTGGCCAGCGGTGCCCCATCCTGGGAGACAGCGTAGGCCAAAGATGCAGAAAACTGGGGTGGGATATGGCTCTGTGGGGTCATCCCAAAAGCTATATTGCAAATACCCTACAAACAAACACCTGCACTGATTGGTTAGAATACCTCGTGGTGGGGGCCAGAGCGATAGCACAGTGGGGAGGGTTTGCCATGCACACGGCCAACCTGGGTTTGATCCATATGGTCCCCTGAGCACTGCCAGGAATAATTTCTGAGTACAGAGTAACCCCTGAGCACTGTCGGGTGTGACCCCCCCCCAAAAAAAACCCATTAACCAAAAACACCTCATGGTATCCAACCTTTGGGTGGACAGTCTCCAAGCACTCCAAGGGAATGACTGGAGTCACGACTCGGAGACAGAGTGTCCTTGAGCTCCCCTGGCCTGGAGGCTGCCGTCTCTGATGATTATTTCCTGCATGGCTGTGAAGGTGATGGGGATGAAGCCTTCGGTATCAGCAGAGAGAAGGATCCAGTGGGAGTCTGTGAAGTAAAATAAACAAGAGGCAACTCACCATCTCTAACCTTGTTCTATGAAGGAAAAGAGGACAAACGTGGTTTTTTGGAGGGGATGCGAAGGTTGCATTAGCTGGGATTATTGAATCTGATTGATCCAGAGAGATCTGAGTCCGGGAAGGTGGGGGACTGAGGGGGCGCATCGTGTTACACAGCAGGGGGGGTGAGGGGGTTGATTTAGGTAGCACTAAGGGACATACATTTTCTCTCAGAGTAGACCTGTCAGCCAGAGTTATGCTTATGAGCTTGCTCACAGGATATATATGGAGTGTCCCACCTTATCTGCAAACTATTAAGCACTTTCCTTAGACGCTTCATGAAGTTGGGAACAAGTGTTCTAGAGAAAGTTCTGAAGCAGGACTGGAATGGCCCAGGGAACCCTGGACATCTGCAGGTAGCCTAGAGCCACCAGCATAAAAAAACATACGCCTGGGGGCCGGAGAGATATAGGACAGCACGGGGTGGGGGTGGGGGGGCTTGCCTTGTACGAGGCTGACCAGGCTTGATCCCACCAAATGGTCCCCCAAGCCCGTCTGGAGTGACTCCTCAATGCAGAGTTAGGAATAACCCCTGAGTATCACCAGCTGTGGCACCAAAACAAATTAAAAAAATGCATGCCTGGACCTTCTCTGCTACTTTCAAGGCTAATGCATCTCACTTTTTGACTCAGTTACTTCATTTAATCTACATTTCCCCCAAACATAAAACATATGCAGAGGTTTTAAATCAGCGTTGTTTATAATGGTGAAAAACTGAAATACACCTAAATGTTGAATACAGCAAAGAGAAATACTGTACACCCCAGAATGCAGTATTAACCCCATAAAAGAAAAATGACAATTACAACATCTCAGCATTAAAACAGAAAATGCTGGTGCTACAATGTTATGAAACAAAAATGTTCAATGTCCTGGGTACTGTGAAAAGAATGTGAGAGAGCTGGAGTGCCAGTACAGTGGATAGGATGCTTGCCTTGCAGACAGCCAATGTGGGTTCAATCCCCAGGACCCCATATGGTCCCCAAGCACCAGCAGGAGTGACTCCTGAGTGCAGAGCCAGGAGAAACCCCTGAGCATCACTGGGTGTAGCCCAAAAAGGAAGGAAGGAAGAAAGAAAGGAAGAAGAAAGGAGGAAGGAAGGAAGGAAGGAAGGAAGGAAGGAAGGAAGGAAGGGGAGGGAGAGAAAAGAAGGAAAGAAGAGAAGGAGGAAAGGAGGGAGGGAGAAAGGAAGGAAGGAAGGAGAGAGGGAGGGAGGGAAGGAAGGGATGGGGAGGAAGGAAGGACTAAAGGAAAAAAGGAAGGAAGGAAGGGAGGGAGGGAGAGAGGGAGGAAGAGGAGAGAGGGAAGGAAGGAATGAAGGAAGAAAGGGAGGGAGGGAGAAAGGGAGGAAGGGAAGAAGGGAGGAAGGGAAGAAGAGAAGGGAAGAAAGAAGGGAGGGAGGGAGAGAGGCAGAGAGGGAGGGAGAAAAAGTTGCATTGGGCAAAACCCAGGCCTGATTCGGTCCTTAGCAGGCAGGAGACGCTTCACGTCCAGGCTCGACGACTCCTAGAGAAAAGCTTCTGTAAGGCTGTTATGATCTTTATGTTTTAGTGCCACAGCTGTGTATGAATGAGTGTTATGTCACTTCCGTGCAGTTGCTAGATGCGTTTTATAACTCCTTTCTAGCCTTTGCATGCATACACTCAGGCTTTCTGGCAAAGGTGCCATTTTTGTAAGGACACGGTCGCATTCTCCGTGGGTTCTGGTGCTTACCACAGGCCCGGGCGTACGGTGACTAGCTCATCGCTAACAGGGCGGACCGGCTCTTTTTCATCATCAGGGAAGGCTATGATGGAGATGGAGAAGGGAGAGGGTGTCGGGCAGGGCTTCCTCCCAGAGGCACCCACCTTGCAGCATTTCGATGAGGTCGAGGCCGAAGGCCTGCTGGACGGTGCTGAGTCGCAACTTGCCCCTGCAAAGCACCACGGTTCTCTTCTCGGGGGCGCAGCCTGCACGGTGAGGGTTCTTCAACGAGAGAAAGAGGCCGTTATGTGGGCTGCGCGAGCCACGAAGTTAATATTTCTTTTTGTGCCTGGCTTTCTGTGTTGGGGGCCACACCTGGAGAAGCCCAGGGGTCACTCCTGGCTCTGCACTCAGGAATCGTGCCTGGGAGTGCTCGGGGGACCAGAGAGGACGCTGGGGATTGAACCCAGGTCGGCTGCAGGCAAGGCAGACACCCTACCTGCTGGACTCCTGCTCCTGCATCGTGAAGTAAGCTTTTTCTCGAGAACAAAATGTTTGAATCATTTTAAAAAATCCTATTTCTCAACACTACCAGCTAGGTTTCAGTTATAAGGTTTATTTTTTTCGGGGGAGGGGGAGGGATACCCAGCATTGTTCAACAAAGGGAAAGAAAATGTAAGACAATTATTGCCCACCTTATGACACATTAAAAGTCAGAAGGCTATGCCCGGAGGGGAAAGGGTGTTGCCCCATTCGCCCTCTCCTCTCTGGAAAGAAAGATGGCGGCCACATGGGAGCCTTGTGGACAGCAGGTTTGAGCCGGGGGTCGGGGGCAACAAAAGCCTCATGGGAAGGGGGGCGTTCCAGCCCGTCCTTCACGCCCTACCAAGGTCACCAGTTGCCCCCCACGAGCGGCTCTCCGGCACGGCCACGACCCCAGAGCACAGAAACCAATCTCTTAATTATGTAACTTTTAGTAGAAATACTTCCAGGGTTAATAAGTAAAATAGCAGAAATCCAAAACTGAATCCAGACATCATTTAATTCTTGAACCCAGCTGTAGAAAGCCAATCGTTTCACAACGCTTTTTCAGCATGTCTGATTTTTGGGGGGGGGGGGTGTCGTAAACTCTAAATAATAGTGGTGCATCTTTTATCGAAACAATGAATCAAGTCAAAGTAGATAGAGTGTTAACTAGAACTCATCTGCCTCACAGGCATTGGGAGGGGTGGGAGGGGGGGTTCTATTGGGGTTCACGGTAAAAAATAAGTATTGGTAAAGGGAAATGTGTTTGATGTTTGCATGACTGAGACCTAAATCTGAAAGCTCTGTAACTTTTCCCACAGTGATTCAATAAATAAATAAATTATAAAAAAATTTTTAAAAAAGTCAGAAGGCTAGGGGTTGGGGCTATAGCACAGCGGGTAGGGCATTTGCCTTCCACGCGGCCAACCTGGGTTTGATTCCCAGCATCTCATATGGACCCCCGAGCACCACCAGGAGTAATTCCTGAGTGTAGAACCAGGAGTAACCCCTGAGCATAGCTGGATATGACCCAGAAAGTAAAAAAAAAAAAAAAAGTCAGAAGGCTGGGACTGGAGAGATGGTACAGCAGGTAAGGTGTTTTCCTGGCACGTGGTCAACCCAAGTTTGATACTAGGCACTCCATATGGCCCGCCTAAGTCCTACCAAGAATGATCCCTGAGTCCAGAGAGCCAGGAGCAAGCCTTGAGCACAGCTATATTATATATTATATTATATTATATATTATACATCCCCCCAAATTAAATAAAAAAATTATCAGTAAAAATTAAAACAAGGCCAGAGACATAGTGCAGTGAGTAGTGTCTGCAACCCAGCTCCAAGCACCCTGTGTCTGGCACCCCGTACGGTCCCCTGAGCTCCGCCAGGAATGATTCCTGAGTGCAGTTGGGAATAAACCCTGTGAATGGTGGGGTGTAGCCCCCAAACAGAAAAAGAAAAACAAACTTTCAAGTAAAAATTAAATGGGGCTGGAGATAGTACAGTAGGTAGGGCATTTGCAACCCATGTTCAATCACCACACATGGTGCCCCAAATCTCCCCAGGAGTATTCCCTGGGCAGAGAGTCAGGAATAAGCCCTGAGCGCTGCAGGGTATGGCCACTTATAACCCCAAGAAATAAATAAAAACAACAGTGTCATGTGAGAAAACCTAGGATATTAATGCACATTAATTTCTCTCATAGAGAAAACCTCTTTTAGACCAGAGGATTGCTGGGTGTGGCTCAAAAACAAAAACCAAAAAGAAAAAAATGTATGTATTCTGGGAACCAGCCCGTCAGAACTAAAATTAGGACTCCAGCATCAAGTAGATGTCTCAAAGGGCTAGAGCAAACCAGAGAGCCTGGGTTCAATCCCTGGCACAGCCTGGTACCCAAATACCAACCAAACGTGGCCCTTGAGTACCATTGCCTATGACCCCAGAACAGCAAGAAAAAAATCAGTCGATCCCCACCAAGCCCCACGATTAAGTATGTCCGCAGAACCAAGCCTATGTGTGACTCCAACTTCCACAACAAAACAAAGGGAAGAATAAAGCCCTACCTTGGGGCCGGAGCAATAGAACAGTGGATGGGGTCTTTGCTTTGCACGCGGCCGACCCAGGTTCAATTGCCGGCGTCCCATATAGATCCCCAAGCACTGCCAGGCGTGATTCCTGAGTGCAGAGCCAGAAGCCCCTGAGCACTGCCCACTGTGACCCCAAAAGCAAAATAAATAAATAAATAAATAAGACCTACATAAGATGGCACAGATATTTATTTTGTGTTGTGGCCACATTGCAATGCTCAGGTGTTAATGCTTCGATCTATGCATTAAAACTTTCTGGGTGGCAATAATCTCTCTTCTAGCTCTGACTTTTGTAGTGTAACCTGCACTGGATCTGGAAGAGGTTTCCATCATCAATTAATATTTTTAAAAACGGGGCCGGGGTAACAGTACAGCGGGTAGGGTATTTTCCATGTAAGCGGCTTACCCGGGTTCAGTCCCTGGCATCCAAATGGTCCCCCAAGCACTGCCAGGAGTAATTCCTGAGTGCAGAGTCAGGAGTAACCCCTGAGCATCGTTGGGTGTGACCCAAAAAGCAAAAAAAAAAAAAAAAAAAAAGAAATGAAAAATTAAAAATGTTTTTTCTAAACATAAGCTGGCAGAATTAGTACACACATTCATTCATTTTTTTCAAGTCATGCACCTGATAAAATCACGGTGTGTTGGGCTGGACTGACAGCACAGAGGATAGGGTGTTTGCCTTGCAAGCAGCCAACCTGGGTTCGATTTCCAGCTTCCCATATGGTCCCCTGAGCACCGCCAGGAGTAACTCCTAAGTGCAAGAGCTAGGAGTAACCCCTGTGCATCGCCGGGTGTGACCCAAAAAGCAAAAAAAAAAAAAAAATTATGGTGCGGGTCTAGAGAGAGCTCAAGGGGCTGAGAGCTTACCTGACATGCAGGAGGACCGGGTTCAATCCCCAGTACTTCCTGTTCCCTCAAGCATCACTGGGATGGCCCTAAGCATAGAGATGAGAGCTGTCCCAAAGCACCGCTGTGGCCCCCCAAAAAATAAACACCCAAAATAAAAAATATCATGGTGTATATTGATAGGTGTACCCATCTGGCTGGCAGGCAGGCAAGCTGGAGAGGTATTAACATGCCTATATCAAATATTAATGCCTTTCAATTAAAACACTATCTTTTTTTCTTCCCTTTATTTTCTTTTGTTCTTGTTTTTGGGGCCACACCTGGCAATGCCCGGGACTTACTGCTGACTGTGTGCTCAGGGATCATGCTTGCCATGGTTGGGGAACCCTCTGGGTGCCGGGGATCGAACCCAGATCAGCTGCATGTAAGGCGAGCACCTTCCCCGCCGTACTATTGCTCCAGTCTCACACTATCTTTTCTCTTAGAGCATCCACTGGCTCCAGGAGCCTCTCCATGCATGGTGGCACCTCAGAGAAGTTACCTGGTAAGTGACGTGAACGTATGGCAGATCCTGAGAGCGCGGGTACACGGGAGAGGATCGCTTTCTGTTAAGCAAAGAACCCGTGAGTTCAGAAAGGCATTGCTGTACATGGGTCAGCTTCCAAGACACGACATCCAGCTCCTTGGAGAGCTGCCAAAAGTCCTGCACAGTCTTTTCTGGAAGCAGATCGGGTGGCTCTGGAGGGCTGACGGGGTCTGGCGTGCTGGTGGCCCTGGGGAGAGCTCCTGAGTGGTTATTAGGGTTAGCATCCAGGATTTCTAGGGTGCTGGAGTAGTCGCAGATGCCAGCTGGGGGACTCTTGATTTCTTTAATGAGGGTCCTTCCAGGCTTTCTGCTCAGATCAGCTGTTAGTAAGAGCTCTCTATTTTGGTGACAAAAATCTGGAGGCTGACTTGGCTTCCTTCCATCTGCTGTCTCTAAAAGCACATTAGAAGTGTTCTGGCGTTCACTCAGGGCATCTGAAAATTCTTCCAGCGTGACTTCTCGAACAATCAAACGGAAGACATACTGATCAGACTTCGAAGAAGGAATGAAAGTGGAATCAGTGGCATTTGGCTTTCCTACCAAAATTAATAACAATTTATCTGTCAAGAAACATATGCCTTTGGGTCTTTCACCACTCTCCAGTTGAATCTTCTGGATATTTGGCATAAAGGATGGAATGACAGAATAGATGAAAATCATATTGTAAGTATTCGAAGCCACTGCCACAAGGTGGGCTGTAAGATTAAACGCAATTAGATCAGGTACCAGAATGCCTGGGACAGTAACTTTTCTGGTTCTCGTCACATCCTTCTTGAATGTCACCAGGACCAAATGCGAAGAATCCAGACCGGTTCCTGTCACACAGTCCTTTTCTTTCAGAAAGATAAGAGAACTTCCTTCCGACTGAGACGGTTTGAAACGTATATGAGTCAGGTCCACAGGCTCCGAGAAGGAAGACCCAGGAGTCAGGAACGTTTCAGGCTTTGTTCCCGAATCATCTGCCCCCACCCTCTCAGAAGATGCTCCCTCACTCACCGGCAGGGCAGAGGGGCCAGTGTCGTCACCGCCGGACTGGACGCCCAAGGACTGAGATGCGTGTAAGCCACAGATCTTACCTAGGGGCAGCTCGGTGGCTAAGACAACCTGCGTGTCCACGGTAGCCCTGATGCAGCATACGGAGCTGTCCACGTCCACCACGGGGGAGAAGGAGCAGGGGTTCAGAGTCTTCTGAGCGTTGTCCCAAATGTACGAGTGCAGACTGTTGCCTACTGCCACCACCAGCCTACAGCCGTCCTGGGTCCAGCACGCACAGTGAATGAGGCCCGGGGCGCTGATGTCCGCTCGGACCCGGGTGCTATAACGGTGAACGTTATAGAACACCGAGACGTCCTGTGCCGTGAGCACTGTGAGGACGGCACAGTGCGGGTGCCACACGCAGCCCTGGGGCAGGACGGGCACGGAGGTTCTGATCTCACAGGACTGCGACATCCGCCACTTGCTCTTCTCCGCCGGGGCCGGGTGGGGACTCAGATGCCACACTGTCACGTGCTTCTGGTGCTGAACGGCGAGCAGCGTGGAGGTGTCGGCCACAGCCCAGGGGGCCCAGGACACCCCCGCCACGTGCTCAAACTGTCTAATAGGCTTTGAGCTCCCGAACTTGACCTCTCCCCCGTGAAGCTGCAAATCGGTCAGGACCACCTGATGTCCATCTGTCCAGGCAAGGCCATGAATGGGGTGGACGGCTTGATGTAACGCATTCAGTCCCGTCCTGGGCAGCGTTCCTTTGCCCAACTCCATCCTTCCTGGTAAAGGTTCTCTGGAATAATCAAGCGGGGGGAGTTAGAGCATAGGGATTTAATTAGATCCATAATACAGAAAATTTTACAAGACAATTCACTGGCTCCTTGCAGGTTAATGTAGAACATTTCACGTGACAACCATCAGGCTCCTCACAGGTTAGTTCTGAGAGGGGCTAAAAGACAGGGCAGATTTGGTTGACAGATGAGTTGACAAGAAAACACAATGTATGTATAAGCTTCAGTGGGTCTTGAATTGGGAAGATAAATTTTCTCATGAGATACTTAAAAAACAAAACAGAACAGTGGGGGAGTCATATCCAGTGATACCCAGGGCTTACTCTTGGCTCCAGGCCCAGGGATCATTCCTGCTGGGACTCAGTGAACAATAAGGGGTGCTGAGGATTAAATCTGGGTTGGCCGCATGCAAGGCAAGTGCCCTACCCACTGTGCTTTCTCTCCAGCCCCTGAGCTACACACTCTGAGCAGCAACCAATGCCAAGTGGGTGAATGCGAGTCGGAGCTCCGGGCAGCATCCAAGCCCACAATCATCACAACAACAGCCACAAAAAGGGACGGGGTAAATGGACATCCGTATGGGAACAAAAAGCAAGGATGCTCTACAGGTACAGCTACAGAAAGAAATCTCCCCCTTAACGAACGAGAATCCACAAGGTGGAAGATCTAAGATGCTTTTATGGAAAACAAGTTCAAATCTCCGTATCTAAACGTGTGCTCATGTATATTTATAAGGGAATACAGGAGGGAAAAAAAAAAGACACAAGAGATAAATCAGGGGCCAGAGCGATAGTACAGCAGGGAGGGTCTTTGCCTTCCATGTGGCCAACCCGGTTTCAATCCCCAGCATCCCATGGTCCCCCAAGTAGCACCAGGAGTAATTCCTGAGTGCACAGCCAGGAGTAACCCCTGAGCATAAAATAAGTAAATAAATAAATAAATAAATAAATAGAGGGGCTGGAGCAATAACACAGGGGGTAGCGCATTTGACTTGCATGCTGCCAACCCAGGTTCGATTCCCAGCATCCTATAGGGTCCCCCGAGTACTTCCAGGAGTGATTCCTGAGTGCAGAGCCAGGAGTAACCCCTGAGCATTGCCGGGTGTGACCCAAAAAGCAAAATAAAAAAGAAAGAAAGAAAGAAAGAAAAAGAGATAAATCAACCAAAACATTCCATGAAGCTAACAAGAGGAGGGATAAAGGACAAAGGAGCATCCTCTCCTCTGGATCTCAGAGGACGAGAGTCTGACAGCACTCATTCTGCCTGCTGCCCACGTCTCAACCTGAGAAGTATAAATTCTCTCTAAATAATTTAAAATAAAAAATTACAGATGTATAAATTCTCCTTATTTCTTCTAAATTAAACTAACCTGGGGCTAGAGCGATAGTACAGTGGGTAGGGCATTTGCCTTGCATGCAGCCAACCTGGGTTTGATTCCCAACATCCCTTAAGGTCACCCGAGTGCCACCAGGAATAATTCTGAGTGCAAAGCCAGGAGTAACCCCTGTGCATTGCCAGGTGTGACCCAAAAAGCAAAAACAAACAAACAAACAAACAAACAGAAAAACAAACTATTCTGCTTCACTAAAAAAAAAAAAAAAAGATTTTTTTCTAGGGCCGGAGACATGGCTCCAAGGGCTGAGTACATGGCTCGCAGGCAGGCCACCCAGCTTCACTGGCCGGCACTGTATGGTCCCTGAGCACTACCAGGAGTGACCCCAGACACAGAGCTGGGACAACCATCAGGTGTGGCCCAAACCTCCCCCCACCACACACACATACATAAACTTTTATAATTATCACGTATCCCAATCCTTTTGTAATTAAAAAAAATGAAAAGGGCTGTAGAGATAGTATAGTGGGGAGGGCGTTTGCCCTACCATATGGTTCCCCAAACCCTTCCAGGAATAATGTCCTGAGAGTAGGGCCAGGAGTAACCCCTGAACATTGCCAGGTGTGGCCCCAAACCAAAGATAATCAAACAGGAAAAGTAAAAATACCTTCTTTTATAAAGAACACTTACAGACCAAAAGTTAAAGACAAACTTTCTAATTTTAAAATGCCCAAAGAATATCAATAGACACGTCACAGAACCCTACGATGATCGACAAACATCTTAGCCTCACTACTTATCAAGTAATTGTCTAATCTTTGCAATGTCCACTTCCTCACTGTTCTCTTAACTTACCCTAACCTGATTCCAGTTCAATCTCTTTTCCAAAACCAAGCCACTAGTGGCATCCATGTCACAGTTTCTGATTTTCAAAGCCTCTTTTACCAAGTCAAAAGAAAGTGTCCCAAACCAGAACTTGCTAAAGTCAAACTTCAGACTCTAAATCCAAAGAAATGTGGGGCTGGAGCAATAGCACAGCAGGTAGGGTATTTGCCTTGCATGCGGCGGACCCAGGTTCGATTCCCAGCATCCCATATGGTCCCCCGAGCACCTCCAGGAGAGATTCCTGAGTGCATGAACCAGGAGTAACTCCTGTGCATCGCTGGGTGTGACTCAAAAAAGCAAAAAAAAAAAAAAAAAAAAAAAAAAAGCAAAGAAATGCATCTGTTACCAAACTAACAGCCTGGTGATATGCTTTTATCCTCAACTTGTTTCTTACCCCTCTTTGTTAGTTTTGTCCATGTTCTTAGTCTTGGACTGAAAGGAACAGTCTGTTAGGTTTCTGCACAGCTATAGATTAAGTGGTTCAGCAGTGAACCACTAAATGGACAAGTCCCCTCCATCACTAATGAAGGAAAGTGCCAACCACAGGTCTTATGGAATATATGATTTTCCTTAATACCTACTTATGCATTTTAAAATGACTTTTATTTGATAAATAATGCATGATACATTTTCCTGGGCTGAGAAAATTCCTAATGGGCCAATTTATCAAAGACAATTTATACGATATGTTTTAGGCTGTCCAAGTCAGAAGGTCATGGAGGGTGTGTCTGGTCTATGGTGGCAGAGAAATCATTTGTGAATAAGACAAAAAGATAAGGAAGGTGCTGAGAATTAACTATTAGAATTAAATAATATTTCCGTCTTCCGTGACAAGTAGCAATTTTCTATACTTGTCTCAGAAACTAAAGGATAGCTACAAAAATCTGGCTCAATACTTTCCATTCCTGCCCTAGTGGGGGTTCTGCCCACGTCACCCTCTTCAGAAAGGCAGGACAAAGAGGTCCTGTATGCTTCTCACAGGGCCTGGATGTTGTGTGACAGGGCGGGCCGGAGAGATAGTACTGTGGATAAGGAGCTTCTCTGCATGCACTCAATCCAGGTTCAATTCCTAGCATCCCACATGGTCCCCCAAGTCCTGCCTGGAGTGATCCCTGAATAGAACCAGGACTAAGCCCTGAACACTGCCAGGTATGGCCCCATCCTGCCAAAAAAGGAAAAAATAAATTAAAAAAAAAACCTCACCATTTTGCTCTTCTGCTTAAATGTTTCTAATGAATCTCTCTCTAGTCTCCATACATAAAAGCAGCTCTTTCAAAATGTCTTTAGCAAGTTATTTTTATTTAACTTTTGGTGTATGTGTGTGTGTTTCTTTTTTTTTTTTTCTTTTTTTTGGCCATACTCAGCTAGGCCCAGGGGTGGGGATGATGCTTGGGGAACCATATTGGGTACCAGGAATCGAACCAGGTTTGGCCGGGTGCAAAGCAAGCACCCTGATCACTATAAGATCACTCTGGACCCTTTTAAATTTTTTATTAAAGCATCTTTGGTTTGAGGCCACAACTTGCTTGGGGCTTCCACTAGGCTGATCGGGGGACGATGCAGAGTTGGCGAGGAAATGGAACCCAGAGTTCCCACATGCAAAGTCTGTGCTCCAACCCTTTGAGCTACATCCCCAGTCTTCAGCAAGTCACTAAAAGTCTTACATAACTCGACTAGTGATAAACCTTTCCCATCTTAACTCTCTGATTGTAAAGAGCCTGCTAAGAAAACTGAGATTTGGAGGAACCAGTACACATTGCCCTGGCAATGTGCAGAATGTAATGTAGGAAGAAAAAAGCTGGCAAATCTAATAAGAGGCTATGAAATAGTATGAGGGTCACAATGGGAAAATGAGCCAATCTATAGTGACTTCAGGAGATAAAAGGGGTAATGTCACATCTGGGATTTTATGTTTGTTTTTTGGGGCGACACCTGGTGATGCTCAGGGATCACTCCTGGCTCTGCACTCAGGATTCACTTCAGGAAGTGCTTGGAGGATCATAGGAGATGCAGGGGATCAAACCCAGCCCCTTACTTGAGCTATTTCTAGGAAATCATTCAGGATTATTTCTAAGGGGCTGGAGAGATAAAACAGCACGGAGTTGTCTTTGCAAGTGGGCAATCTGGGCTCGATCCCCAGCACCCTTTATGGCCCCCAAGCACAGCCAGGAGTAAGCCTCGACCGCTACCAGTGTGGTGCCTCCCCAGTCCTCTAAAAGATATGTTTTTTTGCTTTTTGGGTCACACCTGATGATGCACAGGGGTTACTCCTGGCTTTGTTACTCAGGGATTACTCCTCGCAGTGCTCAGGGGACCATATGGGATGCTGGGAATCGAACCCAGATCAATCGCATACAAGGCAAACGCCCTATAGTTTGTGCTATCGCTCCAGGACCCCCCCCCCCCCCCCCCCCCCGCCATTTCTAAGGTCAGTCAATGAACATCAGAGAGGCTGTGAGTGGTGAAGAAGAAAGAAGAACTGAGGAGAACATGTCCAATTTTAGTTTGGGAATTTTGTTTCATGGCCTCCCCAGCGGCTCTGGGGGTGCCACGCAGAATAGGCCCTCCATCCATCCAAAGGGGCATGTGGTAAAGCCATTTGAACTCTCCCCTCAGGCCCTAGTTTGAAATTGTTGAGCTACTACGTTGGAGCATAGGTCAAAGACGGGTGTGTGGTGTCTGATAAATTTACTAGCAGAGAAGCCTCATTTAGATGTCTATGGGACTGCAGAGATAGCTCAGGGGCCTTGGGTATGTTTTCTAAGTGGATGCCCAGCTCCGGTCACCAGCACCATGAGGACTAGGATACCCACCACCCCAGGAACAGAGCTCCAGGCAGCCCCTAGCAAGTGGGTGTGGCCCAATCCCCTCCGCACAAAAAAGCTTGGAGATGTCTAGAGGGCAGACACAACCTTAGACTGAGAAAAGATCTGGGAGTCACTAACGCAGCAGTAAGTGCCAAAGCAGAGCGTTGCTGCAAAGGCTCTGGGCTCAAAGAGGAGGAGGGCTGAAATAATATTCAGGGTTTTCCCAACTAGTTTGGTTATTAAAACTTTTCCCAGTTGGGGGCCAGAGCGATAGTACAGCAGGTAGGGCACTTGCCTTGCACGTGGTCAACCCAGGTTCCATCCCAGGCATCCCAGAGGGTCCCCTGAGCACCGCCAGGAGTGATTCCTGAGTGCAGAGGCAGGAGTTAGCCCTGGGCATCGCCCGGTGTGGCCAAACAATAATTAATAATAATAATTAATGACAATAATAATAACAAAGAACTATTTTTCCGAAGAAAAGTCTGATTCTCTCTGCCGGGTGTTTCTCAGTGCGGCTTTGGTTAAGTTTTGCCAGCCACACTGTCCGGCTTCACGTCGCCTGTTCCCACTTCACACTGGCAGCTGCCCGAGGCTCCCTGAAAGTTGCAGTTATTAATTTCAGAAGACGGGGACCAGTCACTCCACGAACGCGCATCTGCTCCCCGCCCCGTCGCGACCCTGATGGTCCTCCTCGTCTGGCCTCGGGATCAAGGATGGAGAGATCCTTAGGAGAGATCCCAGGAGGGTCGCACGGGGGACACCGAGACCTCCCCTCGCAGCCACCCCCAACCCGTGTCCTGAACCAGCCCCACACCTGCGGGCCCCCCACGCACTCCTCCCATCCTCTCGGCACATGGGGGAGCTCTGAATCCTTCCCACCCCCGACCAGAAACAGTCCCTGCACCTCTTCCCCGAGCACACAACGCCTCCCCGCAAGGGCCGGGCAGTAGAGACAAGATACCTTCCGTCTCACTGCGACCAGACACTCAGTCTCCGCGCGGCCGCCCCGCCTCACGCTCCCGGAGCCCAGCCCGAGAGGCTACCGGAAGTATCGGCTCCGACGCCCCGGATTGGCCAGCGGTGTCCCGGCAAGCGGGGTGAGAGTCCCCGCTATTGGTTATCTCGGATATCCTGCGCTGATGGGTCCTTCCCACTGGCCAATGAGCGCCAGCTCTTTCGCACAGATTTCTGGGCATTGTAGTCTTCGTGCCCCTTCGCGGACCGTACTCCCGCCGCGGGAATTTCTCCCTTTGGTAAGAGTTTAGTAACCTGTCACTGATGGTATTCTAAATTGTAAACCACGGGGAATAAATAAAATGTAAAAAAAAAAAGAACAATGAAAACTAGGCTTAGCATTTTAAAAATATTATTTTGGGAGTCGGAACGGCAGGTAGAGAGCTTGCCTTGCGTGCGCGCAGACGACCCAAATTCAGTCTCCCGCACAAACCACCTATGGTCCCTGGAGCACTTCCAGGAGTGATCTCTGAGCACAATGCCAGTATGTAAGCCCTGAGCAACGGCGGGTGTGGTGCAAACAAACAAGTAAAACTTATTTTGAACAAAAATTAGGTTCAGCACCTTTCCACACTTCTCTTTTCTCATTACATTTCCCTCTTCTCATTTCTCATTTCCCACTTCTCATTACAAGTTTAAAAAGGAGTTTTAGGGCTGGAGTTCCTTAGCATTCTATATGCCCCTTCCCCCCAGCAATGCCAGGAGTAATTTCAGGAGTAACTGCAGGAGTATCACCGAGTGTTGCCCAAAGACAGCAATAATATAAAATATAATAAAAATTACCCCAGAAAAAAATGATCTGGATAGGGAGGAGGGAATTGAGGTGAGGTTCTATGCCATGCATGTAACATTGTAAATCACAGGTGCCTCTTCCTCCTTTTTGGGGGAGAGAGGCAGTTTGGGCCACACCTGGAAGTGCTCAGGAGTTACTCTTAGCTCTGCTCTCAGGAATTACTCCTGCCAGTGCTCTGGGACCATATGGAATGCCACGGAATCAAACCCCAGTAGTCACATGCAAGGCAAATGTCCACCTGCTGTACTATAGCTCTGCTCCTGCAGATAACATTTTTTTTTTACATGTAGTCACTGTCAAAGAGAAGGTATAGCTGGTAATGTGCTTACCATTTGTGCAACTGACTGGGCTTCCATCCATGTCATTCCATATGGTCCCCGAGCACTTCCAGGAGTGATTCCTGAGTGCAAAGCTAGAGGTAACCCCTGAGCGTCTCTTGACCAAAATAAATAAATATTTTAAAAAGTTATCTATGCCTACATTTTATTTATTTATTTATTTATTTTTGTTTATTGAATCACTGTGGGAAAGGTTACAAAACTTTCAGGTTTAAGTCTCAGTCATGCAATCATCAAATACATTTCCCTTCACCAGTACTTATTTTTCACCACCAAGAATCTTAATTTAATTGCATCCTCAGTTTTCCTTAGAGTAACATAGTCCTGGTGGACTCTGTTGGATGCCTTAGAGCAGCCTTTGGTGAATTTAGATTTTGGCACTTCATATAGTTCCCATCATCTTTCATCAAGAACATAAACCCACAGGGATGTAGCTCTGTGGTAGAGGACATGCCCTGCATGCAAGAGTACTGAGTTCTATTCCTGGCACTGCAATATAAGAAAAAAACTTAAAACACACACAGACAATCATTCTTGAGGTATGTTGATGACCACCTGTTTATCAGACTTGAGTAAAGAGGGCTGGAGAAATGGAGCAAGAACTCTTTTATTTTTATTTTTTTTTATTTTTTAAATTTTTTTTCTTTTATTAGTGAAACACCATGAGGTACAGTTGTAGATTTACAATTTTTTGTGCTTGGGTTTGATTATACAATGATCAGATACCCATCCCTCCACCAGTGCCCATTTTCCACCACCATAGATAATATCCCCCCCACCCCCATCCCCCCATCCCCCCCTGCCTCTGTGGCAGGGCAATCCCCTGTGACAAGAACTCTTTTAGAGCTGTCTCTGGACATCTCTGCTTGGGCTTTTCTTTCAAAGCCACTTTTCAAAATTATACCTCCAAAGTATTTTGGGGAACAATATGGGAAAGATACTACACTTGATCTTAGCCGAAAGGCCGAGAAGCACGTACGCTAGCATCAGATACATCCATCGAGGACCTGATGGTACAAGCGCGAATGATCAAGTACGACATCATTGGTCTGACCGAGACAAGAAGGCACGAATCTCACCATGCCGTTTTTGATACTGGAGAAGAATTGTTCCTCGGAACATGCGATAAAAGAGGTGTCCGAGGCGTCGGTGTCCTTGTCAACACAAACTTGGCCAAGAGCATTGATTCATTCGAATGCCTAACAACCGGAATCGGACGTTTACATTTGAATAGATGTGGCTCACTGCCTGCAGTTTCTATCTTCGTTGTCTACGCACCAACATCTCATTATGATGAAAGAGAAATCGAGAAGTTCTACGCGGAGCTGGAGAAGTTCTATAAAGAAGACCACACCTTCTACAAGATCTTTGTGGGTGATTTTAATGCCAAGGTAGGATCGAGAAGATCAGCTGAAGAACTTCACATCAGGACCCATGGCCTAGAATGGAACGAACAGGGTGAGAGACTGCCTGGGTTCATCATGTCGACCAAGACCATCCATGGTAACTCACAGTTCCAGAAGGCAGAATCTAAACGTTGGACATGGGAGTCTCCCGGTGGACGATTCCACAACGAAATAGACCACATCATATTCAATCAACGGTTTTGCCTGACCAATGTCGCTGTTGTCCCAAAATTTCGAACGGGATCGGACCACCGTCTCCTTCGTGCAAAATTCTACTTCACAGAGCGGGGAGAAAGGGCTGCAAAGTTCAAAAAGAGAACTCCCAGAACGACCACCAACTGGGAACTCTTTGGCACTATTGCGGCAACATGGGAAGATGCCATTGTTGACAACATTGACGAGGAATACGATCGACTGGTTCAGCACCTCCATGAATGTGCGAGGAACGCCAAGAGAGAGATAGCCACAAAAAAACACCTGTCTTCGAAAACTCTTGAGCTAATTCGCCAGTGTGGTTTGGCGCATGCCTCAGGCAACCGCAAGCTAACGTCCGAGCTCGCAAAGCAGTGCAGAGATGCGATCAAGGAAGACCTCAAAGAGAGAAGAGCAGAAGTACTGGTAGATGCGGCAGAAGCCGGGAAAAGTATTCATAACGCCCGCCTATCCTTCGCCAACTACAAGACCAAGATGACTGCCCTCTGACGTCCTGATGGATCCATCACATCCTCCAGAACGGCAATGGAGAAGATTATCCATGACTTCTACTCAAATCTCTTCGATAGCCATGTCCACTTGCCGACATACCAAATTCCACAGGATGGATATGTCGTTCCCAACATTCTCCCTTCCGAAATCCGACACGCCATTTCGTCGGTAAAGAAACAAACAGCATCCGGCCCAGACAAGGTCAGACCTCAACACCTGAAGAACCTGCCGTCAGTACTCATCAATACACTGGCTCGGCTCTTCACTCGCTACCTGTCTGAATGCAAGGTTCCGTCCCAGTGGAAAACCAGCAGGACCGTACTACTGTTCAAGAAGGGAGACATCTATGACATTGGCAACTATCGCCCGATCTGCCTATTGTCTGTCATCTACAAGTTGTTCACTCGAGTCATCCTAAATAGGATTGGCAGAACACTAGATGAAGGACAACCATGCGAGCAAGCTGGGTTCCGCAAAGGATTCAGTACCATCGACCATATCACACGATAACCAAGCTCATTGAGGTTTCTCGGGAGTTCAAGATGCCGCTCTGTTTAACGTTCATTGATTTAAAGAAGGCCTTTGATTCTGTTGAGACGGAAGCGGTCATTGAAGCCCTAGCCAATCAGGGCATTTAAGCCCAATACATCAAGTTCCTCCGTGAGCTGTATTGCAGATTCACTACCAGGATCTCACCATTCTACAAAGAAGTGATCGTTGATGTCAAGAGAGGGGTTCGGCAGGGTGATACCATTTCACCGAAACTCTTCAGTGCCACCCTCGAGAACATCATGCGACGACTGGAATGGGAAGGAATGGGAGTGAAGATAGATGGTTGGCAATTACACCACCTCCGCTTTGCTGATGACATTGTTTTAATAACACTAAATATCAGCCAAGCGGCACAAATGCTGGCCGACTTTGACCGAGAGTGTGGAAAGGTAGGACTACAGTTGAATCTTACGAAGACAATGTTTATGAGAAACAGCCTCGTTCCTGATGCCCCATTCGCTCTCAATGGAACGACCATCTCCTAATGCAACAGTTATGTGTACCTAGGTTGAGAAGTCAACATGACAAATGACCTGGCACCCGAGCTGCGCAGGAGGAAGAGAGCGGCTTGGAACGCCTTCAAGAACATCGAAGAAATAGCTAAGAGGACGAAGAACCTCTGGCTCCGGGCACATCTCTGATTCCACTGTTCTTCCTGCATTAACATATGCCTCAAAGACCTGGGCCCTACGCAAACAGGATGAGAATGCTATTCAGGTCTCCCAAAGAAGAATAGAAAGAGCTATGCTTGGAATATCACGTTTCACTCAAATGAGAGAAAAAATCTGGAGTTCCGATATCCGTCGACGATCAAGAATCAGGGACACTGTCTCATTTGCCAAGGTGTCAAAAATCAGATGGGCTGGTCACGTAATGAGATTTAAAGACGACGGCTGGACTAGAGCTGTTACTGACTGGATTCCACGGGATGTCAAAAGACCACGTGGCCGCCCACCTACCAGATGGTCAGACTTCTTCGTGAAGATCATGAACGATCGGTTTGAGGCTCTTCATGATCCCAGAGCGAACAGATGCCATTGGGCTACACTAGCATGGGACAGGGACAAATGGAGACGTTACTGGCGCCCGCTCGAGCAAATTGACGACTAACGGGAAATTAAGTGATTAAGTGATATGGGAAAGAATGTGTGTGTCTGTGTATGTGTGTGTGTTTAGATTCCTAGTCATTCTTCAGGCAAATGCTACATCCTCCAAAATTACTTTTCTGTATTCCCTTTCAGATGGGAGTAGAAGGTCTGATGTGAAGTTTAGGAAAGAACCCACTCATTCATTCATTCATTTATTCATACCACTGCATTAATCATTTCACTCTAAAACTATGTCTAATCCACCAAAAATTTAATTCCTTAGTTATAGCAATTCTGTCTTAATTTAAGTAGCATCCTAGGGCTGAACTCTTTGTCTTGATCCATTTGTGTGGGTGCCAGAAATTTCCAGGATGGTAAAGAGGAGTTTAAAGGTGGGTCATAAAGGGTCAATAATGACTCTCTTTCTCCTCTCATCTCCCACCTTCCACCCAGCTCACCAGCTGGCTCCTGCAGATCCTGGCAGCCTAGCATCTCTCTGGGCCTTTCATAACATTCTCAACTCCACAGCAATAGGTGCATCTAATTAAAGTATTGAGTTTGTTGCCCCCGCCACTTCCCCTGTCAGTGGAATGAGGTTGACAACTCAGAGCTGAGTGCAGACAGAATAGGTGTGAATAAATGTGCTCAACAGATGAATAAATGAATAGACAAACAGCAAGTTGGACAGAGAGATGGATAAATAGATGGAATGGGTAGAAGGGTAGATGCAGAGGTAGGTGGATAGATGTATGATGGATAGATGGGTAGATGAATGGAAGATGAATGGGTGGTTGGGTGGGTGGGTGGGTGGTTGAATGGATGGGTTGGTGGATGGATAATGGATGATGAATGGCTGGGTGGGTAGATGGATGGATGACAGATGAATGGCATATTAATGGATGTGTGGGTAAGTGGGTGGGTGGATCGATGAATAGGTGGGTAGATGGATGGTTTGCTAGATGATGGATAAAAGGATGGGTAGATGGGTAAATAAATTTATGAACGGACAGGTGGGTGGATAGATAGAAGAATGAGCGGTGGGTGGATGGATGGAAGGAGGGATGAGTGGATGAAGGGGTATGTGGATGGATGGTGGATCAATGGGGTGTACAGGAGGGTGGGTGGATGGAAAGAGGGGTCGGTGGATGGAAGGAGGGGTGGGTGGATGAGTGGGTGGGTGGATGGATGGAAAGATGGCGAGATGGACAGGTGGGAGGATGGATGGAAGGTTGAGTGGTGGGTGGATGGAAGGAAGGAAGGAGGGATGAGTGGATGAATGGGTAGGTGGATGGATGGTGGATGGTGGATGGTGGATGGATGAGGTGTACAGGTGGTGGGTGGGTGGCTGGATGGAAGAATTGGTGGGAGATGCTGTGTGGATGAATGAATAGACAGGTGAGCGGATGAATGAGTAGATGCATGAATAGATGGATAGTGTGTGGAAGGATGGATGGACAGGTGGGCGGCTGTATGGAAGGACGGGCGGATGCATGGGTGGTGTGTGGATGGGTGGATGAGTGGTGGACGGGTAGTTGCACGGGCTCCTCCAAGCCTCCTCCACCATCCTCCCCAGCCAGGGGCTTAACGATCACGAGTGCAAGCGGGCTCTGGAGTCAGGTCCCAACCCTCCCCCGCCCCGCGGCCTCCCTCCTCCCCCGGCCGCGCCCGCGGACCCCACCTTTCCGCGCCGCCCCGCCCCGCCCGCCGCCCCTTTCCCTTGGCCACGCCCCGCGCAGGTCCCCACTCCAGCCGCACCTCCTCCGGCGCTGCAGTGGCGCGGGAGGCAGCCGGAGCGCCAGCGGGGCCGCGGCTGGGTCGAGCCGGGTCTGGGCAGCAGCGGGGACCCTCGGAGGCGGGGCCAGTGGGACCGCGATGGGCGTGGAGATCGAGACCATCTCCCCGGGAGACGGTACCGGGCGGCGGGGCCGGGAGAGGAGGAGGGGTCCCGGGGCGGAGCCGGCCGGTCTGGGGGTCTCCCTGGGAGGTGGCGCGGTGGGAGCCCACAGCGGGGACCGGGGGCCGGCAGGAGGAGTCCCCCCCGACGGGATTGCTGGGCTTCTGTTTGGGACTCGATCCCCCACCAGCTCTCCTTAAGGGATCGGAGGCGGCGGCTGCAGGTGGGGGGTCTCGGCCCGACTGCGCCCGGGGCCCTGGGGTGTCCCCGGCGCGGCTGGAAGCGATCGCTTCTCTCCCCCGCGCCCTACTCCGCCGGGCGGCTTTGAACTCCGCTGTCCCTGCCCTCCCCGGCCAACTCTGCAAAGAGCGGGGAGAACCGGCATCGGGGGCTCTCCTGCGGGGGACGAGCCCTCCCGGCGCGCCCCGCACGCCCCAGCCGGTCTGGCGGGCAGACGCGCGCCCGCCGCCGCCCCTGCGTCTCGCCGGGTCCGCGCCGCCCCTCCGCCTCCCGGCCGCCGCCCGGCGCGGGGCTCGCTCGCCCGCTCGTCTGCACGCTGACGGCCCCCAAACTTAGACCTGCAGCCGGCCTCGGGCGTGAGTTCGTGACGGCATCCAGCGGCCGTGCGACCCCCACCTGGGTTCAAGCAGAACTCGGGGTCCCCTGGTCGCCCCCCGCGCCCGCTCCCCGCACCCCTCTCGGCGCGTCCTGGCTCCCAGCTTCTAGGGACCCGTTCCGGATCCCAGGCATCGCCCTGTGTCCTGGGTCTGGGCGCCGTTTCTCGAGCAGAGCGTCGGTTTGACAGAGGCACCCCCAGCCCTGGAGGTTTGACAGGCGAACCACGTCAGACATAGCCCACACGTCCCCACGGCCCCCCGCCCCCAAAGGGAGCATCTCTGATCCTTGTTGAACAGTCTAGTCTCCATGTGAGCATGCATGGGGCGCAGGCGGCTTTGCTTGTGTTGAGGACCTGGGCTGCAGGGCCGCAGAAACCACCTTCCCTCCCCTCCCCACACACCCCCTTTCCATTCTCTCGGCCCTGGAGCCCAAAGGGCTTGGAGCCCCTTGTCCCTTCCCTGCAACCAAGAGATCTCTGCCTTCAGTGTTCTCTCCTGTCACTCTCTGCCAGAGACCGTGGTCGTTTTCTTCTAAGGTGGGAGCTTCCAGACAGTTGGGGGAACATGCTCTGCTTTGTATCAAACTCCAGGTCTGGTGAAGTTTGGTAATAGAGAGATGAGCACAGCTGCTTCCAAACTCAGTCTCCTCTGCGCTCTCAGGGCTGAGGCCATTTCATTTTGAGGGCGATGAGTCTTGGGAAAGCCTGAAGAAGTTTGATCTCTGCTTGCACCCTTGAATCAATGAAAGAGCCTGGTCGGTCTTCTCTATCATGTACAAGTAATATTTGCAGACAAGTCCTTAACATCAGCAAGCTTGTCTCCCTGCTGGGACAAGTGCTTGGAGGAGCCCCTGTTAATTGTTTGCGTTTGTTTGTTTTTTTTTTTGGTTTGGGGGCCTGGTGATGCTCAGGGGTTACTTCTGGCTCAGCACTCAGGAATCAATCCTGGAGGTGCTCAGCAGATCATATGGGATGCTGAGGATTGAACTCAGGTCTGCAGCGTGCAATGCAAGCACCTACCCACTGTACAGTGTTCCCAGTCCCCTTCCTGTTAAGTTCTTCCTCTGCATATCTCAAGCCTCCATCTCCCCAGCCCCTGCCACCAGCTCCTAGTCCCCCCACTTCCTCTGCCTCCTGTCTGACTTCCTACCTCCCTGCTGCACTCATTTCCTCCACCACAGTTGAGCATGCTTTCAGATGCTTATGCATATGCATACCTTTTGCCTAGGCAATAAATGTTTTATTATTAATTTTTTTAGGGGGGGCATACCTGGCAGGACTCAGGGATTACTCCTGGCTCTGTGCTCAGGAATCACTCCTGGCAAGCATGGAGTCCCAGGTGGGGTGGCAGGGATTGAACCGGGTAGGACTGTTCCTTGTTTGCTATTCTGGGGGCCACACTTACTGTGGCTTACTGTGGGCTTTGCTCTCAGGGAGCACTTCCTGGTGGGGTTCAGGGGGTTTGGATTGGCTGCGTGCAAGGCAAGGAGCCCAACCTACTGTACTGTCTCTCTGGACCAAGGCAGTATGGTTTTTTCTTTTGTTTTGATTTAAACGCATGGTTTACAAAATTGTTCATTTGTTAAGGCAGTACATGTTTTCATGAGAGCTCGGAAGTTAGCTCAGTGGGAAAGCACTTTCCGTGCACTTTCTGGGTTCAGTGCCCAGAAACCCCCCTTCCGCCCTCCCCCCACAGGAATCTTCCCTCTTCTCCAGGCCAAGTACGATTTAGCTTCATGTCTCACTACCAGCCCTTTCCCTCCTAACTTTTTTCTTCCAGCTTTAACAAGCTGCTTGTAGGTTGTTAAACGTACTAGTTATTCAGCAAGTATTTGTTGAATGAGTACTATTTGCTAGGCCCCCAGGGTTATGGCAGCGAACCATGTGGCCTTTTATTTATGGGGGGCAGGGAAAGGTGGCAGTGGGTGGTTTGGGCCACACCAGGTGGTGCTCAGAGATTGATTCTGTCTCTGTGCTCAGGGATCACTCCTGGAAGTGCTTAGAAAACTGTTTCCTTGCCTGAGGGTCCAACTGGGACCTACTGCCTGCCAGCTTAGTGCCTTACCCCTGGACTATCTCTCCAGGCCTGTATATCTTAAATGAACGCTTCCCGGATTATCTCTCTTTGCTTCCTCTGGCAAAGGACTGATCGTCAGACACCTCCTCTAGCCAGATCCTCTCTCCTGTTTCCTGATGCCCTCAGCTCAGTGCAGAGCCCTTGGAGAGCTTTATTTCCCGCCCCCTGGTTTTAAAATTCCACCCAGATCCCTAGCTCAGGCGCAGACTCCCCCTCTGCCTCCGTGCCATCTCCAGTCAGATGTCTATTACGCATCTGAAGACTGCCACCCGCACAGATCTGTCTCCCGGGTCTCCCCATCTCAGGAATTCACTCCATCATCCATCCAGTTGCCCACACAACCAAAACCCCCCAAGCATGCTCCTTGTTTTCACGCCCCTTCTTTCTCATCCTGGACCAATTACCACTCGGTTAGCAGACTCCTTTAGCTCTCTTCCAGAACCAGTCTCTGTCTGATTTTGCTCTCTTCTCTGCTACCATCTTGTTAATTCAAGCCATCATTGATTTCCTGTCTGGATTATTGCAACAGGCGCCGGGCCGGCCGTCCCGCATGCCTCGGCAAGAGTGAGTTTATAAAATCTTAATTCGGATTATGTCATTCTGCTCCAGCCCCTCCGGTGGCTTCCTCTTGCACTTGAGTTCACTCGGCTCTGCCAGGCCCTGCCTGATGGGCTCTTTCTCACTCTTCTCCTCCCTCCCTTCTCCCTGGCATCTTGCCTCCTTTCTGTTCTGCAAATGCACCCATCCCTTCCCGGCCTCCTGCTCTGCACTCTTGCTGCTGCCTCTGCAAGCAAGGCTTTTCTCGGCATGATGCTTCCCCCCTCTAGTCTCCAGTGAAATGTCATCATCTCTCACTGGCTATTCTGACCTCTCTGGACTGCCCTTTCTGTGGTTTTGGTTTTTGGGCCACACCCACGGTGCTCAACACTTACTCCTGGTTCTGTGCTCAAGGATCTCTCCTGGTGTTGTTCAGGGGACTATAGGTTGTATTGGGGATGGAGCGAGGGTTGGCCGAATGCGAGGCAAGTGCCTTAACCCCTGGACTATCTCTCCGGCCCAGGACTGTCCTTTCTAAAGCAGCTTGTCTTACTATTGTGTCACTCTTGATCCATCATAGTTCTTATTTTCTTTAGGTAACCAATCCCAGTCTGTGAGGATGTTTTTAGGGGCTGGAATGAGGCCCTGGCTTTGATCCGTAAAATTACAGGCACACACACACACACACACACACACACACACACACACACACACACTGTGATTTTGAATATTGTTTGTTTCTCCCCCAAACAATAGGGATTTGGGCTGGGGAGATGGAAATAGCTTGAGGGCTTATATCCTTTGCTTATGGGAGCACCAGGTTTGATCCCTAGCTGGTCTAAGCAACAGATTAGCCTGCAAGTGGTCACCCTGGGTATGACCAGAAACAAAAAGTCAACACAAGCCAAAAAAGAATAGACCATATACACACACACACACATATATATATATATACACACATACATATACATATGGGCTGGAGTGATAGCACAGCAGGTAGGGCATTTGCCTTGCATGCGGCCAACTTGGCCAACCTGAGTTCAATTCCTCCACCCCTCTCGGAGAGCCCGACAAGCTACCGAGAGTATCTCGCCCGCACGGCAAAACCTGGCAAGCTACCTGTGACGTATTCGATATGCCAAACACAGTAACAAGTCTCACAATGGAGATGTTACTGGGCCCTCTGGAGCAAATCGATGAACAATGGGAGGACAGTGCTACAGTGCTATATGTATATTTCATATATATATATATATATTTCATGACTTCATCTGAAATTAGGCCCTAGCCTGGCACAAGTATTTGGTAAATATTTGTGAATAATTATGTTTCTTCATCTTTGATCCCAGTCATTCCCTGGCAGGAGAGTCTGTTCGGTTCTGTGCTGTGGTCCCGGGAGCAGAGCTCAGGGCTTGGCTGGGAAGGCGTGAGCTCTGCGCCGAGTCCCGTCAAGTATGCAGCTTTGTTCTCTCCATGCCCAGTTCCTTTCACCATGCACTCGCATGTCGCTCTGTGTATCTGGAAGCTGCTGTAGCACAGAGCGAGTTGCCAGGAAATGTTTGTAGGCTGCATGGAGGAAGGTAGAAGGAGGATCAAAGACAGCAGGAGACACAGGCGAGGAGAGCAGGGGAACCGAGTTTGAGCATGATGCCCTGGCTGGGAGCCCGAGGCCAGCCACAGGCCACTGCATGGATGGGGCATGTGGCACAAGGGACAGACCACCTGGGCCCTAGCACACTTGAAGTTCCCAGATCCCTTTCCCCAATGCCCGATTCATTCATCTGTCCTCACGTCTCCTTGCAGGAAGGACATTTCCCAAGAAGGGCCAGACGTGTGTGGTGCACTACACAGGTAGGCCTTCCCCCCTGCCCCTCCCCCCCACATCTGGGCGCATCTCTCCAGCCTGGTGTCCCTGGATGGGTCTGCCCTGCCAGGTCGAGCCTCAGACTCACAGCAGCCATGACCCCCTCTGTCCAGCTAGTCCCTGTCTTCCTGCCAGCCTTCTGAGCATGGTCCGTGGGGTGCCCAGGGTTAACCCCTCCCCGCTTCTGCCAGTAAGGCCATCTGACCAAGCACCTCCATGGCCCTTCCCTCTGCTCTGGGCATGGTGGGGCCTGAGCACCTCTGCTGTGTACTACCTTTAAACTTCTGACTCTCTCTCTGTCTCTCTGTCTCTGTCTGTCTGTCTGTCTCTCTCTCTCTCTCCCTCTCCCTCTCCCTCTCCCTCTCTTTCTCTTTCCTCTCTTTCTCTCTCTCTCTCTCTCTCTCTCTCTCTCTCTCTCTCTCTCTCTCTGTTTGGGTTTTTTGTTTTGTTTTATTTGCTTTTTGTATCACACCTTGGCTCTGCACTCAGTCAGGAATTACTCCTGGTGGTGCTTGGGGGACCATATGGGATGCCGGGGATTGAACCTGGTTCAACCAGCTTACAGGGCAAACACCCTGTACTGTCACTCCGGCTCTGTTTTGTTTGTTTGTTTGTTTGTTTGTTTGTTTGTTTTTGGGTCCACACCTGGCAATACTCAGGGCTTACTCCTGGCTCTTCACTCGGGAATTACTCCTAGCAATGCAGGGGGTGGAGTTGGTGAGGTGCATATGGGATGCCAGGGGGTCAAACCCTGGGTCAGCTGTGTGCAAGACCAGTGCCTTCCCCCCTGTCCTATCTCTCTGGCCCCTCCAAGTTGCTTTTACCATGGGGACCTGTGCGACTCAGCCTCCCCTCACAGAACTCCTGCAGTGCACAGATGCTGCAGGCTGGGGTGTGGGCGCAGACCGAAGGAGAGGGGGGATGACCTCCTTCCCTGGCTGAGGGGTGTGAAGAGACAAGTCGCCTGGAGGTTCCTCAGGGTGTGAGGGTGAGCAGACCTCACGCTCCTGGAGGAGGAGGATGGGCTGGATGTAGCTGGGAGCACAGGATGCAGTTCCTTAGGGCAGCCAGCAAGAAAACCCAGAGTCAGAGTTGGGGTGGGGGTGGGGGGAAGCAGGCTGCCTTGTGACCTGTTCCCCAATGTGGCAAACACGGGGACAGCCACCTAGCAGACAGCGGGCTGGTTTCCTTGCGAGGACACATTCAGATGGGGCCGTTTTTAGCAATTCGCCGGGCCAGCGTGAGGTGCCAGGCCGGCTCTCAGCAGACGGTGTGGGTATTTCTCAACATCAGTGTGCGAGTCACTGACGTCAGAGAGATGAAGCCCTGTTTGGGCACCCTGTGACGTGGCCTGATTCCCGAGTGTCCTCTGAGGCCTCTGGCCTCTGGGATTGATTTATCTGCTTGACATTTATGGACAGATCAGTCCTTATCAAGTTATGGAAGCGAGATATCCATTTGCAGACTGCTCACATGCGCCCAGCGCGCAGGTGATGCACCTTGAGCAGTACCGGATGCAGAGTGCTCTGGTGTGGGGAAGGATATCAGATGTCACAGGACTGGGGGAGAATATTTTGTAAACTCAAGGCCACGGAGATAGTACAGGGGTAAAGGCATTTACCTTGTACACAGCCACCTGGGTTTGAATCCCTGAACCACATATGGGTCTCCTGAGTCCCATCTACCAGGAATGATACCGGATCACAGAGCCTGGAGTAATCCCTGAGCACAGCCAGGGTGTGGCGCAATCATCCCAAAAGAAAAATACTTTTTTTCATAGAAATATAATATTCAGGGGCTGCAGAGATAGTAAAGCGAGTAGAGCACTTGTCTTGCATATAGCCTAACTGGGTTCAATCCCCAGCATCCCATATGGTCCCTGGGCATTACCAGGAGTAATTCCTGAGCACAACGCCATGAGTAATTTCTAAGCATTGCAGAGTGTGGCCCCAAAACTAATAGATATGTATATAATATACTGATTTTTATATAAATTCATTAAAATAATAATTGCATTAATAGTCAAGTAGTTATAGGATAGGGGGGGTGTGAACCATAGCTGGTGGTGACTGAGGGCAATTCCTGGCTCAGTGCTTAGGGATTGCTTCCAGTCAAGACCATGCAGTGTGGGGATTGAACCTCTATTTAAAAATTTTTTTTAATTAATTTATTTTTTCTATTTTCCCCTTACACTTTATATAACACTATGGTTTACAGAGTTGTTCATGATTTGTTACAGGGATTCAATATTCCAACACCCACCCCACCACCATTACACCTTCCCTCCACCGTTGGGATTAAACCTCTGTTTTTGCATGTACTCCAGTTCTTTGAGCTATCTCCCTTGCCCCTCCCAAATTTGACTTTTGTGGGGGTGTGGGTGGGGGGTAGGTACCACACCTGGCTGTGATTAGGGCTTACTCTGGGCTCAGTTCAGGGACCACATTCAGTACCAGAGACTGAACCCGGATCAGCTGGAAGCAAGCAACTGCTTTACCTGCATTTTATCTCTCGGGCCTCTTTCGTTTCCTTCTGGTGCTGGGAATCAAACCCAGGCACACGCAAGACTAATGCTCTCCTGTTGAGCTACGTTCCCATCACTGGACAGCATATTTTAATAGTAGAATTATAGGAACAATTAATTAGGAACAAAATTAATTACAAGTTTATTTGTTTGTGGCCACGCCTGGCAGTGCTCAGGGGCTCCTCTCTGCTCTGCTGTTGGGGCTGCTGGTGACAGTGCTCAGGGTACCAGGTGATGTTGGGGATGGAACCCAGGACTCCTTCATGCAAAATATGTCCCTAGCCTATTGAACTATCTCTCCGACCCCAACTACAATTCCGCCCCCCCCCAATTTTCCTTTTTTCTCCTAAAAGGTCCCATAGTATGTCCATAATTAATTATCCTGGCACTTTTCGTCTTTTTTATTCTGTTTGAACACGATTCCGCTCCTTTATAGTAGATTAAGAAAAGACTTGATACTTAAAATTATAAACTGTGGAGGGAAGGGTTTGGGTCACATGCAGCTGTGCTCGGGGATCACTCCTGGCTCAGGGGATCATATGGTGTGCCAGGGATCAAATCTAGGTCACCTGCAAGTTAAACATCTTACCCACTGTAATATCTAGCCAGACCATAATTTTAAACATTAAAAAATTAATGTTTAATTTTAATATTATTGTTGGGGCTGGAGCAATAGCACAACAAGTAGGACTCTTGCCTTGTATGTGGTCAACCCAGGTTAGATCCCTGGCATCTCATATGTTCTCCCAAGCACTACCAGGAGTGATTCCTGAATGCAGAGCCAGGAGTGACCCCTGAGCATCGCCAGGTGTGGCCCAAAGACAAACAAATAAAATTAAGTATAAATCTAAGATTTTTGTCTTATATCTCAACAATTATTTTTATTGTGATCACATTTGGGCTGGAGCGATAGCACAGCGGGTAGGGCATTTGCCTTGCAAGCAGCCAACATGGCTGACCCAAGTTCGATTCCTCTGCCCCTCTCGGAGAGCCCGGCAAACTACCGAGAGTATTTTGCCCGCACAGCAAAGCCTGGCAAGCTCCCCGTGACGTATTCGATATACCAAACACAGTAACAAGAAGTCTCACAATGGAGACGTTACTGGGCCTGCTCGAGCAAATCGATGAACAATGGGAGGACAGTGACAGTGACAGTGATCACATTTATGGAAACATGTACACACCAACATGTCAGTTTTTTCTAGTATGCCCAGGACTCTCCCTCATGGCGCCTCTCAGTCATTCTTCCATTGAGTATTATTATTATTTTGATTTTTGAATGACATCTCCTGTGCTCAGGGCTTACTTCTGGCTCTGAACTCAGGGATCACTCCTACTGGGGCTTGGGAGACCAACTACCTGGGGTGTTAGGAATCAAACCCAGATCATGCAAGACAAGTGCCTTACCCATGCTGCTGTCTCTCTGGCCCCTAAGTATTATAATCATTCCTTTGTTATTCCTCTCCTGACTTTTGTCTTCAGGGATTGACTTTGTCTGTTTTTCAAATCCACATACATAGAATGGGTGATTTAGTGATAGCACAGTGGTAGGGCGTTTGCCTTGCGCTCAGCCAGCCCAGCCAAGCCGACTTCAATTCCTCCACCTCTCTCAGACAGCCCAGCAAGCTACCGAGAGTATTCAATATGCCAAACACAGTAACAAGAAGTCTCACAATGGAGATGTTACTGGGCCCACTCGAGCAAATTGATGAACAACGAGAGGACAGTGTTTGTTGATACATAGAATATTTGACTTATTTTATAAAATAAGTGAGATTTATCTATGAGATTTATTCAGACTGGTTTCTTCTTCCTTTTCTGTATGGTTTATGATATGAATATACTATAGCTAACCATTTGGGTTGTTTATTGGGTTTGGTTATTAGGAATAGTGTTGCTTTGTGCTGTCTTGTAGATTTCTCTTGTTGCACATCTATGCACATTCCAGGTGGATATATTCCAGAAGTTGGCGTTCCAGGTTACAGGGTAAGATCTGTGTTCGCCTTGCACCATCTGAACAGCTTTCCAAATTAGCTGTGTCGGTTTCTCCCTCCTCCAGCAAAGTGTGAGAGTTTTATTTTCTCCTGTAACCTCATCAGCCTTTGGTATTTCAAGCCTGTTTGTTGTTACATTTTGGTTTTGGCAGGGTCAGGGGTTGAACTCTGCTCTTAAGTCTGACGGCATATGCTTTGCAGTTGAGCTCATCCCTAGCCTGGTTTCGTTTCCTTTTTGACCCACTCTGGTGGGTGCCCAGTGGTATGTCATTGTGGTGTTGTTTCTTTTTTGCATGATCTCGTGCAAGGCAAGTGCCTTACCTGGCGCTACATTATCTTTCTGGCTGTCCTTGTGGTTTTGATTTCATTGTCCTCAAGACTGAACTCGAGTACCTTTGTCATGTGCTTCCTGGCTGTTTGACTTGTCCCTTAGTTTACTCATAGTCCGTTGACAATTAGATTGTCCCTCCTCTTCCATTCCCTCTCGTCCCTTAAAAGAAAAGAAAAATTAGACTGTCTTTTTAAAAAAAATTATTTGAGAAACCATGATTTAAAAAAAAACCTGTTAATGAAAAGGCTTCAAGTTTTCAATGTTCCTACCCCAGTGTCCACTTTTGTCCGCCACTGTCTCAGTGCCTGGCCTCAACACCCTCCCCCCACCACGGTCAGTGCAGTTCTGTTTACCAATTAGTTCTCATGTATCTTTTCTTATTGATTTACTGGCTTCTTTATTTTTTTGTATAAAAATTCCCCCCTTCCCTTGCTTTTGTTGTCACTGTGATGACCCAGTGTCACCTGCTTAAATGTGGTGCTCATCATGGGTCAGATACTTTAGTTTTGGTATTTGCACACACTTTGTTGTGGCACTGGTCATCTGAATGGCTGTGCTACCACAATCACACTTGACATGTGAGGCTATGGTGGTTGAGTGCTAGGGATCAAACTTGAGGCCTCATGCCTGTCAGGCTCCTTACAGGAGTCCTTTATCCAGTCTGGATCTTCTCTCTCTCTCTCTCTCTCTCTCTCTCTCTCTCTCTCTCTCTCTCTCTCTCTCCCTTCCTGCCTGCCTTCCTTCCTTTCTTTACTTTTTTGGGGTAACTTGGTTTACTTGGGCTGGAGCGATAGCACAGTGGGTAGGGCCTTGCACGCGGCCGACCCAGGTTCGATTCCTCCATCCCTCTCGGAGAGCCTGGCAAGCTACCAAGAGTATCCCACCCGCAAGGCAAAGCCTGGCTTTTTCCTGGCTTTGTGTTTAGAAATTACTACTGGTAGGGTCAAGGAGACCACATGGGGTGTCAGGGATTACACTTGGGTCAGATATATGTGAGAAAAATGCCTTACCTATGGTGTTGTCGCTCTGGCACAGAAGATTTTTTTTTAAATTTTAATAAAGTTCTTGATGAAGAAGTCAGACTTCTTCATCAAGACCCTGAACGAACGCTTTGAGGCCCTTCATGTTCCTGAATCGAGCAGATGCCATTGGGCTACACTAGCACACAACAAGGACGAATGGAGACGTTACTGGTGCCCACTTGAGCAACTTGATGAGTAATGGGATGTTAAGTGATCAAGTGAATAAAGTTCTACTTGTAATCTTGCCCTTTTATAGTTACTACTTTTTGTGCTCAACTGAGAAATCTTTGTCTCCTACTTTTTTTTTCTTTTTGGGGTCACACCCAGCGATGCACCGGGGTTACTCCTGGCTCATACACTCAAGAATTACTCCTGGCGGTGCTCAATGCTGGGGAATCAAACCCGGGTCGGCCGCGTGCAAGGCAAACACCCTACCCGCTAAGCTATTGCTCCAGCCCCTCTCCTTCTATTTTCAAGTAGAGTTATTTCATCTTTTATAATCAGGTCTGTAATTCATCTGGAATTGATTTGTGCACGTGGGTGAGGATTCATTTTTGTCCTGGATAGCTGAGCAATTGATGAACAAATGCACAATTGTTGTCGGTAGCAATAAAACAAGCCAGGCGATCACGTGCTGTGAGTCAGCGTCAGGTATCCGTGGTGTGTGTGAACTTTAGCAGAGAAGAACTAGTTGCCTGAAGTTGGTGAAGTCAAGCAGAACACAGAAACTGGGGACTGAACAGGTCTATCTTTTTGTTTGTTTGTTTGTTTGTTTTGTTTTGTTTTTAGGTCACACCCAGCGATGCTCAGGGGTTCAGGAATCGCTCCTGGCGGTGCTGGGGATGACTTATGGGATGCCCGAGAGCAAATTCGGTCTGTGGCATGCAAAGCAAATGCCCTACCCATGGTACTATCTCTCCAGCTGCAAGTCTATCTTTAGATGGAGCATATTGGGGCCAGGATGATAGCACAGCAGTGGCTTTGCCAATTGCACACACTGGGTTCGATCCCCAAGACCCATAACAGAGCACGTGGGAGCCAGCGAAATAGCTCAAACGGCAAAGCACACACTGAGGGGCATGTGCGAACTCCTAAATTTAATTCCTGGTACTGAATAACCACCCCCAGCACTGCTGAGTGTGGCCCCCAATAAAAGCCCAAAGCAATCAGCCATGTCTTTTTTTTTTTAATTTTTATTAGTGAAACACCATCAGATACAGTTGTAGACTTACAGATTTTTGTGCTTGGGTTTCAGTTATACAATGATCGAATACCCATCCCTCCACCAGTGCCCATTCTCCACCACCACGGATCCTAGTATCCTTCCCACCCACCCCCATCCCCCCCATCCCACCCTACCTCTGTGGCAGGGCTTTCCCTTTTGATATCTCTCTCCTTTTGAGTGCTGTGGTTTGCAAAAGAGACATTGAGTGGCAATCATGTTCGGTCTATAGTCTCCTCTCATCACGCAATCAGCCATGTCTTTAATGGGAGCCAGAGACCTCTACTTACCAGTGGGGTTGCTTTGCATAGTCTTTGCATGGTAGGGGCTGGTGTGGACCTTAGTTGGGTTTCACGTGTTGAAGGAATCTTGGATTCACACAATCCAAGGCTGAAGTGCCTCAGGAAAAAAAAGAACTGCCGGTCTGAGGAGACAGACTAGTGCTGGAAGTGTGGCGGGATATGAGAAAGTTGTGACCTCAGCAGGCCTTGAGGGAAGGGAAGGAGGGGAGTGTGTGTGAGGGAGACCTGACTCAAAGTTGCAGATCGTCAAGGGCTGCATGCAATGTGGACATTTGGATTCTGCCCTGGGAGCTATTCAAATGTTTTAACTTCTGTTTTTAAAAAACTTCTTTTTGGGGGCTGGAGTAATAGCACAGTGGGTAGAGCATTTGCCTTACACACAGCCGACCCGGGTTCGATTCCTAGCATCCCATTTGGTCCCCCAAGCACCACCAGGAGTAATTTTTGAGTGCAGAGCCAGGAGTAACCCCTGTGCATCTCCGGTGTGACCAAAAAAGCAAAAGCAAAAGAAAAGAAAACAAACACAAAAAAATAAAAAAAGCCCTTCTTTTTGGGTCACACCTGGTGATACTCAGGAGTCATTCCTGGCTCTGCACTCAGGAATCACTCCTGGCAGTACTCAGGGGTCCATATGGAATGCTGGGAATAAACCCGCTGCGTGCAAGGCAAATGCCCTACCCTCTGAACCATCACTTCAGCCATATTCAAATCTTTTAAGCAAGAGAGGAAGTTAATCATATTTGATGTTAAAAGAAATAAACCAAAACCCCAACAACCCTATGCATGATGAGCTGAAGATGTAGTTCAGGGGTGAAAGCGTTCATCTTGCATCAGCTGACCTCACTTTCAAACCCCAGCACAAACCTCAGGAGTGACCCTGAGCACTGCCAGGTGTGACCCAAAGACCAAAATAAAAATAAGTAAATAAAAAACAAACTGGCACAAAAATTAAAAAAAAAAATCCCATGAGTGAGACCTTGGATTCGGTTCCCCAGGACTCCAAATCAAACAAACAGAAAACCCCAACATACCCTGGGTGAGAGCAGGGAGAACAGAACGAATAATGCAGCAAAAAGGAGAAATGTGGGTTGGTTCCCGCACAGGGGTGTGGGAGAGATGTAAGATTGTGGGTGGAAACGGTCCTGGAGACTAAGTAGAGCTGGACTGCCACCATCCAAGGTGATGGGCTAGATTGGACTGTGGCGCCAGGCTGAGGGAAGTGGGTCAGGGGGTCTCCTGACTGGATGAACCACGGGAGAGGGGTGGCCGGGAAGAGGCGTGGCCGTGCTGCTCGGGAATCCCGCTACACCCGCGTGGACTCAGGACACCCCCCGCCCTTCCCCGTCCCTACTCTTGCCTCCACAGGAATGCTCCAAAATGGGAAGAAATTTGACTCATCCCGCGACCGAAACAAGCCTTTCAAGTTTAGAATTGGCAAGCAGGAAGTCATCAAGGGGTTTGAGGAGGGCGCAGCCCAGGTAAGGAGCTGGGGGGGGACGCTCCCTAAGGGGGATTTGCGGGCTTTGGGCTCTGGGTGCACACTCTGCCTCGACTCTCACCCCATCACAGACCTCTGCTGCTTTGACTCTGCAGCCAAGCCACGGTGCCCATCTAGTGCAGCCCTGCCCCCCCACCCCCTGGGACCCCGCTACCCTTCTCACTAGCCTGCCTTTGGGCTTTTGGGCTCCCACCCAAAGCACATCCCTCCAGGTCGGCCCAGAACTGATTCAGGAGGCCTTCAGGTGCCAGCTGTCTCTACTTGACAGAGCAGAAGAGTTGGGATGGGGTGTGGGGTAAAAAGAATTCTTTTTAGAAAATTTCAAACTTGTAAAAAGTATTGCAGAAATAGTAGATTCCTCTATTTGGTATTTTATTCAACTTTCCCAATTTTTAATATTGTACATAATAACCATAGTGCAGGTGATTAAAAGCAGGACTTTGGTACACAACTATCAACCAAATGATGAATGACAGTTTAAACAGTTGATCACACGCAATTTTTAATTCATTTGTTTATATTGCCCCACCAATGCCAGGCAGATGGCTGCCAACTGCTGGGCACGGGTCCTGGTTCAAGTTTGTCTTCTTTGACCTCTGAGGTCTTTGGGTTTTCATGAAAGTTGGTTTCTTTTCTCTCTTTTTTTCTTTTTCGGTTTTGGGGCCACACCCAGTGATGCTCAGGGCTTACTCTGGGCTCTATGCTCAGGGATCACTCCTGGCAGACTCAGGAGACCGTATGGGTTGCTAGAGATGAAACCCGGTCACCGTGTGCAAGGCACACACCCTACCCACTTTTCTATCGCTCGGGTCCCATTAGAGACGGTTTCCTTGACCTCCCCACCTGCTGTGCCCTGCAGTCCGAACTCCCACCAGTTTGCTCCTATCAGGGACCTTCCATGTGCTCTTTGTACCCTCTCACTGAGCTTCTCTGAAAGAGGCTTGAAGAACAATCACAAAGCGTTTAATCCGTACGTTCACTATTTGTGGATGAATGGATTTGCGATGTCTCTGTGCATGATACTGTCCCGCAGTCTGAAGCAGCACCTGCATTGGTTCGAAGGCTTAGCGCAACTGCAACGTTCTGTGTCAAATCCATCTGATCTTCCAACTTACCTTGCGGATGGTTTGGGAAAATGCCATCGTTACCTTAACTTTTTCCTTTTGAAATCAAGCTGGGTCCTCTCTCTCCTTTCCCACCTGCCCCACCCCCACCCCACCCCATCCCTGCTAGATGAGCTTGGGGCAGAGGGCGAAGCTGACCTGCACCCCTGATGTGGCATATGGAGCCACGGGCCACCCTGGTGTCATCCCTCCCAATGCCACCCTCATCTTTGACGTGGAGCTGCTCAACTTAGAGTGAAGGCAGGAAGGCACGCAAGGTTACTGGAGCCGGCGGCTGGCTGCTCGCCCTCCTCACCTGCTCCATCACTGGGATGGCTCCTTCCGCTCGGGGCTCTTGATCAGTGCGCTGACCTCACTGCTCACAGCATTGTCCATTCTCCCCGCCCAAGGCGCGCGCCTCCAATTGTCATCACTGTTCACACACATCCTTGCTTAAGGGAACTTCAGTTGCAGGTTGGAGCATCGCCAGCTGTGCGTTTTGTGTGATGCATGTAGTAGCCACTCCCGATCACGGTACCTGGACCAATTGTTTGCACAATCTCTACTGCCTTACCTTCACGTTAGCCAGACGCACAGGTGCTCAGACATGAAATGGAGAGGGCGTGTGCAGAGGGCCCGGAGTCAGCTACTCTTGCCGTCACTCTTAGACTTTCTGTTGGCTGCTGACTTAACACAGTGTTCTCCCTGGAAATCTGTACAATAAAGGCTCTGTGCTTGACCAAGTCCTGTCCATTCTTACTGGAAGTAGCAGGTGTTTTAAAGACTTTCCCTTTTTCTTGGGAAAAGAGCAGGGACCTCTTTTGGGCCTTCCCATGAGCCAGAACAGAGTGTGTTATTGAATAGCTACAATGAATATTGAACACGCTGGGCCTTGATTTGGTTTGGGGGGGTACTGGGGAGGGAAGCCAGGGCTTCACACATGCAAGGCAAACTGCTCTATGGCTGAGCTATGTCCATGGCTCTCTGGTTTGTTTTTGAACTACACATGGCTCAGGGGCTACTCCTATTTTGGTGCTTGGAGGCCATTTGGTGCCAGGATCAAATCCGGGCCTCCTGTGTATAGGCAAAACCATGTACTGCAGCTGGTGGGGCGCTTTCTCCAGTCCCTACTATTTAGAGGACAGGGCTGAGCTTACTCCTGGCTCTGTACCCAGGAATCAGTTTTGGAGGCGCTTGGGGATCATATGGGGTGCTGGGGATCAAACTCAGGTCAGGCACCCAGGTGCATCCCAAGCGCCCTGCCTGCTGTAGAATGTCTCTGGCCTTCCACTAATGGATTGGTTTTTTTTTGCCTTTTGGGTCACACCTAGTGATACACAGGGGTTACTCCTGGCTCTGCACTCAGGAATTACTCCTGGCGGTGCTCGGGGGGACTATATGGGATGCCGGGATTGAACCCAAGTCGTCCACATGCAAGACAAATGTCATACCTACTGTACTATCGCTCCAGCCCCTCCACTATGTATTTTAATATAAAATGAACAACCATTCTCTAAGCAGCCCTGTAAGGTATTACTTGCGATTCATCTCACAGACTTAGAATTTTGCAGCCGAACTAAGGAAGATATTGTGTTAAAATCCTATAGACTGGCAATGAATGTGGGGTTTGAACACTCTGTATGGTCCTGCAATGCTTGGTTTTTTTTTGGGGGGGGGTACTTAAGAGCTTCTCTCATTTGAATGAAAATGCTACCGTTGGACAAATGAGGACTCTGTCTTGCATGTCAGGCCTTCAAGCCTAACATTCACTCACTTTGGACAGTTACTTTTGAAATAAGCGACTGAGTTTGTTTCCATCACTAGACTTGCTCTAACTTCCACTGGGGAATTACTTCTGAGAAAAATGTGATTCCCACACATATACTGCTTATGTTCAGCTACGTGTACCGTAGCTCACGGGATTTCCCAGTTAGTGCATTTTTTATGTTGGGGTTGTTTTGTATTGGAGTGGGAGAGCTAGTTGGGCCACACCTACCAGTGCTCAGTGACCACTCCTGACTCTGTGCTCAGGGTTTACTGCTGGCAGTGCTGGGAACCATGTTATGTCAGGATAGAGCTGGAGTTGGTGTGTTCATGGAAGTATTGAAATTCCTTCAGGATTGAGGAGCAAGGGGCTGGCTTACGGTGATTTAAAAGGTTTTCTATCTCTTCCTCCCTCCCTCCCTCCCTCCCTCCCTCTTTCCTCCCTCCCTCCTTCTCTCTCTCTCTCTTTCTCTCTCTCTTCTTTCTTTCTTTCTTTCTTTCTTTCTTTCTTTCTTTTCCTTTCCTCTTTCTTTCTTTTCCTTTCCTCTCTCTCTTTCTTTCTTTCTTTCTTTCTTTCTTTCTTTCTTTCTTTCCTTCCTTCCTTCCTTCCTTCCTTCCTTCTTTCTTTCTTTCTTTCTTTCTTTCTTTCTTTCTTTCTTTCTTCTTTCTTTCTTTCTTGGGGCCACACCTGGCAATGCTTAGAAGTTATTGTTTCTGTGCTCAGGGATCACTCCTGGCAGGCCTCGGGGGACCATATGAGGTGCCGGGGACCCAACCCAGGTCAGCCACATGCAGGGCAAGTACCCTGCCTGCAGTACTATCTCTCGGGCCCCAGTATTAGTTTTCTTCATAGACTTACTGATGCAAGTCACATGGTGCCATGTGCAGGTCCATGTCATCTACGTCTTTTGTCTCCAGGAAACTCTGCAGGCTGAGAAATGAAGAGGCAGTGCTCTGAGATGAAGAGAATATAATGAGAGAAAAAAAAGCCTTACATTTAAACACCTCCCTGTGCTTAGCTGGAGAGGGCTGTACTCCTCTCTTGATTATTTCTTTCTGAATGTCTTGATTTTTGGCTTTCTTCGACAACACAAATGTCTCGAATAACTTTTTTTTTTTTTGTGACGGAGGCTACCCCCAGGGGTGCTTAAGGCTTACTCTTGGCTCTGGGCTCAGGGATCACTTCTGGCAAAACTCAGGATCGTTTGGGGTGCTGGGGATCAAACCCAGGTTCAGCCCTTATCTGTGATAATTTCTCAGGATTCACCCTTTTAAAAAACATTCATGGCGTCAGGAAGATAGCTCAAAGGGCAGGCGCACATGGTTTGACATAGCAGGTCCAGGTTTGATTCTTGGTTGGCACAATGCCCTGAGCAGCATCGGAAATAGCTCCTGAGGGACTGGAGTGATAGTCCAGCGTGTAGGGACTTGCCTTGCACATGGCTGACCTACGTTCGATCCACAACATCTCATGGTCCCCTGAGCATCTCTAAGAGCAATTCCTTAGTGCAGAGCCAGGAGTTATCCCTGAGCATCAAAACAAACAAAATTAGCTTCTGAGTACCACTAGGTGTAGCTCAAAAAAGAAAAAAAAAGTCAAGGCCAGGGTCTGGGAGAGTTGGTCAGCTGTAAAGCATTTGCCTTGCATATGAAGCCTTAGGTTCAATCCCTAGCACCCCAGAATAAAACAAGGCAAGAATTTAAAGCCCAGTTGACCATAGGAGACACTCTTTATTTTATTTATTTATTTTTGCCTTTTTGGGTCGCACTTGGCGGTGCACAGGGGTTACTCCTGGTTCATGCACTCAGGAATCACTCCTGGCTGTGCTCGGGGGACCATATGGGATACTGGGAATCGAACCTGGGTCGGGCCACATGCAAGGCAAATGCCCTAACTGCTGTGCTATCACTCCAGCCCCACCAAAACAAGAACTGAAGATGGTGCAGAATGCTGGAGCATTAGACATGGTCCTGTGAGCGCTGAGGGGTAAGGGGTAAACTGGAGAGTGATGAATAAAATTCTGTCCGTCACTTTCAGATAATGGTTCTCTCCACAAAAAACAGTGCCCTCATAGGACCAGAGAGCCATGCAGCAGGTAAGGCACTTGTCTTGCACACCTGACCCGGGTTCAAGCCCTGGCACCCCATGTGGTCCCCCAAGCACAAACAGGAGTGATCCCTGAGCACAGAGCCAGAAGTAACCCCTGAGCATCGCCAGGTGTGGCCCCAAACCCAAAGAACATCATTCTCAGAAACTCAAAATTAACCTCCATGAATAAAGGGCGCTCTGGAACACAAACATGCACACAGAGGCTCATGGACAATCGTCCCCTGAGTGGCTGGGGGTCAGACTTGGCTCAGTGGGCTGTAGGCCAGGCTTTGGGTTCAACCCCCAGCACCATATGGTACTACCAGGGGGCAACCCACAAGCACCGAGTCAGGAATAGCCCTTGAGCACTTTTTACTGGATGTAGTCCACAAACAAATTTCCTAAAACAAAAAGCAGTTTGAAAACTAGATCTTAGATGACGGGTCCACAGACCAGCTGTAGCATGTCATTAGGTCTCTGCACACAGACCTCATGTGCAGAAGCTGCTCAGGGTTCGCCCACAGTTACATTCTTGGAATCTGACTAGGACAGCACAAAACCCATCTGTGGGCATTTTTTTCAAACTCTTAACTTGAGATCCTGAAAATCAGAGAACACATGTATTAATCTGATGATAAGCCATTTCATTGTTGTCAAGAGAAGTCATTTCGTCTTCTAATTAACTTAAAATGATGATACTAGAGGTAAGCCAGTCTGCTACTTGGATGACTGTCAGTCTAATTTGTTTGCCCCTCACAAGAGATTTTCAGAACATTCCTTTAATATTAATAATTACCTAAGAGTACACTTACATTACAAAAATTAATAAGGAATTCAAGAATGCATTCAATAGAAAATTACACCGGTGGCCTTTTCATCCTCTGTGTAGTGTTCTAAGAAATGCCTTTCTACTCTGTTACCGTGCTTTCAAAAGGCGCTCAGATTTGAGGAAAGCATGTACTTCCAATAACACTAGCTTTGAGATGATAGTACAAAAAGTACACAACAGCCTATTTAAGGATAAAATTCAAGGCCAAATTAATTTAAAAGTAAAACAGATGGGGTGAGATGGTACAGCAGGCAGGGTGTTTGCCTTGCACGCGGCTGACTGGGGTTCAATCCCCGGCTTCCCAAGGTTCCCAGAGTCCATAGGAGCGATTCCTGAGTGCAGAGCCAGGAGTCACACCTGAGTACCTCCAAGTGTGTACCCCAACAAATAAACAAAAAAGATGCTAGCTGTGTGATTCAATGCATGTAGACTTCAAACTGACTTTGGGTTACAGTCATATACAAAATTCCATTTTTCCATTTGGCTGGTGCCTAAACTATGTAAAATTATAGCTGCTTAAGGGCCAGAGAGATTATAGCGGATAGGGTGCCTATCTTGCATGCAGGTGACTCAGGTTCGACCCCTAGCATCTGATATTCCCCAGAACACTGTCAGGAGTTAGTGCAGAGACAGGAGCAACCCCTGAGCATTGCTGGGTGTGGCCCCAACACAAAAACAAGCAAAAAATTATAGCTATCTCTTTCAAACTGCCAACCTATGATGAATGTGGTAATACCCATATAATTTCTATGCCATGAGAGCACATGGATTTAAGATTGAACATTAACACCAGAGCGATAGTACAATGGGCACACAGGTGACCCAAGTTTGATCTCCAGCATCTGATAGTCCCCCGAGCACTGCCAGCAGTGGTTCCTGAGTGCAGAGCCAAGAGTAACCTCAGAGCATTACCTGTGTGCTTGCCTCCCCCGCCCCCCCAAAAAAAACCCAGCAAATATTTCACTCATGGAAAAGATAGACTAAGAGGTAAGTTCTAATATATACTCAGACACTTCATATTTAAAGGCAAAGATTACATTATACATAATCCTAGGCACGTAAGGACCAACTGCATTGCTCAGCGACCTTGCTCTGGACCATCTACCAATGCGATGTCCTCCAAATAGCCAGAAAGGAAAAGAAAACAAAGGAAATGAAAAGACCTCTAGGAGCTGGAGCAATAGTATAGTGTGTAGGGCATTTGCCTTGCACTCGGACAACCAGGGTTCGATTCCCAGCATCCCATATGGTCCCCCGAGCACTGCCAGGAGTAAATCCTGAGTACATGAACCAGGTGTAGCCCCTGTGCATTGCCAGGTGTGACCCAAAAAGCCCCCCTGAAAAAGAGAAGATCGCTATTCTGTGGACAAGGGCACTCTGTATTCTTACTATCAAAGGTGTTTTGCTAACTTATGTTCATTATATACTCAATTTTACTAGTATAGTTAATTATGGATTCACATTAATGATGGGTTGAAATATTTTGTTTTTGGGTTGGGGAGTTGGGGGGGTGTTCATACCCGGCGATGCTCAGGGGTTACTCTTGGCTCTGAACTCAGGAATTACTCCTGGCAGTGCATGAGAGGATCATATGGGGTGCTGGGGATCAAACCCGGGTCAGCATGAGCAAGGCAAATGCCTACCCACTGTGCTGTCACTCCAGCCCCAGAATATTTTGAATTTTAGGTGATCCTCAGTGGCGTTCGGGAGTTCATTCCTGGTAGTGCTGGGAAACCATTTGCAGTGCCAAGGATCTAACCAGGGTCCTGCTGAGTACAAGACAAGTGACCTACCCTCTGCTATCTTTTCAGCCCCAATTATAGCATATTTTGTTGTGGGGGCTCACCTGGCAGTGCTCAGGGCTTACAGCGCTCAGGAATCACTCCTGGTGGGCTTGGGGGATCATATGGGGTGCTAGGATGGAAACCAGGGTTGGCTGCATGCAAGGTAAGTGCCTTGCCCTCTGTACTCCAGTCCCATACAGCAGAATTTCATGTAAACATATTATTCATTCAGCCAACACAGTGAACTCTGGTTTCCTTATATGCAGAGTGAAAATACCTTCATTCATCGAGTGGTTATGTAATTTCATGATTAATAGAAATACAATAAATGACTTTAAAAAAATATATATATATATATTATTTGCTTTTTGGGTCACACCTGGTGTTGATCAGGGGTTACTCTTGGCTTTGCACTCAAGTATTACTCCTGGAGGTGCTTGAGGGATCATATGGGATGCTGGAGATCAAACCCAGTCAGGGTAGGCAAACACCTACCTGCTGTACTTCTGTTTGGGCCCAAACACCTTTATTTTTTGGTTTAAGAGCCACACCTGGCTGTGCTCAGGGGTTACTCCTGACTGTGCTCAGGCATCACTCCTCATAGGGCTTGGGGGACCATATGTGGTGCCTGAGATAGAACTTGGGCTGGCTGAATGCAAGCCAAGTGCCCTACCTATATACTATCTCTCCAGCCCTGGCAACACTCTTGGCTAGGTACTTGTCTGGATGTAACGGGAATTAAGAACTATAAAAAGCGGGACAGAGCCTAGATGTGGCTCAAAAAGCACACGACAGCAAATGTATTTCAGGGTCTGGAGAGACAGCTTACAGGGCAGAGTGCAGGCTTTGTGATGGGGAGCCCAGGTTGGATTTCCAGTACAGGATGATTCCAGGAACATGGCTATGAGTTACCTGTGAGCAGAGAGCCAGGAATAGCCCGTCACGAGTTGTCCAAGAGCAAAAATTATAGAGCTATATGGTTGCTGGGGATGTAGTTCCCTGGTGGAGCACTTGTCTTGCATGTGTGAGTCCCTGAGCTTGGGTCAGGCGTGGCTCACCACCCCCACCTCCTACTCTCACTATATATGTAAGCTCAGTCTCCAAATCACCTATCATTGAATAATCACAGATGTGATTCAACAATTATTTTGTTTTGTGCTTGTATCAAAGAGGAGGGGGACATTCAAGAGAAAGCAGACATGTCATTTTTAAAAAATCAAGTTTATTAACATAACATTGTACACATTTATCAAAAAATTTTGTTTTTGGGTCATACCTGGCAGTGCTCGGGGCTTACTCCTAGTGGGACCTGGAGAATTATATGCAGTGCTGGGAGATCAAACCCAGGAAGACTGCAAAGCAAACATCTTACCTGTTGTCAACCCATGTTATCCATTACACGTCATTTTGATTCCAAGTAAGTAATCACAAATAATCTTCTAGGGAGATAGCTCAAAGGGCTGGACTGGTCCCCGGCATTGCATGAGCTCCCCTAACACTGCGAAGAGTGACCCCTAAATCCCACCAGTATGGTCCCAGGACAAAACCCATCACAATATTCAGTTAATTAAGAACACAGAAGGGGTGGTGGTGGCGGTGGCTTAGTCCTGAATGAAAAGAGTGCGTTTACTTCGGTGGGTCTGTGTTGATGCCATATTTCTCCTTGAGAAGCTTCAACTGTTCCTCCTTCTTCTTTGTATCCATCTTCTGAAATGCCTGTAAATGTGGTGAGCATGAAAGTTAACAGCAACCAAGAGTCAAAGGAACTTCGCCAACACTACAGGAGAATTCCCACGCACCCTCCCTCACAGAAACAGTCCTGCATCAACTCTTCTATGAGTATTCCTTACGCCCATACCAGTGAGAGCCGCTGTCATACTCACCCTGTTGGCATTGTAGTATAACACTACCAGGTATCTGTTACAAACATTGAATCCCGACAGGTGATCACAGGCATTCTTGGCATCGAAGATGTCTTCATAGACTACATAAGCTGTTCCTCTAGTTTCTGGTGTGTTTCCCCTAAAGAGTTAAATTGGGATTTATTGAAATACACAATACATGAGCACTGGTGTCTAAAGGCTGGAGCAATAGTATAGCAGGTAGGGCGCATGCCTTGACTGTGGTAGACCTGGATTCAATCCCTGGCACCCCATATGGTGCCCCAAGCCCCGCCAGGAGTGATCTCTGAGCACAGAGCCAGGAGTAAGCCTGGAGCACCGTTGGGTGTGGCCCCACTGTCACTGTCCTCCCATTGTTCATCAATTTGCTCGGGCGGGCCCAGTAACGTCTCCATCTTGAGACTTGTTACTGTGTTTGGCACATTGAATACATCACGAGGAGCTTGCCAGGTTTTGCCGTGCGGGCGAGATACTCTTGGTAGCTTGCCGGGCTCTCCGAGAGGGGCAGAGGAATCAAACCAGGCTCGGCTGGGCTGGCTGTGCGCAAGACAAACGCTCTACCACAGATTTAGGAGCAAAACCATAGGACAGTGGGCAGGGGCAATCTCCTTGCATGTGGCTGACCCAGGTTTGATCCCTTCCACCAAATATGTCCTTTGAGAACCACTTGGGAGTGATCCCAGAGCACAGGAGTAAGCCCTGAGTACCACCGGGTGTGGTTCCCAAAGCAAAGTAAAAGAAAAGAAAATAGATATTTACCTGAGCACTGAAAGTTGGAAAGCCACTTTCTCCCTATACTGTTTCTCCATCCCCAGTACACACAGTTTTCTTACTTAACAGAGTTATATTCTGAGAAGTGCATCAGGAAGTCATGTCATAGTGCAATGCATCAAAGAATAATTACACAAATGTAGAGGGGATAGCAACTGACACTAATTACCTTTATTTTAGCAGTGCCACGAGTGGTGTCAGGGCCAGTGCTCTACCACTGAATTATATCCTTGGCCATTACCTGTCTTTTAAAACAGCAGTGTAGTTCTTCAGACCTCAACTTCCAAAATTTGTTGTTGAATGGGACAGAACCCAGGGCTTCATACATGTGAAGCTTGTACCCTACCACCGACTGACACACCCAGTTCATGCATTCAACCATGCTGGGAGTCACGCCTAATGGCGCACAGGGAACCACGTGCTTCAAAGGATTTAATAATCCAGCCACACACAAGGCAAATACCCCTGCACTATGTCTCCAGCCCCATACCATCATTTTCGTTTTGGGGGGGGAGGGGGGTGGCGAGGGGAGAGGGTCACACCCAGTGGTGCTTAGGGTTTACTCCTGGCCCTGCACTCAAGGATCACTCCTCACAGGCTCGGCGGGCCATCTGGGGTGCCAGGGACTGAATCAGGGTCAGCCACATGCAAAGCAAGCACCCTACCTGCTGTACTATGGCTCCAGCCCTACAAGTATTTTTAATAGCTGCCCAGGGACACTGGGGACAGTCCCCCGTGATGTCAGACCTAAGCTCAGGGCCTCACAAATGTTAAATGTGTTCTACCCGCTGAGTTAGCTCTCTGACTCCTACATCCATTGGATAGATGGGGAGCAGGACTGGATCAAACCTGGTGGTATCAGGCCTGTCTTCTGGCCATGTTCTGGTCACTCTTGGTGTACAGTGGACTATATCAGTATTGCCAGTTCCATGCAAGGCCTTAACTCTGTACTACTGCTTCAGCCCCAGCCACATCCATCTTTACACACTCTGTGCTCTCCTGAATCACACAGCCAGTCTGAAAACAGCCGGGCTGCAGCAGAGGTTGGGGCAGAAGAGCACTTGCGGTCGGTCATCTCCAAGTCAGAGCAGGTTAGAAGGTGGCTGGAATTTGTCAAAGCTGGGCTTTGCTCTCATGCAGGCACTTTTGGCCAACTCCTCTCTAGCCTCTCCAGGTTGGATCAAGCCATGGCACTGCAAGATGCTGAGCACCAAGGAAAGGGGGGGGGGGGGGGGCGGGGGAATCTTACAAAATAGAATGGAGGGGGCCGGAGTGATAGCACCGAGTTTATCTTGCACACTGCCGAGGTTCAATCCCTGGCATCCCATATGGTCCCCCAAGCACAGCCAGGAGTAATTCCTGAGTGCAGAGCCAGGAGTAACCCCTAAGCATTGCTGGTTGTGACCTAAAAGGAAAAACAACAACAAAAGATGGAATTGTGGGCCTGCTACGGGACCAGGCTTGAGATGCTGCGGGGTGGCTGAGAATATGGAGACAATGGTGGAGGGAAGGTGACAGTGGTGATGGGATGGGGGTTGGAACAGAGAATGCCTGTAACAAATCATCATGAACAACTTTGTTAACCACAGGAAGGGGGGGGGGGAATACAACTAGAGACTACCCTAAGGAAAAAAACACATCGTTTTTCCTTTGGAATAAAAACATCAAAAGCTTATGGACAAAAATGAGGAGATTACGTCAAGTGCATTCACTGTGCCAATGCCTCCAGTGGGCGCTCCCAAGTACTCTCAAGGTGGGGACTGACTTCCTCCTGTCAATTTTTTCATGCACCCTTTCTTAAAAAGCTGAAACAGGTGCCAGAGAGATAGAACAATGGGTAAGGTGTTTGTCTTGCATGCTGACCTGGGTTTGAACCCCAGCATCCCATATGATCCCCCAAACATCGTCAGGAGTAGTAACTCTTGAGCACAGAGCAAGGAATAACCCCTGAGCACTGCTGAGTGTGGCCCACAAACAAAAACAAAGCTAAAACAAAAAAGCAAAAGCATCTCTTTCATCTTACAACTCCTTAAACAGAAATTACTATTTTGGGGGACAACAGCAAGACCCCTGTTACTGAGGAACTGGTCAGGGAAAGTGCAATGCTCTGAGGAGGGACGGCTAATACAGGCCCACAGCACGGTGCTCACATGGGCTCTCTAGTCTGATCCTCTTTAAAAAGTGTTGAAAAGTATCACAGGACCTGGGAGGGCGTACAGTGGTTAGTGTCCATGCCTAGTATGTCCCTGACCCGGGTTCAATTCCTGGCACCAAATACTGTGGGGTCCCGCTCCAGCTCCTCTGGGATGGTCTGGTGACCCCTGGAACTGCAGGCCCAAGCAGCATTACCTCTCAGACCCTAGTACTGAATCACAGATGGTGTCCACGGGCCTGTGAGCACCGCCTGGGAGACCCAGAAGAATTAAAAACAAAAAGGGCTGTTAAGTCTAAATATTATACTTCAGAGGCAACTGACGCGCCAAGGGCTTAACTAGCTGCCAAGTTTCACTAGCAAGGGCTGGTCTTACAACCAACCTAGGAAATAGATGCAGAAATGGCCACACTGAAGCTCAAAGGCCCTGTCTATCCAGTTCACCTGTCTCTGGGCCATACCCGGCCATGCTGGGGCACTATTCTTGGCCCTGTGTTCAGGATTAATCCCTGGCGCTACTTGAAGGACCATATATGTGGTGTTGGAAAAAAGATCGGGATTGGCAGGAAGCAAGGCAATACCTGAACACTTGTCCATCCTGTCCCGTTCCTTAGAAGAGTGTTTCTTGGGGCCAGAGCTATAGTACAGCGGGTAGGGCATTTGCCTTGCACGCGGCCAACCCGGGTTCAATCCCCAGCATCCCATCTGGTCGCCCAAGCACCGCCAGGAGTAATTCCTGAGTGCACAGCCAGGTATAACCCCTGTGTGTTGCTGGGTGTGACATCCCTCCCCCCCCCCCAAAAAAAATGTTTCTTAACCTAGAATCCACGCACCCTGAAAGTAAAGGCAATATGTGTTTTTATTCTGTGGAGAAGATCTGAAGCCTTGATCAATACTCAAATGAGATCTCCTAAAATAAGATGAGGCTGATTTTCATTCGCAGTCAGAGTGCCTTGATTATAAGTTTCTCTCTCTCTATTTTTTTTTGGGTCACACCCTGCGATGCACAGGGGTTACTCCTGGCTCTGCACTCAGGAATTACTCCTGGCAGTGCTCAGGGGACCATATGGAATGCTGGGAATCAAACCCAGGTCAGCTGTGTGCAAGGCAAATGCCCTACCTGCTGTGCTATCACTCCAGCCCCACTGTTTTTGAGACAGAAAATGGTCATTCAAAAAAAATGTCCGACATCTCAAAGTTCTAGAAGTTCAAAGGATCTCAGGTCATGAAAGATGTGATTTTTTTCCCCCTCTTAGCCATAAAACAAAATAACTCTCCCAAAAAACACACAAAATAAATCATTCTGATTTCAAATTTTTTGTTTTGGGGCCACACTTGGCAGTGCCTGGGGGACCACACGGGGTGCTGGAGATCAAACTCAGGCTGGCCCCAACACAACCAATCTTGAGACTCTCAGAGCTTTATTTAGCTAGGCCTACATATAGTCTATGCAGCCACCTCTAGCTGTTCTGCTGTTAGTTAAATTCTGAGACTACAATTCAATCAGTTTTTAAAATGACAGTTCAAAAGTTTCACTAAGACTTACACTCTGGTGCTGGAGCGATAGCACAGTGGGTAGGGCGTTTACCTTGCACGTGGCCGACCCGGGCTCGATCCCCGGCATCCTATATGGTCCCCCAAACACCGCCAGGAGTAATTCCTCATGCAAAGCCAGGAGGAACTCCTGAGCATTGCAGGGTATGACCCAAAAAGCAAAAAAAAAAAAAAAAAAGCAAAAACTTACACTCTGGGCCAGAGTGATAGTACAGCGGGTAGGGCGTTTGCCTTGCACGCGGTCAACCCAGTTTCAATCCCCAGCATCCCATATGGTCCACAAGCATCTCCAGGAGTAATTCCTGAGTGCAGAGCCAGGGGTAAACTCTGAGCATGTTTTTGGTGTGATCCAAAAAAAAAAACAAAGACACTCAGCTGGGGCTGGAATAGTGATAGTAGAGTGGGTAAGGCACTCTCCATGCACACAGCCAACCCAAGTTTGATCTTGGGCATCTCATATGGTTCCCCAAGGCCTAACAGGAGTAATCCCTGAGCACAGAGCCAGGAATCAGCCTTGAGCACCACCAGGTGTGGCCCCAAAACCAAAGGGGGTAAAAAAGAAGACACTGTGGGCAGGGCACCTATCTTGCATGTGATGACCAGGATTTAAGCCCTAGCACCCCATACAGTCCCCAGAGCCCTGCTAGGAGTGATTCCTGAGCAGAGCTGTAATACGGAAGTTCAGTAAGCTCTGGGCACCGTGGGGGATGACAACAAGAAACAAAACCAAAACCCAAAACAAACACTTACACTCTGATCTGACGAATAGGTCCATATTTCCCAAATATGTCATACATTTCTTCAGCTGTGATTTTGTACGGCAAATTTCTTATATACAAGATCCGATTTACTTCAGGAGGAAGGCGAATCTAAAATGGAAAAATATATGCACTGGTGTTATAATCAGGATCAGCTCTCTGGGCTGGGTCTGCCCCAACACCTAACAAGCCAATTTCTCAAGGACATGCATTTAAAACAATTATTTAAAAGGATAGTTTTTGGGTTGTGTTTTTTTTTGGGGGGGGGGGGGGCGCTACACCTGACCATGCTCGGGGGACCAAACTGGATGCTGGAATCAAGCTGAATTGGCCCAGTGCAAGGCAAATGCCCTGCCTGCTGTACTATCCCTCCAGCCCCAAGGATACATTTTTAATGCATAGAATACCAAGGGCCTGGGATGTGGCTCACGTGGCGAGAGTACTTGCTGTGTCTGGGCCTGGCCCTGGATTCAATCCCTGGCACCATCTGCTGCTCCCTCCCTGTATTCCCCACCACTTCTGACAGTGATGGCCCTCCCCCAAAGAGAAAAGCAATTGTGTGTCTTGGTCTCAGGAAAGAATAGAACTACAACAAAACCCAGGTTTCCTATCACCATGGTAAACCAAGGATTTCCAATCTCATTTAAATTCTCAACGCAACTTGGAGCAGTGCGGTGGCTTCAAGCAGGGCAGGGCTTCATAAACACACACCCCTCCCCCCAACCTCACCACCACCCTCAGGCCCCTCACAGTTCCTCAGTCACGTGTGACATAACGAAGAAGACTGTTTGTATTTGCCAAATAATAAAATTCTAGGGATTGGAAAGATAGTGCAGTGGGTAGCACGCTTGCCTCGGACGCATGCTCTGAGGCCCACCAGGAGTGATTCAAGAGTGCAGAGCTGGGGATTGCTGGGCTCAGACATCAGAGCTGCCGGAACTGTGCCTGTCATATGACTCCAGGGATTTGAAATCGCAATCTGTTGGCAGGCAAGTCGGCATTCTAAGCAACGGGTCCACTCCTCTGGGTCCTACCTGCAATGTTCCATCTCAGCCTAACTTATTTCTCTGAGGTCTCTGATACCTTACTACCATCTCCCCATGTCCCCCGCAGTGCCAGGGATAGAAACCTCACAACCAAAGGCAGGCATTCAACAACTGAGCCACTGCCCTGACTTTTTCTTTGGGAGGAGGGGGGTGAGGGTGAGGGTGGGAGGGGGGTGGGGTTGGATCACCCCTGACCATGCTTGGGTAACCAAATGTGCTGCCGGGATTAACCTAGAGCTGGCCGCATACAAAATAAGAGTGTGAACCCCTGGATTCGACTACTGGTACCATGTAACAACAGGTGATCACCCGAGTCCTAATTCCTAGTCAAATTTGCTTCTTCATTCTATAAGGTTCCTCAATTCTCACCAACGCTCTCTAGCATCTGGGCTCGCCTTATCCTCTTCCCTGCCCATCCCATAGATCATGCTTAACGGAGAACTGACATGACCCATAAGTGCTTACGACTCACCTATCACTAACCCCTCCCCCCATATAGCCTCGTCCATATCCACCTGCTTGGCCTCTAATTACCGTGCCAATCCCCACTCCACCCCAAACCACCTTGAACTTAACCCATCTTCTACGTGTCCCACTCTATTCCCACTGGCTTATAAACACAATCTATGCCACACACTTCAAAAAGCCCTCGAGGAACATCCTGTCTCCTACACGCGAGAACTCCCCGCAAGAACTATCACTTTTCTCAATTCTTATCCTGCAGGAACCACATTTTCATCCACTGACACGATCCACTGGAGGCTACCCAAAGTCTCCATCACCAGGAGAGATAGTCCAGTGCCCAAGACACCGCTTGCACTGCATCCAGCCCACACTGGTTATAGACTCCCCACGCCCCACGAGGTCCCCTGAGCACCACCAGGAGCGAGCTATGAGCCCATTTGGCTGTGGGCCTCCCCCCACCTCCCCAAGTCCCCGTGTCTAACTGTACCATGTCTGATTGTCTAACTCGCTGTCTTCATCTTACTAGGTAGCTCTCAGCAGCTTACAGCTGTCCACTTTCCTTCTTAAGACATTTTCTCCGTTGCTTTCCACAATACCCTGCTACCACTCAAATGCAAGCAGAGGTTTTTTTTTTTTTTGCCCCATTCACTCCTGTATTAGCAATACCTAGTGTGTGGCACACAGTAGGAGTTCAAAATATATTTAACCAATGAGGGCCGGAGGCGTGTCTCAGCAGTGAAGAGCGTACCCCCTTGCAAGCAAGGAGACCTGGGTCCTGGCTTCTGCACGGGGAAAACATGTTACATATGCGGAGCTGGTGACACAGTTGGAGCTCAGAAATTTAACTAAAGCAACGAATTGCAAAAGCTCCGCGGTCGGAGAATCCTAGGCGTCAGGTGTCTTTTGCTGCAAGAACACAGACAACGGCCTCTACCCGTTATCAGAGACTCATCTGCGTGGACCCCGCGGCAGATGCTCAGGTGGGGCTCAAGGGAAGGCCAGCGACGGGATGGGGGGCAGAAAGTTAAGGGGCGCTCGGGAGCCACGGAGGGGGCCGGGGCCAGGAGGGGCCGAGCTCCAGGGCCGGCCGAGCGTGGGGGAGCGTTGGTGCGCGTTGGTGGGCGTCGCTGCCCGTCGCGGCGAAGCCCTGCCCTCCCCGGCCCCAGGCCCGCTACTCACATTCGCCCTCTTCGCCGCTTGCATCGCCATCTCGGCGGACCGAAGAAGTGACCGGGGCCCACGCAGAAATTTCTCTGGAGGCGGCCGAGGCTCCACGCAGCTCCGAGCGGTGCGCACCGCGGGACAGGCGGGACGTCAACAACCCGGCGCCCCCGGAAGCAGGTAGGAACGCCGGAAGCGGCGCCGTCTCACGTCGCGACGTGCTGACGTTGCGTCCCACGCGCGAAAAGGTTCCGGGCAGAACGAGACGGAGGCGAGAAAAACGAGGCCCGGAGTCCCGAAGGCGCCGCGCCGGAAGGGGCGGGGCTCTGGGCTAAGTAAAGGGAGGTGTTCCGGCGGGGCGGGCCTAGCGAGTGGGAACTGGCCGAGGGGGCGGGGCCGAGCTCAGGTGAGTGGCGGAGGGGGCGGAGCTTAACCGAGGATCCCAGCAGGTGGGGCCGGCGCCCAAGGCGGCTGGACCTGAACTTCTGGAACTGGAGGGCACCTCTCCGGGGGGGATTCTCGGGATGTAGGCAGGTAGATTAGGGATTAGGGAAGTTCCCCCTATCTCCACATCATGGCAATGAAATTTCTGGAAAGTAATAAAGCCACCAGTCCTAAGTCTGACCCACTTTGTGGATACAGAAAGCCAAACTTGTTAAGACCTTCTCCATCACAGACCCTGAGAAAACTGGACTAAGGGCCTGAAGGAAATTCCTCAAGAATCCTCAATTCCAGGGGCTGGAGCAATAGCACAGCATCCCATATGGTCCCCCAGGCACTGCCAGGAGTGATTCCTGAGTGCAAAGCCAGTAGTAACCCCTGAGCATCGCTGGGTGTGACCCAAAAAGCAAAAGAAAAAAAAAAGAACCCTCAATTCCTTCCTTTAGTCTGATTAACGGGCTGCAGCGATAGCACAGTGGGTACGGCATTTGCCTTGCACACCGCCAACCTGGGTTCGATTCCTTCATCCCTTTCGGAGAGCCCGGCAAGCTACCGAGAGTATCCTTCCCCCATGGCAGAGCCTGGCAAGCTCCCCTTGGCATATTCAATATGCCAAAAAACGGGCTGGAGCAATAGCACAGCGGGTAGGGCATTTGCCTTGCATGCTGCCAACCTGGGTTCAATTCCCAGCATCCCATCTGGTCCCCTGAGCACCACCAGGAGTAATTCCTGAGTGTAGAGTCAGGAGTAGCCCCTGTGCATTGCCAGGTGTGACCCAAAAAGCAAAAAAAAAAAAAAAAAAAAAAAAAAAAAGCCAAAAACAGTAACAAGTCTCACAATGGAGACATTACTGGTGCCCCCTCAAGCAAATTAATGAACAATGGGAGGACAGTGCAAATCTGATTAACCCTGAGCTAGTCCAGACCGGGGAAGACTGGACCCACCTCTCAAGAGAAGATCTAGCAGGAAGAAAGGTCAAGAAAAGGAGTTTCTCAAACACCAACCACTCCCAAGTCTATCCCGTCAGCAACGACCCTCGCTCCCGTCAGCAACCACCCTAGCAATGGAATTTTTTGGGTTTTATTTTTTGGCTTTGGGATCACACCAGGCAAAGCTCAGGGGTTCCTCCTGGTTCTGCACTCAGGAATTCCTTCTGGCAGTGCTTGAGGGGCCATATGGGATGCCGGGACCGAACTTGGCTGTGTGCAAGGCAAATGCCTTACCCGCTGTACTATGGCTCCAGCCCCTAGCAATGGCGTCTTACCTAGCTAGAAAGCCTCATGTGGGGTAGCTTGGAGAAACCCTATAAAAGCACCTTCAACAAAGGAAGGGCACACATATATTGCCCATGCTCATGTGCTGCTTTTGCCCATGTGGCTGAGCACATGTAGTGCCTGAGCACGTGTGTCACCTGCATCTCTCCTGTTGAGATGTGTACTTTCATAGCTAATGCTGGGATGTCTGCAGGGTCTCTCTCTGCCTTTGGAGAAGCCCACGTTCTCTCTTGAATGCGTTATTCTCTTTCTCTCTCCTTCCCCTTTCTAAAATCCTCCAAATAAAATCTGTTTTACTTCATTGCTCATCTATTCCTGAAATTCTTTCCTGCAAGGCAAAGCAAGGCAAGAACCCAGTAACTCTGAGTAAGGCCTAAGACTGATTTTTCCTTCAAAGAACAATTCCTTGTCCCAACCTGAGTCTGTGGTTCCCAGGGAAATCAAGCAGTGGGGATCAACTCCAGGGCCGAGAAGACCAAGTGGATGTTAGGTTTGGCTTGTCACCACATCATGGTGCTGGTGGGGCTGATCTTCCACCCCACCACCCAGTTTATGCCCTAGGACCCCCTGCAAGGGAACAAGTCACCCTCCAAATACACTTGCTCTTAGCTTTTTTATTTCTTGCGGTGCGAGGATCAAACTTCAGTCCTCCATAAGCAATGCACGTGCTCTAGCATTGAGCACCAGCCCTGGGCCCAATTCCTTAGAAGTTGCATTGTGGGGCCAGGAGCTGGCCGGTGTGGCTTAGGCTGGCCAGTTTTCTTGCCTGGCTGCGATGAAAAGTCTCTTTCAAGTTTTGCTCTGGAAAACCTGAAGTGGATCTGCCCTGTGGCAGGCACCCCTTCACTGGGGCATTTCCAGGACGATCTTGCCCATGTTCTGGTTGGTCTCCATGTAGGCATGGGCCTCTTGGATTTCAGCCATTGGGTAGACTCTGTCCAGGACCGGCTGGAGACGTTGGGGTCCCTCGGTGGAGAAGTGAGGCAGAACTTGTTCTGTGAAAGCCTTCACCAGCATTTGTTTGTACTAAGATAAGGGAAAGGAGATCATCAGCCTGGACCAAGCCCTTATATCTCTATCTCGCCACTCCCAACCTGTTCTACTGATTTCTACCCCTCCCTCTCACAACCCAACAAGTGTGTGCCAGCCTCCTGGTGTGTGACCTTTGCTCCAGACAGAGTGAGCACTGCCGCCTACAGTCAAATAGCAGTCACTGCCAGCAGGAAGACTGCTTTAGAAAATTTGGGAGTCACACCCTGTGGCACCCAGAGGTGCTACCCTTGTGGGACCATGTGGTGCCGGGGATCAAAACTGGGCATCTGGCCTGAAAAGCAAGCATTCCAATCCACTGACTGGCTATCTCTATAGGCCCTGAAAAACTATTTTAAAGAGAAGGTGTTGGGGTCAAAGAGATGCCTCAATTGGTTGAGCACATGCTTTTCATGGGGGAAGTCGGGTTCCTCTCTCTGGCCCCATTTAGTACCTAGAGCTTGGAAGCCCCACCAAGCACCATTAGGCATGCCCCTCACCCCACCCTGCCACACCCCACTCCCATCAAAAATAATGACTTTGGGGCCATAGCGCCAGCTCAGGAAGTTGGAGCACATGCTTGTCATGCAGGAGTCTGGCGGGGTCCCATCCCTGGCAATTCAAGGGCCCCTGAGCACTAAGCCAGAAGTAGCACCTGAGCACTGCCAGTGTGACAAAAAAAAAAAAAAACTAAAAAAAAAAAAAGAGAAAAGTCTTAGGCAAGAAGTACAGGTGACGTTCAGAGGCTCAGTTCAAAATGGATTCCTAAAAGTGAAGTCATGAAATTGCTCTTACCTGGGTCGACTAGGAGAGTATCATGCTAAAATGAGTCAGGGGGAGAGGGACAGACATGATTGCACTCATTTGTGGGATATAAAAAGCATAGTATGAAACTAATACCCAAAGACAGTAGAAATGAAGGCCACAACAGGGCCACAGTTAAAAGCTTGCCACAAGCAGCAGGGTGAGCAGGGCACAGGGGGCAGTGAGAAGTGCAGTTAGGACACGGAAGGGACCATTATGACAATGATAGTTGGAAATGATCACTCTGCACAAGATCTGTGTGTTGAAAGGAAGTAAAGGGATATACATGACAACTTTCAGTACCTGTATTGCAAACCACAGTGACTAAAAGGGAAGAAGGGGAGTATCTGCCATAGAGACAAGGCAGGCTAGGGGAATGGGCGGGTGGGAAATGTACACTGGTGAAAGGTCGGGTGTTGAAACATTGGATGACTGAATCTCTGTGCATCTCACAGTGACTCAGTAAAATGAAGGGTAGGAAGCTGTTTTGCTTGAACAAACAAACAAAACCAAAATGGATTCCTAAGCTCTGCTTAAGAAATCGGGGTGTGCTCCAGGTCCCAAACAGAGCCGAGATCACCGGGAAGTCCCAGATGGGGTAGGTGCCGCATCCCGCCTCCTCCAGATGGAACCCCAGTGACCATGAGCCTCTACAAGCATAGCTTGGGCATGCGGGAACCAGAACTTTTACTCCAGCCGCGTAACATCTCCTTATATACAAAGTGATCAATGGAAAGTAAATCATCCAATGTTTCTCCCTGAAAATCAGGCTTAACTCTTTTACAAATCACAACACCCAATAGGAGAGAGAGAACAAAAGGGAATGCCCTGCCACAGAGGCAGGGTGGGATGGGGGGTAAGGGGAGTGGGAGGAATACTGGAATCCATGGTGGTGGGAAACGGTCACTGGTGGAGAGATGGGTATTCAAAATAAATTTTAAAAAAATTACATTGGATAAAAAAAAGAGAAATAGGGGTGCTCAAAAGGAGAGAACAAAAGGGAATGCCCTGCCACAGAGGCAGGGTGGAATGGGGGTGGGTGGGAGGGATACTGGGATCCGTGGTGGTGGGAAATGGGCACTGGTGGAGGGATGGGTACTCGATCATTGTATAATTGAAACCCAAGCACAAAAATTTGTAAGTCTACAACTGTACCTCATGGTGTTTCACTAATAAAAATTAAACAAAAAAAAAAAAAGAAATAGGGGTGCTTCCAGGGCCCAAATAGGAAGCTGACCTGAGGCAGGACTGAGAATCTGTGCTGCGGAACATTCCCGAGGCCTCCCCTGCTGGAATGCCACAGAGAGGTCTCAGGAGCTCATCATTTGTGGAAGGTAGACGCTGGCTAGCCTACCCACTTCAGAGGCTTTCTTTTTTCTTCTTTTTGCTTTTTGGGTCACACCTGGCGATGCTCAAGAGTTACTCCTGGCACTCAGAAATTACTCCTGGCGGTGCTCAGAGGACCATATGAGATGCTGGGAATCAAACCCGGGTTGGCCGCGTGCAAGGCAAATACCCTACCCACTGTGCGATCACTCCAGCCTAGAGGAGGCTTTCTTAGGACACTGAGAAGCAGAGCTCAGCCTTTGAAAACTGCGTCTTAGAAGCAGCAGAAAACCTAGTGTGGCCAATGCTTTGTCCCTTCTGTTGGAGAGCTTCACAATACATTATTTATCAGCTGCCCTCTTCCCAAAAGATTGAGGCTTCCAGTCACCAGTTCATTCCATGAAATTGGGTCACCTCTTTACCCAGAGGGAGGCCGCTTTCTCTATAGGTCCCTAAGCTGAGGTGTGACAGTTTCCTGTAAATGAATCACGTTCTTCTTTGTATTAGATAAATGACTCATCTCTCACCTCTTTGTCCCTATTTCTTAGCAGACTGGTGATCAGACTTCCTCGTTTAAAAAGCAGCTTGGAAAGCAGAGGCCCACTGATGTCCACTCCTCCCAACAATCCATAGAGAATCCAGCGACCGTCAAGGGCCAGGCAGTTGACATTTTTCTCCCAGTAGGATCCGCCTACGCAGTCTAGAATGAGGTTGACTCCAGCTCCTGTCATATGAAACAGACATGCAATGCTAATGAGCCACAAAGTTTGAGGCAAAATAAGCTCTCTCCAAGCTCTATTTGTGGTGTCTGTCCAGGTATACAAAAATGCAGGTAGAATTCAGAAACATTGCTGACAGAGATCTCCCTCTACATCAGCTACTTTACATGGAGGTAAGGTAGCTGATGTCTATCATATATATGTGCCATACAGTTCATCTCTTTTATTTATGATTTATTTTCAGGCTTGGGGCTACACCTGGCTGTGCTCAGGCCAACTCCTGGCAGTACCTGGGACCACGTGCATTGCTGGGGACTGAACTGGGGTTGGCCTCATGCAAGGTAAGCAAACAGTGCATCCCCTGTGCTATCCTGCCAACCCTTAGTTAATCTTTTATGATCCCTAGCTAGCAGGAGGGAAATGCGGCAATACCAGGATGGAGGATCTCCCCTGACATTCAGGTGAGTAGAAACTGGCACCTGGGCTAGGGTAGAAAGATTCACCTGGAGTTAAAGGGCAGGCTAATTTCTAGAACATGTAGGAATCGTCTCACTTATACTAATACACATGGAAACCACCTTCAACCTAAAAACTGCCGAAAAAGGAAAAAAAAAGTTCTAAGAATCCAGAGAACAACTTCAAGAATTGCTAATTAAGGGGCTGGAGAGATAGCACAGCGGGTAGGGCGTTTGCCTTGCACGCGGCCGACCCGGGTTCGATTCCCAGCATCCCATATGGTCCCCCGAGCACCGTCAGGAGCAATTCCTGAGTGCAGAGCCAGGAGTAACCCCTGTGCATTGCCGGGTGTGACCCAAAAAGCAAAAAAAAAAAAAAATAGAATTTCTAATTTAGCTCAGCAAGATGCCCTGGCACTGATCAATATATAAAACCCACTGGTCTCGCTAGCAGTGAGTAATCTGAAATGATGAAAAGAATCTGCTGAATAACAAAATACTTATATAATAGATATTAACTTCAAAAAATACACAACTGAGTGTCCGTTTTCAGGGGTTCAACACTAGAGGGTTTGAATTTCAGCTAGTGTGCATTTCGCAGCTGCGAGACAGCCAGGCAGAGAGCCGGCAATCTTAGGGTTGCGAAGGGTTTTTATTTAATCATCTCTGAAATTCCTGCCGAGCTACAGATGCTGTTGTTTACCTTTGGTGAATTTCAGTGCAGCTTCAGAAAAATCCTCTTCCTTGTAATTGAACCCGGCAGCTGCCCCGAGCTTTTGGGCCATCTGAAGCTTCTCTGAGGAGCCAGCTGTGACCAGAGGAATAGCACCTGCCATTCGCGTGAGCTGGATGGCAGCTGTGCCCACACCACTTGATCCTGCATGGATTAGCACGAACTCTCCTGCCCGAACATTTCCTGTAACAGAAAGCACACGGTCCCTCCTCTGTGGAACACACCGGGCCCCGGGACCACCAAATGCCAGGCCTCCCTCCAGCCTCTGTTTCAGTACAGATACCAAACCAAGAACTCACACATGCAAACTGAGTTACACCCCGGATAGCTCTGTTGGTGGAGAGTAGGGGTTAGAAGCCACGCCTGGCACGGTTAGGGGGCTAATATTGGGGCTGAGTGCTTGAGTGTCTCTCCCTGCAGAGCTCCGGGGATCGTATGAACCCAGGGCTCTTGCATGCAAAGCGGGTCTTCCCGCCCTCACAGAAAACCTCCTTGATCTCAGATCCTTTCCTTTCTTCTTTCTTTTATCCTGTCTGAGGGGGCCCATTGGGGTCTCACTGAGCCCTACTGGCCCCAATTCCCAGCTGCTCTCAGGGGACTGTGCAGGTTGGGATCAAATTCAAACCGCACGTGTGCTACCCATTTGGCGAGCTATCCCCTCTTTTTTTGGGGGGTGTCTTTGGTGGGGAGAGGGGAAGGGAGTGAGTTTTTGGGTCACAGCGAACAGTGCTCAGGGCTTCTCCAGGCTCTGCACTCAGGGAACACTCTTAGTGGTACGCAGGGGAACAAGATGCAGTGCTGGGGACTGAACCAGGGTTGGCTCCATACAAGGAAAGCACTTTAACTTCTCTATGATCTCTCCAGGCCTCTGTACTTTTTTTTTTTTCCCTATTTTTTGGGTCACATACACATAACCTCAGCGATACATACATAGTGGTTACTCCTGGCTCTACACTCAGGAATTACTCCTGGCAGTGCTCGGGGGGACCATATGGGATGCTGGGAATCGAACCCAGGTCGGGAGGGGGGAATGTGTGCAGAGATAGAACCCCAGGCCTCGTCCTTGCAAATCATGTGGTGTCCCTCTGAGCTACATGCCTGGCGATGCCGCCTTAAGCCACCTGTCGTCTGCCTCCAGCGGTCCCCATCACTGTCAATTGTAAAGGGAGCTGGTCCCCTTTGCAGCACGAAGGCTGTCTAGTTCTTCTGCATATGTTGACTCCCCAGTGATACTGAGGTCCTGAAACTGGCCCACAAAAAATTAAGAGTCAAATTTAAAATGAAGAGCCAGCAAGCTCTGCTGGGTGGGGACAGTTGTCCTTGTTGAACTTGTCCACTTCTGCACAAAGCCCAAGATAAGATGGAACCAGCACCTTTCGCTTTGCGGTCTGCTGATCAGATGCAATGTACCTCAAGGAACTGTCCAGGAGGGAATGTACTGCTCATTTTGGCGCCAACCAGTCTGCTACTGTCCTTTCTAAAAACATGCCTCCTTCCCCTCTCTCCTTTCTTTTTTTCCGACCACATCCAGCAGTGCTCAGGGATAATTCCTGGCAGGGTTCAGGAGACCATACGGATGCCGAGGACCATATCCATGTCAGCGGTGTTTGAAGCAAGTGCTCTAACCACTGTACTATCACTCTAGCCCCCATTTCTTTAGAAAAACCACTTCCTGTCACCTTGAAACAAAATGGCTTGTTTGTCTGTCTGGGGGGCCACACTTGGAGGTGTGCAGGGGTCACTGCTACTGGTGCTTGGAAGACCATATGTGGTGCTGGGGACCAAACCAGGTTGGCCGCAAGTAAGGCGAGTGCCCCCTCTGCTGTGCTTTCTCTTCATGCCCCTAAATGCCTTTCTTCAGACAATAGATCTGCATTGTCTCAAGTTCCTAGCATCTAAGGAAACCTATTTTTCTCCTGCCTACTCGTCTCTGGAGTGATTGCACGTGGCCAACAAGGTCAACATGAGTTCGATTCCTCCACCCCCTCGGAGAGCCCGGCAAGCTACCGAGAGTATCTCGCCCGCATGGCAAAGCTTGGCAAGCTACTCGTGACGTATTCAATATGCCAAACACAGTAACAACAAGTCTCACAATGGAGAGGTTACTGGGCCCGCTTGAGCAAATCGATGAACAATGGGAGGACAGCACTACAGTGCTACTCTTGTCTCTGGAGCACTGAGTTTCAAGTGGCGAGCACCCACACCTGCTTGGTCAGCTTTCCCTCAGATTGCTGCCTGGCCAGGGTGGGAGGGGGGAGAGCAGTCAGGAAATGCCAGTCCAGTGAACGTCTGTCTGCTGCTCAGAGCAGCTCTGAGAAGCTGGGGCCACTACGGGCCCACAGGGAACAGACTTGGCATCTGCGAAACACATCTTTCGCCTGACACCCAACCACAGCTCACACCAGGCCAAGCGGCTCTTCCTAAGCCAGGGGTCACTGGGTGACAAGTTACAGCTGGGTGTGGCTGAGGTCACAGTTGTCCCCAGAGACCTGCTGGACCGGGTGGTGGCTTAGTCACGAAGAAGGTGAGCCTCAGCTGGGACAGTGTGAGGCTGGGGAATTACTCACCCACCAAGTGCAGCAGCTGGAAGGCCGTGAGCCAGGCCTCGGGGATGGCTGCTGCCTGGGGCAGACTCAGGCCCTGCGGAACAGGCATGAGGAGGCCCTCGGGCACGGTGACATACTGCGCCTGGCCCCCACCGGGCAGCAGAGCCATGGCTGCGTCCCCGATCTTCCAGGGGCCCCGGCAGCCGGGCCCCAGCTCCGCCACATGTCCGGAAGCTTCGAGTCCCAAAATGCTGCTGGCTCCTGGGGGTGGCGGGTACAGGCCTCGCCTCTGCGGACAGAGGGAGCACAGAAGTGTGTGTGTGTGTGTGTGTGTGTGTGTGTGTGTGTGTGTGTGTGTGCATGCACGCACACTAGACATCCTGGGGTCCCTTGCAACAGCCTCCTCCTCCCACCCCTATTTTTGTTTTGCCAAACAGAAAATTCAGGGTAGGTTACCATCAGGAGTCCCCGACATCCCAGCACCATTGGGAGCAAACCCTGCAACATCTAATCCAGCCAAGAGGAGCAGCTGGGGATGGCCTGGAGCGGTTCAGATACCCGAGGGTGGGGGTGGGGGTGGAAAAATTCAGGATAAAACCTAGTTCTGGTTTTGGGGCCACATCTGGCATTGCTTGGGGCTTACCCCTGGCTCTGTGCTTAGTTATCACTCCTGAGAGCTCAGGGGACCTGCCAGGGATTGAACCTGAGTTCTGAGTCAACCCTGTGCTAGGAAAACATCCTATTTGCTGTACCATACCTCGGGCCCTAAAGCCTAATTTTTTTTTAAGTCAGGAAAGATAGAAAAGGGAGGTTTTATGCAACTCAGAGGCTGTAGGATACAGAATTGGTGGCAGCCTAACTGGTGCAGGGGGTCCTTCCTGAGTTCCCTCCCCTCCCCTGCTGGATGCATGGAGACACAAGTTGTTCTTTATCTGGAACACAGTTGATCCACAGTGGCCTATGGGTGAACTCTGGGTGGATTCTGGTTCGCAATTACCCTGCGTGCCCTGTCCACATGGCTTTAACCTCGTAGGTGCAGGGCCTGGCTTCGGATCCCCTCGTGCTAACAAAACCAAACTAACAAAAGCTGCAAGAGTCCAGGCTCAGAAGCGCGAGCACCGGCTGCAGCTGAGTTTCAGGGTACCTGCATTAAGTCCCCTCGATTCAAGGCGGCAGCCGCCACCCGCAGGAGGACTTCACCCTCTCCTGGGCTGGGTCGGGCCACCTCCTTCACGTACAGGTTCTCGGGTCCTCCCGGCTGGTCAAAGTGCACCGCCAACATGTTCCCTAGAGGGTACAGGAAAGCCGGGGGAGCAGCGCGAAGTTGGAGGCGCGCAGCACCTGGGGCGGCGGGCAGCGCCCCCTGCCGGCAGGCCCCCGCCTCGCCGCGCGCCCCTTCCCCACTCTACGCTCCCGGATACACCTCCGGCCCCCCGCGGACCCTACCCAGGGGACACCGATAGAGGAAGGGGACCCAGCGGGTTGAAAACAGCGGAGCGGGAAAGTACGGGGGAGCCCACGAGGTTGGGATCTCCGCCCCCCCTCTCCCCCCACGACTCTCCGAAGGTCCCTGGCGAGTTACCTGCTCGCTGGGGCCTTGCGCGTCCTGGGTCCAGAGCGGAGTTTGCAGGCGTCTGCGCCGCGGGCCGGGCTGCTAGGACTCTGGGCGGCTGGGGTGGGGCCACCCGGCCGCTCTCCTCCGCCCTCTTCCTTTCCGTCCTTTCAGATGCAAAGTGAGTGACCACAAATTGGTTCCCCAACCCCCGCACCCCAATCCCGGCCTTTCGGAAGTCATTTTTCTCTTCTTTTAACTGGAAGTGCTCAGGGAAAGAAGGCAAAGGTTCCCCCCTCTCTAGGGAACCGGACCCGAACGCTCGCAGCTGCATTTCCCAGCCAGGCCTGGCTTTCTTGCCCTGAGTGCTGGGCGCCTGCCAACTGCCCATCTCGTGGACAGGCCTCTTGCCTGTGGGAGAGCAGGCAGAGCGCCGCAGAAGCTCAAACAGTGGAGCCCAGATGCTCTTGAGGCGGGCAATGCTCCCAAACCAGAAAAGGAAAGATATTGGCAAGGATGTGGAACCCGCTGCCGGTAGGAATGCAAATTGTGACAACTGATCGGAAAAACAGTGTGGCAGTTGACCCAAAAATTAAAAATTAAGATTATCAAATGATCCACCAATTCCACCTTGGGGTATATACCTTACATAATGAAAGCAGGGGGCATGGAAAGATAGTACAGTGGGTAGGGCTCTTTCCTTGCACAAAGCGGATCTGGATTTGATCCCTGGTATCCCATATGGTTCCCCCAAGCATTGGCAGGAGTGATTTCTGAGTGCAGAGCCAGGAGTAACCCTGAGCATCACCAGGTGTGACCTAAAAACCTAAATAAAGAATTTTAAAATAATGGAAAGCAGGGAATATATACATATATATGCAACATATTCTATTATACATACGATATGTTTTGTTGGGGGCCCATCCTGGAATGTCTGAGAGCTGCTTGGAGCTTGTGATCCATGTACCCAACCCTTGGAACTCTCTCTGATCCTGAATAATGTTTTGTTTGTTGGAGGATGGGGCGCACTTGGTGGTGATAGGGATCATAGCAGAGGCTTCCCATATGCCCCCCCCCACACACACACACACAAGCAAGCACCACCAGGAGTACTTCCTGAGTGTAGAGCCAGGAGTAACGCCTGGGCATCACTGGGTGTGACCCAAAAGGAAAAAAAAGCAAACAAACCCAAGAATGTAGTGTAGTAGCCCAGTTGAATCATGATAATAGCTTGGCTAGGGGAGATAGTATTGAAATGGAGACAAAGGGAAGAATTAAAAAGATATAGGTGGGGGGTATGGTGGGACCAGCAGGTCAATCTGTATCTGTGAGGTGAGTGCATCAGCAGCCTGACGGCACCTTCAGACTTCCAGATACCCCAAAATTGCTGCTGTGCCTTTGGCCAGACCCCAAAAACTTCAGGCAAAGTTTACCAAGAAAGTCAACAGCCAAAAGTTAGGTATGTGAGAGACACACCCACAAATCACCTCTGGCTCAGCTATATAATTGGAGGCATGACCTCTCTGGTTCCTGATCGGACTGCTTAATGGCCATGATCCTGAGCCGGCCCTTTGCTCCCCATCCCAATGAGATCCTGATTCGCCACTCATGAACTGCCTCTCTGGCTCCTGATCAAGCTGCTTAATGGCCATGGTCCCAGAGACTCAGAAACAAATCTTGAAACCCAGTGACTTTTGGCAGAAATGCATCTGGACCCAGCAGAAGGTGACTGTCGCCTGGCCACCCCAGGGGGGAAAGGGTGCTGTCCCTCCTCCTGCTCCCCCTTGGCGGCTTGGTGGTCGCCATCCGCCAAAGGTCACTGGACAGTCAGGTTTGGGCCCGCAGTGACGAGACAGTGGGGCATCATGGGATGGGAGTGGAGCCGGCTCTTTCCTTCCTGTTCCAATGAGGTCGTGAGTCGCCACCCACAAATGGCCTCTCTGACTCCTGATCAAACTGCTAAACGGCCATGATCCCAGAGACTCAGGAACAAATCTCAGAACCCAGCAGGTTTTGGCAGAAATCTCTCCACATTTAATTGTTAAAATTTTGAAATTTCAAAATTGCGCAGCCACTACTGCAGCTGCACAACATCTTATGTTATTCATAACCAGCAATAGAAAACAAATTGTCCACTGTTGCCTTTTTGGCAGATCCTAGTTTTCATTTCATTTCATTTCATCATCCTGTTAATCGTCGATTGCCTCGAGCAGGCCCCAGTAACGTCTCTTTCATCCTAGCCCTGAGATTATATTCAGGGCTCTTTAGGAAAATGAGACCCATCATTGTTACTGGTATTTGGCATATTTGGTAGGCCACGGGGAGTTTGCCAGACTCTGCCCTGTGGGCAGGCTACATTCGACAGCCTGCAAGTTTGTCCAAAGTAGGAATGAGATAATAAGACTCAGAGACTATAAAATCCAGATCCCGGACGAGAGCAGTGCAGTCTCTGCCCCCGCGCTTCGGTGTTCCTTCCCGGAGTCCCTTGGAGGGGAGCGGGTTGAGCTTTCCTCCCCGCCCCGGCCAGGGCTACGGCAGCCGGAGACCTCCAGGACCAGCCACCACCATGCTGAGACCACTCTCCGCACACCTGAAGGTACTGGCAGAGGGACAAAGCCACGCGGGTTCCGGGGCCGAGACCTCCAAGCCTACTCGAATTGGAGTCGAGCATCTTCCACCCAGATCCTCCAAATTCCAGTAGGCGGGGGTCACACCCACCACCTGGCCCCCTGGCGCCGTGTAATCCCATCAGCGGCCAAGACTCAGAGACTATAAAATCCAGATCCCGGACGAGAGCAGTGCAGTCTCTGCCCCCGCGCTTCGGTGTTCCTTCCCGGAGTCCCTTGGAGGGGAGCGGGTTGAGCTTTCCTCCCCGCCCCGGCCAGGGCTACAGCAGCCGGAGACCTCCAGGACCAGCCACCACCATGCTGAGACCACTCTCCGCACACCTGAAGGTACTGGCAGAGGGACAAAGCCACGCGGGTTCCGGGGCCGAGACCTCCAAGCCTACTCGAATTGGAGTCGAGCATCTTCCACCCAGATCCTCCAAATTCCAGTAGGCGGGGGTCACACCCACCACCTGGCCCCCTGGCGCCGTGTAATCCCATCAGCGGCCAAGACTCAGAGACTATAAAATCCAGATCCCGGACGAGAGCAGTGCAGTCTCTGCCCCCGCGCTTCGGTGTTCCTTCCCGGAGTCCCTTGGAGGGGAGCGGGTTGAGCTTTCCTCCCCGCCCCGGCCAGGGCTACGGCAGCCGGAGACCTCCAGGACCAGCCACCACCATGCTGAGACCACTCTCCGCACACCTGAAGGTACTGGCAGAGGGACAAAGCCACGCGGGTTCCGGGGCCGAGACCTCCAAGCCTACTCGAATTGGAGTCGAGCATCTTCCACCCAGATCCTCCAAATTCCAGTAGGCGGGGGTCACACCCGCCACCTGGCCCCCTGGCGCCGTGTAATCCCATCAGCGGCCAAGACTCAGAGACTATAAAATCCAGATCCCGGACGAGAGCAGTGCAGTCTCTGCCCCCGCGCTTCGGTGTTCCTTCCCGGAGTCCCTTGGAGGGGAGCGGGTTGAGCTTTCCTCCCCGCCCCGGCCAGGGCTACAGCAGCCGGAGACCTCCAGGACCAGCCACCACCATGCTGAGACCACTCTCCGCACACCTGAAGGTACTGGCAGAGGGACAAAGCCACGCGGGTTCCGGGGCCGAGACCTCCAAGCCTACTCGAATTGGAGTCGAGCATCTTCCACCCAGATCCTCCAAATTCCAGTAGGCGGGGGTCACACCCACCACCTGGCCCCCTGGCGCCGTGTAATCCCATCAGCGGCCAAGACTCAGAGACTATAAAATCCAGATCCCGGACGAGAGCAGTGCAGTCTCTGCCCCCGCGCTTCGGTGTTCCTTCCCGGAGTCCCTTGGAGGGGAGCGGGTTGAGCTTTCCTCCCCGCCCCGGCCAGGGCTACAGCAGTCGGAGACCTCCAGGACCAGCCACCACCATGCTGAGACCACTCTCCGCACACCTGAAGGTACTGGCAGAGGGACAAAGCCACGCGGGTTCCGGGGCCGAGACCTCCAAGCCTACTCGAATTGGAGTCGAGCATCTTCCACCCAGATCCTCCAAATTCCAGTAGGCGGGGGTCACACCCACCACCTGGCCCCCTGGCGCCGTGTAATCCCATCAGCGGCCAAGACTCAGAGACTATAAAATTCAGATCCTAGTGTTGGGGTAAAATCCCAAATAATTATGGTGGGTCTGGTGTCAAAATATTTAATGTAATCAAAATAGAGAGAGTAATGTGGAAATCATCTGCCCCACAGGTAGGGAGAGGGTGTAGGATGGGGGTATTCTGGGGTTTTTGGGGGTGGAGAATGGGCACTGGTGAAGGTACTAGTGTTTCATTGTATGACCGAGACTTAAACCCAAAAGCTTTGTAACTGCTCTCACAGTGATTCAATAAATAAAATTATTAAAAATGAAAAAAAAGTAAGGTGGAGTTTATGCCCAATTCAATCAGCCTAATCAGTGGCTGAATAAACAGCAGTACTGCTACATTAAAAAATATATATATAGGAAATAAAATGCATCACTGGGTGATCTGTTAGATACGAAGATATGAGAGAGGGGGTGTCATGTCTCGCCCAAGGTACCTGGGGTCTGTCCCTGAAAGGATGGTAGTTACTGTACCAAATTAGAGTTGGTTACTCAGAGGCTAGTTACTCAAAAGACAAGGGTTGATGCAAAAAGGGTTTTATTCAGATGGACTTTTTGTCTCAAAAAATACATCTTACTCTCAGATGTCTAGGTATGGCTAGGGGTTCATATCAGGTTGACTGGGAAAGTAGTGAGAATAAATTTGACACAAGAAATTGTGGGTCAGGAAGAAGGGTGTTGTATCTTGAGATGGTCCAGGCTGGTTAGTAGTTTTGGGGTTTTCTCTCCCCCATCCATCATCACTGGACCTAGCTGGACATTAAGAACACAATGCATGAGGACATCACTAGGACTGAGAGGCAGGGTGAAGGCCCAGGCAGGGTGAGAAGTTATGCAATGTCCCTCAGAG